GTAGGAGCGACCCAATGGTCGAGACAAGGTCTAGATTGAATACATCAAGTCATTTCCCTTCCATCGCTTGCGTCTCCGCCTATCTACCAGAGATAGAGGAATGTGACGGAGGCGTTATCAAAACATTCACCCGCATCAAGATGCGAAAGCTATCAGATATACCGCAGCTACTGTACAAGTTGACCACCCTAACAACTGCCCCACAGGTATCCTTAATTGGCTCGAGGCAGCGAGGCCCCTCCTGAGACGACCAACGGTCCGTTGTTACCAGTCGGCAGACTGGTAACGGCGTGTGGTGCGCCAGTACGGTGCTTCAGGTCGAAATCAGACGGGACCTGGGAAGGTGGCGGTTTCGGAGGCAGATGGGAGGGAGTGCCCCATTTAGCGATAGAGTCTCTATTCCCAGAGGGAGGGCCACGGGGCCCCGCAGGTCCTAAGCCTTCCGAAGCTTTGTTCACGTCGGGCAATCCACCCCAATGAGGCTGAACAGTACCCTGCATATTAGGGTATGACCCCATGACAGCATGCGGACCGCTCTTACTTGGGTTTCGGCCTAACGAGCCACCACCGGGAACAAAGGAGCGCGTCTGGGGATTGAAGGCGGACCGATTGAAGTTCCCGGGCAAAGGATGCGGGCCCTGGTGACCGTTCATAGCCGTGTTCATGTGCTGCCCAGGGTATTGCGCATACGGGTAGGATGTTGGGTTAAGCGGTTGGGACGGGTAGGTCGGCCACTGCATTGCCGGGTGACTTCGATGCGTAGGCGGTTGGTAGCCTCCCTGATACTGAGGGGACGACCAGCCCGAAGGTGTAGGTTGGTACTGCATGCCATTGGGCGCAGAGTAGGTGTTCAACGCGGGAGAAGATTTCGTTGTCATGGCCGGGGATTGGTTGATGGATGCATATCCAGAGTAGGGTGACTGGGGAACAGACCCGTTTTGCCACGGTCCGCTCGGACTCATCTGAGGAGACACCGGCATGGAATACTGTGGCATCGGATTCATCCCAACCTGACCAGAATACACAGTCCCGTTAGGCCCATGAGGCGCATAACCCATGCCCGGTGGGTTGGCGCCTGGTCCCACCATGAACGGCTGTGTGGGGAATGAAGGGTCATTCATCGGAACATTGTATGGTGTCGACCCGTGATAATGTACTCCGGGGTAGTATAGGTTGTACTGAGATCGGACCTCAAAACTGTCATCATGAGGCGTCTTCTGCCTATGTGCTTTCTTGCGGCCGCTCGTTGAGCTCGAGCGCGACATGTTGCCACTTTGGTCGCCGTTGCTCCCATCGCAAGACTTCGTCTCGGGGAAGTCGCGGAAGATTCGCTCTCTGGCTTCCTGGTACTTGGCTTCGCGTTCCTCCCGAGTAAGGGTTAGCCTGTCCTTGGCTGGTGTGGCACCCGCTGAAGAGCCTCCACGTTCCCCATCGTTGGTGCTATCGCCGGCCTCTGAACCGGTCTTCGAGGGAACGGCAGAGCTTGTAGCCGTACTTCCATCCGCAGGACGCTCTCCATCATTGCGCCGCATGATCTTCATTGCGGGCATGGCCGGAGGAGGAGTAGTGTTGGCTGACGCATGGATGACAGATAGAGGAGTAGGCCTTTGACCGTCAGTACAAGAATCAGAGAAAGGCGACTGGGATAGGGACTCACAGCCGACAAAACGGTGTCCTATGGAGTCGGACAGAGGTCACATTGTTATCCACAAAATGAGTCAAGTGGTAGTAGTCGCCAAGTTTATGAGCGAGAAGTCTTCCAAACGCATTAGACGGCGGGAGTTCCAAAGATTGTTCCCTTTGAGCGATCAGTAACCTGCCTTTTGAAAGACGGAAACGGCCAACTTACTTGGAATGTTGGATGAAGTTTCGGACCTTCTCCTCCAACTGTAATATGAGAAGACGGTCTTTGGGGGACTTCATCGCCTCGAGAAGTTTTTCGTCTGGTTCCAATGGGAATGGATGCATGGCGATAGGCTGTCCACTTTGGAAAGCATCGTGGTTGGGAATGACGAAATTGTTGGGAATAGAGTCGGGCAATCCGTTAACCCGCTGGTTCGGGTCAAACAACGGGCCCGCATTTTGCAGAGCTGCCCGGGCTCTTTGGATGTCCCTAAGCCCGCGGGCACCGGATTCTGATCCGGTCAAGGAATTCGGTGCACCGGACGCAGGACCAGAAAGACTCTCCTCCTCGTCGATAGCTTGTACACTGGCACTATCGTCTGGTCGTAGAGAATCCTTCTCATCCATAGCAAATGTAGTGACCGAGGCCATGCTCTTCGAATCGAAACTTGTCGGCTTCGTTGATGAGCTCGAAAGATGCGTCCGATCATCCTCGAAAGAGGTCTCCCGTTTCAGGGCTCCATTTTCATGTCCTTCACTCGAGTAGTCAGGGCTCTCTTGGCCCTTCTTCCCGATGATGTGAACGTCTTGCACAGCCTGTGTTAGACCGTCGACACGTCGATCGATGGCATCGACATCGCCTTGGACATTACTGGAGGATTCTTGAGTGGTGAAGGTTCCTTTCCTGTCCTGCGACTCAGGGGGTACCGACTCTTCGGCAGCCTGTGAACCATTCATTTCGTCAGATGCGACAGGTATTTCGGGATTGAGCGGTGGAGCCATGGCAGCGATCTTCAAGCCATGTTAGAAGGGTAAGAGAGGGATCGGCTGTAGTGTCTTTGAAGACACCATAAGAAACGCACCTTTGCAAATGAGAGACGATGTTCGTCTCCAGTTGAATCTTTCGATGCCATGATTTCAAAACCCCAGCACGGGCCTCTTTTGACCTCAGGGGATGTGGGGAATAGACACGGATGAACTCGAAAATTGGTGGTTGTAACCCGGCGAGAGGAGTTGCACGACTGAAGTTCAAACGTGGAGAGATTTCACGAAGACGAAACCGAGATGCGAATTGACAAGGAGCCACTCAAATATCCCACTTCACACAAGCCCAAAAAGAAAGACGACATATCTTTGGAAAACGTAATTCGCCATAGGGAAAGGAATTCGTGGTCAGGTCCAGGGATGCGACGTGCCGTACTGGAAACCGACGAGATCCGTAGAATAGTTGATCGTCTTACACGATTGTCAGAACGACAAGGTCATGGCTTTTTTTTCCTGTCGAGAGGCAGTCAAACGGAGAGTAAGAAGGCCTCTTACTCTGCAATCCCGAGACAGTCAGATACGAGGGCGTCGTATCTGAAAAACACGACTCCGGGGAAGGACAGCGAAGTGGATGGGGAAGACGAACTTTTGCTTTGGGTTGCAGCTGGGAAGGAACAAGACCATGATCGGGCCCGGCTTTTCGCTTGTCTCCTCTTCGTGGGCCGCGTAACCGCGCGCCTATGGCGGTCAGCCCGACCCACTGCTTGGCCTCAACAGCCGCGGAGACATACCTGCGAAGCCGTGCGATATTCCAGCCAGCCATAGGCTTTTGCAACAGCTACCGCCAGTTATTCGAATCAGATTTTCTCCTTCGTCAAATCGTAGCCCGTTTGTCGCCCATGAACCGCTACCGGAACGCCCCCGGCATCAGGGGCCCCTCTAAGGCTACAGCGAGCACGCTGTGTCAAAAATGTCTGAAAAGAGATATGTGCCCCTATTTCTCACGATTCGATCACCTCCGGCTGACCTGTGATCACGGCACTATAGTTATGAATGCTCTGCTCCTGCGCAGGAGAGACCCTATGTGTCTCGGCCCTCGCGCACACAGCAACTGCTAAACCCAAAACTAAGGCCGCAACTGACGACGGAGGTACCGAGTGATGTTCTGCATCCGTGAGTCATCCCTACAGTACGTTTAAGTGTTTCCATCTGACGATGCTGACCGCTCCGTAGAAAAGGGACCGCCGATGCGATCCTAGCTAAGCGGGAAGAAGAACGAGGCCGCAAAAGAGACCTCGATGAACCAGACACTCACACTTCAAAACGGGCTCGATCCGCCTCTTCGCATTCGGTCAGCTCCGTGTCTACCATATCCACGAGTCGCTCCCATTCAGCCTCTCCTCATCGCAGCAGCTATGCGGCCAGCGCGCATGACCGGACGAGGTCAAGGTCTCCACGGCCAAGAAAGAGACGGTATAGTGATTCCTCTTCAGACGCCTCTGCCTCGTCATATTCGTCCAGGAGGAGGACTCGTTCCAGATCGCGGGAATGGACAAGTGAGCGGAACACTCGACGGAGACATCGTGAATCAAGCCCTGAGGAACGGGGCCGAGCGAGACAAATCTCGCGGGATGGGAGCCGAAGAGCTCGGACACGGAGTCGCAGCGTCGATCCCAGTCGAGTAAGCCGTTCGAGAACTTCGGACAATCGACACGCCCGTGACTATGGTGATAGGGCCAATCGACAGCGGCCTCCGCCCGAGCCCAGGAAAGAACGGAGTCTCAGTCCATATAGTAAACGCCTTGCTCTGACTCAGTCTATGAACATAGGGCGCTGATGGAGGCCGATTGGGGGTGAAATCAAGCTATAATACTAAAAGTGGCAGGCTGGTTGGAATAGTCACGTTTTCTCTTTTGTCTCGCAGCGAGAGCAGCACTTGCTGGCTTGACCCTGTATTATACTAATGAAGCATAATAGCACTATATCAGAATTGTGAAACATGTAATAAAATATATGCAAACATCCCAACGCCACTGATAATCCCATAGCCGAATGTAAACGCCTCGAAGCAAGACGTAGAACAATGAGACCAAATCGCAAAATGCCTATACATTCCCCGTGGGTATCACAATCATGCCACTTATTCATCATCTGAGACCCCCCGTTCTTCGTCCTCCCGTTCTCGTACATGGATCCCTTCAACCAGCATCTCGCCCTCGATTCCGACATCCTCGCCTTCCTGATCTCCGCTCGATGCAGCCCCCTTGGCCTTGGCAGCGCGTTGCGCATTTTGAATTCGTTGCCGCACGAGTTTGGCAATGGCGTTTTGAGTCCGCACATTGAGGATGTCCAGTTTGGCGTCCAAGTCTCTCTTCAAGTCCCAATTGGGCTTCTTCGGCTGTAGCTTGAAGAGGTCAATCGGCTGCTCCGCTTCCTCGTCTTTCTTTGCTTGTTCCGCGGTGGCTTTGGCGATTTCCGCAGCTTGCGCTTCCAAAGTGGTCTGTCCGTCGATTGGGGTTTGATCGAAGCCCAATTTTGGACCGCGAGTTTCGGCGTCATAATTCCGTCCAGAGAGATACTTTTTCGAGATGTCGTTGGCCGCATCCTGCATCTCCTCGTCCTTGTCTTGGGCTTCGGTGGATGTTTCCGGCTCAGGCTGCTTTCTTTTCATCGACGCGAGCTTCGCAAGGCGAGCCTTGCGCTCTGTAGCTGCGGCGTCCAGAGAGGCATGGTTTGACGACATCTTTGCGGGGAAGTGATCCGAGGTATAAAAGGGAGGGAGAAGATGGAGATCGAGACAGAAACAGAGAAATTAGAATTGGAACTCAAGAAAGCCCCAGAAGTCAATAAAATTACTGCAAGAAGAGGGTTGCGACTGCTGGCGCGATCATGAAATTTCTCAAGTTGGAGCTTGCAAGAAGATCTTCCGCCCGCCGATACTGAACGTAGTGCGCCACACTTCCGTCCACTAGCCACAGCCGCGCCGGAGCAAAATCGGGCGTCTCCATCTCAAAATCACCTCCGAACGATTCCCTGCCCGTCATATCGTCTCACGTCTCCGGTGATCCTCCGACTGTTTTTCTTGTTCAATGTATGAGAACACGGAATCCTGAATGTCATTTTGTCCGCATCACCTCCTGCGATCCCGCTTAAGCGCTGGACTGCAGCAGAGGCTGCATCTAGGGCAATGGAATCGATACCGCGCAAGTGCTCCGAGGGCGCGGTATTTTGTGGATGATGCATCCAAGTCGAATGTTGCTTCTCCGCGCGAAATTGAAGCCTTTGGCCATGGGTTAAACGCCTCCTCTGCCTCTCGCGATGCTGTCAGGGAGAGTGACCAGCTTCAACGACCTCCGACGTTCGAATCATCCTCGACTCCTGATCAGACGCACGATATCGATCCCCAAACAGACGACCCCTCCGGTTCTCCAGTATCACAAGACGATTCAGCGCATATAGCACCAACCGAATCATCAACACTTCGCCAGGCTCGTTCTGCCGCCCCTATCCTATCACTTTCTCGGCGCCGAACTGCTGTTAAACGAGGTCTCCGGCCGCGGATCGTTTATAACACACTCACCGTCATCAATGGGGAGAAAACTCCCAAGCAAAGGCTAGTGAGCGAGGAAGCTATAGAACTAGAGAAAAGTATCAGAGCGAAGTCCCTGTTCTACGACGGTAACGAAGTTCGGAGCTGGAGGGTCGGCTGCACCGAGCTATACAAAGCCAAATATTACGGACGGAAAGCACGAGAGGAATTGGTACCCTCGAAATTGACTAGGGAAGACACGAAGCTCCTCGAGAAGATCAATGCCGACTGCCTGGGCGAATTTCGGGAGGCATGGGAGGCCTTGGACAAGAACGCGAAAGCCGACCACTGGAAGCGCTTGTCGCTGTGGTTGTTGCAACATTCACCACAGAAGGCCCTCGAGTTTTTGCTGGTTACTTCGCAAAGCCCCGACAAGCCGGTCTTTCTCATGGTCTCCGACTGCCTCTTGTACCTGGAAGCGTTCCTCTCTCAGGAATTGAAGGGCAAGAAAGTTGGATCGCATACCTACGACTCTGTCATCGAGACGTGCTTGGACCCGCATACGTGGCCTGTGCTATTCCTACCCCAGAAAGGTGTCCGGCTCTACCTGAAAAAGGCAAAGCGAGCAAGCGTCTACCATGCGTACAAACTCGCATACCAGCGACGAGCTCACTTGAAGGCGGAAACCTTCCTCTGTTTCATGCGTCGGTTTATCGAATTCAGAGATATCGACTCGGCAATCAAGGTGCTCGAGCGACTGCAGAGATTACGACAACACGAATTCTCCTTGAATTCTGATGGGGTCATGCGTCATTGCTGCAAGCTTTTGTTGCTCGACTCGGTCGTGGATGGACCTAACGGGCGCAATTTTCGCATCCTCCCTAGACTTCTTGAGCTTGGGGTACGGCCGGACCGGGACATGATGAACGTGGTCCTGTCCAATGCGTTCAAGACCGGCGATCCCCAACTGGGTCTCGATATGCTGGATTTCATGACGAGTCAGGGCCTAGAGCCGGACTCGTACACTTACCTGACCCTCCTCAGCGATGCCGTGTCTCGTGGAGACCGCGAACGTGTACAGTCGCTGGTGCAGGAGATCAAGAGCCGAGGCGATCTCCAAAAGAACCCTTGGATTGCGAGCAAGATGTTCCATGCTCACTTCGTTTTCACGGCGAAACATGCCGACTCGGACGCCGATCTGAATTCCATCTTCTATTCCATGCTGGACATGTATAACCAGTTACACGACATCACGCCTTTGAAAGAACTCTCCATCATCCCTCCCGAATACACCCCGCCGCCGGGGGGCGGTGATCTGCCCCCCTCCCCTGTTGCGCTGTATCTCATGATCGCGACATATCTGCGTTGTCAGAAACGCATCTTCCACGCCCAGCGCATCTATTCCAAATATCGGTCTCTGGTATTAAGCGGGCATGAAACCATCGCGCCGCTTGCCGCAACAGACCACACCTATAACGAGTTTTTGGTCGCCTTCCGCAACGATCCCCGGGGTCTTCGCCCGTCGGTGCGATTAGTGGAAGACATGCTGCAGTCTGCCACCGAAGCCAGTACAGAAGGGCAGGAGACCGCCATTACTCCCGCCAAGCCGACCGTTCGGACGTGGACTCTGCTGTTGAGTGCATTTGTGTTCAACCGGCAACCGCTTGCCGCCGAGAAAGTCCGCGAAATGATGGCCAAACACGGCGTCGAATACAACATGGTGACTTGGAACATCATCATTAATGGTTACGCCAACGCGCAGAACATTCCCGAGGTTGCAAATACGATTAAGGCGATGGAGGACCAGGGGTTCAGCATTGATGCGTATACCATGAAGTGTCTTCGCTACCTGCGCGACCCCGAACGGCTGTGGGTTGCGGTCGAGGAGTTGGACAAGTCGTCCGAGACCGGCCTTCAGAAGACGGATTCGACGTCGGATGTTTCCGATATTGAGGAAGAGAAGTTGTCCGGGAGTGAGGATTTCCTTGACCAAGGGCTGCAGCGGTTGAGGGAAAGAATGGAGCCCAAGTTATGAGATACCCAGGTCGGAGCATTTCGGGAGGCGATTTTAGGGATATATAGAGCCTGTACCAATAGACCAGCTAGATATGGCTGTGTAGCATATCAATCTATGTACCATACAATATGAATCATGACTCGTAGATATTATTGTGGCTTGAACCACATGAACTAGTAACGCCTTCCGGTGACCATGCTATCGAACCTTAAGGGACAGTATCAACTGCCGAAGAAGATGGAGACCTAGGTAGGTATGGTATTAGCTATTGTCTTTGTTGGTCCTGAGGGTGTCTTACCGCCATGAGGATGCAGCAGATGCTGACATATGGACTGAGTCGTTCACCGACCCGCGCGCATTTCCAGAAGATGCCAAAGAAGCTGTTGATTGTGAGCGTTTTGCTTGACTGGCCAGGGAGATAGACGTACCCATGCTGATTGCGGTCCATGATCCCGGGCATGATGGAATGGGCGTACGTGCTCGTACAGATGATGAGCAGGAAGACCAGGAGGAGCGACTGGAAGTTGAACAGAGCCGACTGCGTGATGCGAAGTTAGCATGGTCCTAGAAGTGAATAGCGGACGATGTCATCTCCAGCCATCTCTCACTTCACGATTTCACTTCTAGAAACAAAGGAGGTTTCTCCCTCACTCACCATCTTGAAATCTGCAGTCCACCACTCAGCTTCTCAATTTCTGTGATCTCTCGTTCAGTCCAGCGCAACACTCAACCAAGAAGTTGATAGTTGTCGTGACGGTGTCCCGCGGGAAATTCTGCCGCCATGTCGACCTCCAACCGCGCTCACCGCCGGCGCACACCCGCACCCAACAACACCGCCAACGCCGTCCAAGACGCTCCCTCTGCATCTCCATCGCCATCCACGCACGACTCGAAGCCTTCGCCTCGTCGCCCCGCGCACAAGGCCTCTCGAAAACTCTCCCAACCCCCGCGCCAGCCCGGCACGGGCCATGTGTCGACGCAGCTCGCACCTCCGTGGCCGTTCAATCCCTCCGAAACAGCCTTAATCCGCGCGGGCTATCTCCCAGCCTTCAAGCCTAAGCCTTCGCCTTCCACTACCGCCGCCGACGACAAGCATCCCGAAGCGAACTCCAAACACAAACCGACTCCCAAGATGGCCGAGCCTCGAGCCCGTGCCGCGCGGCACAAGGGGCAGATGAATTTCGCCTCGGAGCGTGCGTCGTCCCCCGTCCCCCATTTCTATTCCATCGAAGACGGTGTACGGTGTACTGACGAAAGTATGGACAGTCCGCCTCCTCCTCCTCGCCTACGGCGACCCCAGCCCGCACCCGTCCTTCCCGGCCGAGCCGCTCCCCGAGACGGTGCGCGTGCTCGACGAGATCGTCACCGACTTCGTGCTGGAGATGTGCCACGGCGCGGCGCAGTACGCGAGCTACTCGCGCCGGCAGAAGATCAAGGTCGACGACTTCCGGTTTGCGCTACGGCGCGACCCCAACAAGCTGGGGCGTGTGCAGGAGCTGCTGCGCATGGAACGCGAGCTGAAGGAGGCGCGCAAGGCGTTCGACCAGAACGATGACCAGGTGGGGAATCTGAAGGATGCGGGGAAGAAGGGGCTGGAGGAGCTGGGTGAGGCCGTCGATGGGAAGAAGAGTAAGGGGAAGGGGAAGCGTGGTGTTAGACGGGATTCGGATGCTGGGGACGATGCTTCTTCGAAGAAGAGGAAGACTGGTTGAGCTTGCGTACGGGGTGTTTTATGCTGGGGTGTGTTTCTTCGGAGAAGAGGAAGACTGGTTGATCTTACTCGCGTACAGGGTGTTTTCTGCGCTGGGTTCTCTGACTACATGGATGGTACTGCATGGGAGGCGTTATCGCGTTATGGAGGGTGGTTCATTCGGATCATAGCATTGCACGCTTTTATCGTATCTACGGACAACAAGACTAGGTCACTATATGTCCATTGCATCATGAATGTCGCCAGACTCGTAATCATCAAGTCTACAGATCGGAGCAGCTGCTCCACCCCAACCATCTCGCACTTCCAATCACCAAAGCCAGATGGACTCCCATACGCCATGCTCTTTCTTGCGTGCGTCTTTTCTTTCGCCCTTTTCTTCCGCCCACGGTAAACTGCCAATGATCACGGATGCAAACAAAGCAGAACGAAAGCTTTTTACCACAAATAACCCTGAGAGGACCCTAGACACAGAAGGAAGAAAGAATCGATGCGGATAGCCAACAAGATCGACGGAGAAAGCGATGGGAACAGATAGATGTAAGGAAAGAAAGGTATCTCATCTTCCACCGTAACATGCACTAAGCGCGGACCTCCTCTCCACTGCGTTCTTGGTTCCGCTGCTGGCCGCCACGGCCGCCTTTGCCGCCTCGTTGACCTCCACGCTGACCGGACTCTGTGCTGCCAGACTCGCCACCCAAGGTGAGCTGGGCGGTGGCTAGCCGGTTGGACAGCTCCATCTGTGTGCGGATGGTGTTGGCCAGGTAGGACACCACCAGGACGTCCTGGATGTGGTTGTTGCTGGAAGTGGTTAGCGGCTGTCGAGAGAATAAAAGGGAAAAGAACGTACAAGTCCCGCTCGATATCGGCGGGTTCGACCTTGGGCGCCAGAGCCAGGGCGTTCAGCAGGAACTGACCCAGCGCCGTGGACGCGGGAGCCTCCTCGTCAATGACGGACTCGACGTAGCGGGAGACACGGTCGATCATGCCGAGGACCTCCTCAATGGCGCGCTCGAGGGCCTCAATGTCAGTGAAGAGGTTGGCGGCGCGCTCCTCGGCGTCGCGGGCGGCGGCAATGGCCTCCAGACCACTCTTTTCGGTCTCGCCGTAGCGGATCTCGTGGGGCACGGGGATGAAGGCGGCGCTGTCGGCGGCTCTCTCGGCGGTGACACCGACGGGGGCCGAGATGTAGGCGCGGGTCTCGATGTCCTTGCCGGGCTCAGTGGACACGGTGAGGTGGACGGCCGGGTGGGGGAACGTGCCGTCGCCCTGGCCGCTGTAGAAGTTCTGGATCAAGGCGGAGAAGGTGTTCAACTCGGACGACGTGGCGTACCAACCCACCAGGACCTCCTTGGGGTTGGCCTTGAGATGCAGGGCGAGCATCTGCTTCTGATATTCCATATCCACCTCGACCTGGTCCGTCGTCTCCGTGTGTCCGACAGCAAAGGTGCTGCGAATTTCCACCTCGGTGCCATCCTCCGACCGGGTTCCGAGAAGCGTACCGATGACACGCTCCTGATCGGCGTTGCGACGAAGGGAGTGATCGAGGATCGAGAAGAGGGCCTTCCCTTATCAGCGAGAGAATTGGGTAGATTGAAATTTGCGACGTACCTGGGGCTGAATCACGACGTTCAGAGGGGCAGTCGTCGGGGCAGACCCGACGGCCACGGGGCCCAGAGGACGAGCGAGATGCAGGAAGGGATCAGCTGCAGCCATGGTGAAGTGTGCGAAGGGGATATGAGGAATGAGTCGGGGGAGGGAGAGAGTCTGGTGGGGAGTGGCTCTTTGATCGGTTCTTCCGCCCCAAAGAGAGACGCCGAACGGGCGAGGCTCAAATTGTGTGTGCGCAACGGGAATTTCGCGCTAAGATAAGATAAGCCGCCACGAAAATACTTCACCATACTGTACCCCGTTTCTACGCAGTCTGTCGTTTCTCTTCTGTCTAGAATAAATATTACTACATCATGGCTCCTCCCAGGGGTAAAGGTCCTAAAAGACATGCGAAAGGATCTAGAGCTCCCGTCAAACGGAAAAATGGCTTTGCGACCTCGCGCCTTGACGAAGTAGAGTGAGTGCGCTTCTCCTGCTTCTGCTGTCATGCGTCTAACCTGCTCAGTTCGGACGCATCGTCTGCGGCAGATGAATTCCCGACCGGAGACCTTTCAGAAAACGAGATGGATCACGAAGAAGCGGGGGATGACGCCTCCGACAGCGAGGAAGAAGACCTGAACGCGGGTCAGTCATACAACGAATTGCTGCAGCTTCTGCAGGCCACCGACTCCAAGGGACCCGCTCGTAAGAAGAGAAAGGTCGAACATAAGGAAGAGAAGGTCAAGAAGCTCAAGACCGATGCGGTCGTAGAGGGAGCGGAGGAGGAGGAGAAGGAAGAGGAAGAGGAAGCCGTCGCAAACGATTTGGAACAACAAGAACCTTCGGACGAGGAGGACGCCAACTTGGATGAAGCCAATGCCGATGAGCAGGATAGCGATACAGAAGATGGTATGCTATGGCCTTCAGCTTGTCGATTAATATCTTCTGACTGTACAGGAACCGATCCGTTCGAATCGCATTTTGCCAATCCGAAAGAAGCAGACTTGACCAAGAAAATCCAAGCGGTTGAGGCGAAGAAATGGACGACCGCGAAGAAGGAGACAGAGGGTCTGCGGCTAGTGCGCAGTGTCCCAGAGGGAGCTGAGGCGTCGTTCCTCCCGACTATGAAGAGCCTCGCCAATGTCAAGGTGAGACATGTTGACGGACAGATAGAGCACGCAGACTAACAACCACAGCTCAAACGTAAACTACAGACTACAGCGAAAGACGCCATCCCATCTATCAGCGGGCACGCCCAGCATCTTGCGCCTTACGTCTTCGACTACCAGGATGTGCTATATGGCGCCCGAACTACATCCAACGCCGTCCCCATGCGCGATATTCTCGCAGCCCACGCCACCAACCACGTGCTGAAGACGCGGGATCGCGTCCTCAAGAACAACCTCCGCGCTGCGAAAGAACAGGATGCCGACCTCGACCTCCGCGACCAAGGCTTCACACGACCCAAGGTGCTCTATCTTCTGCCATCGAAGCAGGCGTGCGTGCGGGTGGTCGAGTCCATCACCCGACTGTTCCAGCCGGAGCAACAGGAAAACAAGAAACGCTTCTTGGACACCTTCTCGGCGGAAGACGACGTCTCGTGGGACAACAAACCGGACGATTTCCGCGAGTTGTTTGCCGGGAACAACGACGACATGTTCCGGCTGGGACTGAAGTTTACCAGAAAGACCATCAAGTTCTTTGCGCAGTTCTACACGTCCGACATGATCCTGGCCAGTCCACTGGGTCTGCGGACCATCATGGACCAGGCAGAGTAAGTCAACCGCCCAGCCATTATTCTCGGCGGCCAGCTAACCGGACAGTGCCAAAAAACGCGACCACGACTTTTTGTCCTCGATTGAAGTGGTCATCGTCGACCACGCCGACGCCCTGCAGATGCAGAACTGGGACCACGTCGACTACATCCTGAAGCACCTCAACCTGCAACCGAAGGAGGCGCACGGCTGCGACTTCAGCCGGGTGCGGCCGTGGTACCTGGACAACCAGGCGCGGCACGTGCGCCAGCTGATCATGCTGGCGGGCTTCATCACGCCCGAAATCAACTCGGTGTATTCAGCGCAGATGCAGAACGTCGCAGGCAAGGTAAAGGCGACACCCGTGTACGAGGGGGCGATCTCGGAGCTCCCGCTGCCGGTATCGGTGAAGCAGACGTTCTCGCGGTTCGACAGTCTCTCGCCGGCGAAAGACCCGGACGCGCGGTTCAAGCACTTTACGACGACGGTGCTGTCGACGCTGGTGCGGCAGATCACCGCCGGCCGCGGCAAGCACCGCGGCGGCGTGCTGATCGTGATCCCGTCGTACCTGGACTTTGTGCGGGTGCGCAACCACTTTGCGACGTCGGCGCAGACGGCCAACCTCTCGTTCGGCGCCATCTCCGAGTACACGGAGCCGCGCGAGGTGGCGCGCGCGCGCAGCCACTTCATGAACGGGCGCCACTCGGTGCTGCTGTACTCGGAGCGGTTCCACCACTTCCGGCGGTACCAGATCCGCGGCGTCAGGCAGGTGGTCATGTACGGGGTGCCGGAGAACCCGCGGTTCTATGGCGAGATGGTCGGGTTCCTGGGGCTGGATGCGGCGGCGGTGGTGGAAGCGGCCGAGGGCGGCGTGCGGGCGTTGTTTTCCAAGTGGGATGCGCTGAAGCTGGAGCGGGTGGTCGGCACGAAACGGCTGGGGAACATGATGCGCGAGAGGGGGGGAGATACCTTTACTTTTGTATAGATTGGGGTGGAGGTAGCCATAATTCGGAAAATTCATTCATATTCATATTCATTACTCTGGTACAATTCATAGTGGGTCGCCTGATCGCTAACGATCTGATCCTTTCACCGCTAAAAATCTCCTTGCATCGCGTACTCGGGTGCAACTCGTCTACGGAGTACTTCAGTCGAGATACTGACACATTCCTCACCCTGTTGCCATCATGACAGACCCTCATATTGCCCAAGTCTCAAACCATGATGAGCGAACGCCCCTGCTCCCAGACCGACCCTCATCCTCATCCTCGGCACAACCACGCTGGGCCGCCGGGCGAGATCTCGCCCGCGAAGCCTGGCTCCAAGGCAAAGGCATGATTCTCGTGCTGGCGGCGCAATTCTTCGGCTCGTCCATGAACGTGATGACACAGATCCTGGAGCGCACAGGGAACGACGGCAAAGGCTACGACCCGTTCCAGGTACCCCTCCACACACCATATCTAGCGTCCACCAGACCCAGCTAACCGTGTACTCCTAGATCCTCTTCGCGCGCATGTCCATCACAATGGTAGCCAGCTACCTGTACATGTGGTACGCGCGGGTAGCGCACCCGTTCGGCACGCGGGCGGTGCTGGGGCTGCTCGTGGTGCGGGCGATGGCCGGCTTCATCGGCGTCTACGGGCTGTACTACTCGGTGCAATATCTGGCGCTGTCGGAGGCGACGGTGCTGACGTTCCTGGCGCCGATCGCCAGCTGCTACGCGTGCTCGTTCGTGCTGCCGAACGAGGTGTTTACGCGGCGGCAGCAGCTGGCCGCCGTGGTGTCGCTGGCCGGGGTGGTGCTGATCGCGCGGCCGTTTGGGCTGGCCACCCGGCCGCCGGCGTCTGGAAACGACGACGGCGCAGGCCGCGACGAGACGCAGCACATCCTGGCCATCGGCATGGGGTTGGTGGGTGTGGCCGGCGCCAGCTGTGCGTACACCACCATCCGGGTGATCGGCCAGCGCGCGCACCCGCTCGTCTCGGTTACGTGGTTTGCCACCGTCACGACGCTGGGGTCGCTCGTGGCCATGCTGGTGCTGCCGTCGGTGTCGGTGCAGCTGCCTGCGACGCGGGGGGAGTGGGTGTTACTGGTGGGACTGGGGGTGTGTGGGTTCTTGCTGCAGTTTCTGCTGACGGCGGGGTTGGCGTATGTGCCGCCTGCGCGGAGTAGTGCTGCTAGTGCGGAGAATGCAGACGAGGAGGGCGAGGCGCAGGATAAACCGCGGCCGACGTCGTCCGGGTCGCGGGCGACGTCCATGCTGTATACGCAGATGCTGTTTGCGCTGGTCTACGACCGGGTGATCTGGGGGACGACGCTGTCGGCGATGAGCTGGGGCGGGTCGGCGTTGATTTTGGGGAGTGCGATATATGTGGCGATGGCTAGGAGGGTATAGATGGATGATAGGATGAGATAGATGATCTGCGGATGTATATATCCGTGCGGGCAGAAACATCGACCTGCGCAATGACCAACTCAGCTCGACCTCCTCGGCCTCCGTTGGTCTGCAGACGCATACAAAGAGTACAGATCATACATATCAGCAAGGATGCAATCATGAAGCTGAATGTATGAAAATGGATGCATCCTAAACCGGAGCATCGTGGTCCTAGCTCAGCCACCACGTCATAGGGTTACAGTGCACACCGGATTCTCCCGAAAGCGCCAATAGAACGAGTCAAACAGTGCAGGCGGTGGCGCTGATCTTCAACTGCAGAGTATATAAGGAGATCCAGTCTTCGACTATCCCATCCCCATACCCCAGAATCCATACATATGCTACCTATACACCTATATCCATAGACTATAGACCCCTAAGATGCGCCACTTTGACGCCTGGCTCCTCCGCGACCCCTACTCCATCTTCCACTACTATCCCACCGGCCGCCGCTGGCAAGAGACCGTCCGCGACCTGATCCACGACCGCAAGATCTGTTCGCCCATCGAATCTCCGTCCAATCCGCCCGTCAACCTCAATGCGCATCCCATCCACCCGCAGTCCGACTCGCTGTTCATGACCCGTCTGCCGCCGGAGATCCGCCTGCGCATCTACCAGTACGCCTTTGGCGATGAAGTCGTGCATCTCGTGCAGCTGAAGGACAAGATCCGGCATGTGCGCTGTCCCCACGCGGACTCGTCGCTCGATCGCAATCGGAGATGTTGTCCGGTGACGCCGGCGCGATGGCGGCTTGACACTAGCAGCAGCAGCCCGTCTACAACCAGCACTACCAGTAGTAATGCCACCACTGCTACTACCGCAGCTCCCGCTGCGGTAGTCCTCTATCCCCACACCCACCCAGCCCTCCCCTCGCACCTCAGCACCTCCTCCCTCCCCCTCCTACGCACCTGTCGCGCCATCTACGCCGAAGCCGCCGACCTGCCCTACACAACGCCGACCTTCGACGTCGACGACCTGCACACCTTCATCGCGTTCGCGCAGACCATCGCGCCGCAGCATCTGCGCGCGCTGAAACGCCTCTCCGTGCACTACACGCCGGTTTGGCAGCCGCTGTCGGGCCAGTCACACAAATCCTCCATCTACGCGCACACGCATAACGACGAGCTGTGGACGCGGTTCTGGGACCGGGTCGCGGCGTGCTCCGGCCTCGAGCAGTTGCATCTTACCCTCGATCTCGGGAGGTTTACCTCCACTGCTCCTGCGGGTCCTGGGGCCCCCGGGTTGGTGGGGGGTGTAGGTGGCGGTGGGGGTGGGCTGCGGCTGGCGATTGAGGAGCCCTGGGTTGCGCCTATCCTTGCGGTGCGCGGGTTGCGTCGGTTTGAGCTTGCGGTCACGGCGCGGGCGGACCCCCGGGCGAAGGCGCGGCTTGAACGCGAGCTTGTGCGCGATGCGGTTGTTCTGCGGGATCGGTTGCGCGAGGTGCTTTGCTCGCCGGGGGATTATGAGTTGTCTGATGGGGAGGGGCAGAGTGAAAGTAGTGTGCCCTGTGCTGGCGGGAGGCGTCCCCGGCTGGCTATCACGGCGGCATAGCCTGGATTTCGTTTCATTGATACCCTATACCCTATTTTGTCGTTGCATAGATTAGATAAAAGAATATGCATAAACTCTATCGTCCAACTAGCTATACAATTTATCTCCATCATGCCCATGCCATTACCCAGAACCCCATTATCAATATCATTACCGATCAATGAATGCATTCTATCGCCAATCTCCATTGATCTCGCTTTTATCATTGTGCTGTCGCTGTAACATAACCCCCTAAGCTGACTGCATCTTGTCAGCCTCGGCATGCCCGTTCTGACGCTCCTGCTCCGAGTCCTCCCCGCTGGACGGGGACGGCGCCCGGCTCTGTATCAGAGACTGCCGGCTGCGCATCTACTATCAGTTAGTACTCGGAACTCGGCCGGCATCAAACCTGCAAGAAAACTCACCCATGCACGCACGCCCCCAATCAACCCCAAACTGTAGCCCGTGGCAAAATCTTCATGTCGTCCGTTGCCGACAGGGCTATCCGGTCGGCCCATCGCTTCCACACGCGAAAGATGCGTCTTCGGTCCCCCAGTCGGACTGGTGATGCCGCTCCGCGAGCCACCCAGATCGACGCTGTTCCGCGCGCTGGGCGCCGGGCTGCCCGGACGGCTGTTCTGCCACAGCTGGCGCAGCTCGCGGCTCAACTCCTGGCCGGTCGTAGACCAGTTCGTCTTGATGGTGTCGCGGATCTCGGCCACGTGGCGGCGCACCTCCAGCTCGTTCTTCTTCAGCCACGACACGTTCAGCTCCTGCCGCGATGCCCCGCGCTTGAACTGCCGCGAGATGTACTGGTCGTAGTCGCGAACGATCCTATCTCGTTAGTCAACGCCCAGACAACATCCTTGGACACATACCGTGTGATGATCCCCGTGGTGCTGACACCTTCTGTACGCTGAGTGACGAGGAACTTGCCCTGCGCCTTGATCGGGGCGTAGATGTCGTCGCCCTCGTCCGCGCCGTACGGCAGATCATCGTGCGCAACGTAGTCGATCTGATGCTGCTCGATGAACTCGGGCGTCACGATCCACGGACAGTCAGGGATGACTTCGTCCACCCATTTACAGTGGCGCACGCTCTCCACGCGCTCCGCCCCGCTCAGCACCGTCAGACCCTTCCGCTTGTGCGTTTCGTCATCGCCCGTCACTCCCACCATCAGATGTACCTGGGGGAAAGCTTTCTTGGCCTGTTCGAGCTGGCGCATGTGACTGTTCAGTTAGCAAGGAATCGAACAACAGGAAAGACAGAAGCCGGGAACACACCCCAAGTGGAACAAATCAAACACTCCATCCGCATACACGCGAACCGGCCGTCCTGTCGGCGGCGGGTTGGTATGGTATCCGACCGGGTCGAGCAAGCCCGCGCGCTGGGGTGGTTCGAGCTCCGTCCGGAGCTGTAGGCCGGGCCGCTTGCTGTGACTCTCGATGTCGCTGCTGGCGACGGTCGTCTCGGACGGCTCGCCGGGGTCCTCCTTACTGATCGCAGACGGATCCTCTGTGGCGGCCCCATTGGCGGGCGTCTGGTCGGTGGTCGTCGAGCTCTTGCGGGCCCGCTTGGACGGCGGCACCGCGGCCGCGGACGTCACGTTCCCGGCGGGCTTCTTGGGCTGGGGGCTTGTCGGACCGGTGGACTCGTCGCCCTCCTCGCCCGAGGCGTCACGAGAAGACGGTTGGAGGAGGTCGGCGGCGACGGGCTTGGGGGCGTCGGCGGTGATGTGTTGGGACGCACTGCGCTTGCGTTTGTGGGCGGTGGACGGAGAGGACATGATGCGGACGGAGGAGCGCAGCTCACTGTCTGTCCAGGGAATAAGGATGAAATGAGGAAGAACAGAGGATAGAAGGTGGTGGAAAAGGACAACGGGCGGAAGGAAAAAGAAGCGGGAGGAGCCGGTGGGTGGAGGAGGATCAAAACGTTGGGGGGAGACTATGGAAGAGAGGAAGGAAAGAGGGGAAGAGAACAGATGTCGACACGGGGTTTGTATCTTTTCTTTTTCCTCCTCTCTTTGATCCTGACAATTGAATTGATTTTTCTCGTGATCGATTGCGCCAGCGCCAGATTAATAGACAATAATAATACTAAGAGAAAAGGAGAGCAGAATCTTCGGGGATTCCGTCATCCGGTATTGTACAGTAACCCGCATTACCTCTGGGGGTTCACCGCCTACAACCTTACAGTAGAGCTCTAACAGAGTCAATTCCTACCGTTCTATATCCTTCGGTAGAATCAAAACGCTGCTTTCCCACGGCCAGAACTCCTGCAAAGCATGCCCTCCCTCATGCCGCCATTGCTCATCCGCATACGCCGTCCTCGGTGCAAAGTCAGTCGGTGGCTGTTTAACCCGTCGCATTTAAGAAGAAGAAGAAGTGGAAAAGGACAGGGCGTAGCGTCCAAAAGTCCATCAAATGTTTGTTCGAGGTATTCAGTCATGGTCATCAATAGCTGTCGTGTTGCGCGGTATCTTCAAGGCATCCAGTCTGCCGCTCGCGGCTTGGAATAGAATCGAATGAACCTCCTATCCTAGTGTTGCCCAATCCCGTCCACAAGACATGATCATATCGTTGAATAAGGAGAGCTCTCAGGCGTCCTCCACTGTCCAGATGTCCATGGTAATTCAAGAAGAAAGAGATAAAAAGGGGAGAACAGAGCGCTCGGAGAATAGATAGGAAAAAAATAGATCGGAAGGACATGCGAGAGGGGTCGGTCATAAATCACAAGAATCGTTTTCAACCAAAACCAAAACAAAAGGGAACAAATGCAACAGATCCATCCGCACTACGACGAAGACGGCTTTGCGGAAGAACTAGAACTCTCGGTGGTGGACGACGGGGACTCTGATATGTGCTCCGGCTTGGAATCCCCCTGCGCCTGTGGGCCGGGGGTCCCTTCCCGTTCTTTCCGGGAGGCATCCGGCGAGTTGCGTTGCACCTGACTGGGAAGGTCGCGGTCTTCCTCGGTCCGGTCAAACAGCTCCTCATCGTTGTGCTCGGGGACCAGTTCACTGCCATCGCCCAGGAGGATAATCCGGCCAGACCGGACGCTGAAGCCACGCGCCCGATCGTTGTCCATGTCATAGTCATCCGGGTTCTCTTCGAATTGGTTCCGGATCCCAGGGCCGCGGAACTCAGCTGTACCCCCGTACAGTCAGTAGGGTTTGGAGGCCGTGGATTCCTCAAGAGACTTGCCATATTCGGGCGGCGCGCAGGGGCCGTCGCCTTGAGCCACGCGCTCGGCGATCTGGTTGTACCACTCCTCCTTGGTGCGGCCGTTCAGCAGGCCGATGATGACCATGGTCATGTTGTCGCACCCCACCCCACCGGTCTCACTGTTGGAGGCCAGGCAGTTGTCCATCATGTTCTCGCAGATGCGGTAGAGGTCCTGTTTGGCTGCGATACCACGGCGGACGAATTCAATGACGGCCTGAGAAGACTGGCAATCCCAGATACCTATATGGCATTAGTGGGGTCAGCTATCATGGAGATGACTATCTTACCGTCACAGGCAATGACCAGGAACTCATCATCGTCGGTGAGCTCGTGAACCGTCACGTCGGGATAGGCGGTCACGATCTGCTGCTCGGGAGACAGCTCCGGGCTCTTCTTGAATTCGAAATCTCCAATGGCTCGGGAGAGGGCCAGGTTGCCATTCACACGGCCAAAATCGACGAAGCCTCCGGCGGCGCTGATCCGAGCTTTCTCGCCTGTATCCTGCATTAGACAATTTCATGCACACGTGTCGATCAATGCACGAACCTTCATTCTGTGGCTTGTGGTCGAACGAAAGGGGCTTTGCGCGGCCCTTGACCCCAAGAACCGAACGGGAGTCACCAGCATTGGCCTACACCCGTTAATTCCGCGCAAACGGGCAGAGACAGAACATATACATACCACCCAGATCTTGTGCTTGGAGATGACGCTGACCGCTGCGGTACAGCCCGAGACCTCTTCCTCATATTTCGGATCTAGCCGGGTCAGTCTTGTCGGCGAACAAAAGGCGAGGCATGCGGACGAACCTTCCAAGATAGCCCGGTCGGTGGCGAGGAAGCCATCCTTCAAGGCCTGCTCGATATCGCCTTTCTCGAACGAATCTTGCTTTGCGACAATCTTGTGGAGATTCTCTCCCGCAAAGAGGGCGACTTTATCTCCACCGTGCCCGTCGTATACTCCGAAGAAGGCCATTCGTTTCGCGGGATCGGTCGGTTGATCTTGGGGCGTCGTGAACTTCGCATTGAGGTCTAGGATGGCGGCATGGGCATCCTCCATGCTAATTCGCCAGCCTTGCATGGCCGAAACACCGTAGATGCAGCACTCATCTTCGCCCTCGGAAGAAGTCTAGAGTCGATGGTGGTTAGCGAGATCGCAGAGGTCTGGTGAGGGTGGTGGTCGACAGCGTGTGGGAAATTTTCATCGGTGGTGGAGGACCCCGCAGACTGGATCACGACAGTGCCATGACCGGGAGCCCAGCAAGATCGGATGAGGTGACGCAACCCCAAGCGAAATCGGGGAGAGACCCAGAAGGCTCCCATCGCCGCATCTGCTTCCATCTGATGGATGACATTGGGGTTTCCGAAAGGGTTGGGGCTGCACGAGATGGCCCAGGGCTGGCGACCGAGGACGGGGAAAGCAGCGAAATTGCGTAAGAGACGCAATGTGGGGGAAAAATTGGGTAGGCAGAGAAAAGGGAAAAATGAAACATGCGACTGCGCGAAAGCAAACATGGTGAAAATCCACGTACCTTTTCGACGACTGGCTCTGACAAGGTCTGACCCATGATTTTGATCGGTCACAATTCAGAGGGAAGAGGGGCGTTCTGCAAGCCAGACACACAGAGAGAGATGAGCCGGTGGGGAGGGGGAGGAAAATTGTTTCCTGAAGGAGGTGTTGAGAAGAATGGAAAAAGGACGAGAGAGGACTGTCGAGGGATATGGAAGGGGAGGGGAGAGAAGAGAAGAAGAGGAAGAGAGAGAAGAGGAAAAGCGAGACAGTCAGGTGGGAGGAGCAGGATGGAGGAGAGGCAGAATTCGATGGGCGGCGGGCCGTACAGTACAGTCCGAGTATTTAAGGTATCAGTGTGGGGACGATGACAGCACAAGGAGGAGTAGATGGATCAGGATTGTAGATTCATAGAAGAGAAATAGTAATTTATACAGATGAATCCCTTCTTCTGAGATGAAACAATAACAGAAAGAAAGAAAGAAAGAAACAAAGAAGAAGAGAAGAGAAGAGAAAAGAGTCCAAGAATCAGGTCATCCAAAAGGTCACGGGTTCTGTAGAAGAGATTTTCTCCTATCGCCATCTAACTCCCTCTAGTTATCTCTACAGGCATCGATTAGGCTATTACGCCAGGTACACCATAGGTACATCATCGATAGAAATAACCTAGTAGAACCGGTTTCTGGTGTATACAGATATTGAAGTCATGACAAGACTTCCAAGGTTCCTTATGATAGTCCTGATTGATAGAGTAGTTACGTAGGTAAGCAGTTAACTTACTTGTAGGCACCTAGGTAGTATCTGACTCTCATCCTATGCTGATTCTATCTATATCATCATCTTCTATGTCTACTAGGTAATGTTATCCTCACTCATTTCACTCATAATAATTATTGGGATAGGCTGCTGACGCCAGAAGAAGCAAGAGGTCAGGTGCCCCTCGGTACCTACTAGTACCTAGGGAGTACCTCAGGTCATGTACATGTGTTGGTCCTGGGTCTGGCCCATCCATCCATCTATCCGTCCCATGCATCTCCAAGATTACACATCGCCTCCCAGCATAACTATACAACCCTTCCTTACTTCACTGCTTTGTTTATCCCTAGTCCAGAACCCCAACACAATCCATGAATCCCATTCTAATATCCTTTCCTCTAACCCACCCGAATCACCCACGTTGCACATCCCGCTATGAAAAACAACCCCGTCCCAACCATATACGGCAACCCCAGCCACACCCCCTCCAGACTCATCCCGTAGCGGAACGCACTCGCCAGCAGCGGCCCTGCCGTCATAATGCCCACCCCCTGCATCAGCCCAATCGTCGTGTTGAGGATCCCATTCTGGCTCTCATCCACCAGCGCACTGGCCACACTCCGCAGCGTCGAGTAGAAGCCCCATCCCAGCGCCGACAGCGACACCCCCAACGCAAACACCGCCGGCCTCCCCGCCAGCGCCATGATCGCGAACCCGCTCACCAGAATCACGCCGCTAGCCTGCGTCAGCCGGAGGTCCATCGTCACCGCCGAGAGGTATCGGCGCAGCCACCGCGACACCAGCGGGAGGAGCACCAGCAGCCCGACGAGGTTGATGCACCCCTTCAGTGAGATCAGGAAGCTGGCTTCCGCCATGCTCCAGGAGAACCGTTTCGATACGTACTGCAGCATGAGCTGGAGGGATTGTCGGCCCACGCTGGCTGTAAGGAACGCCACGGAGATCGCGAGGCTGTTGCGGCTGCCCCAGATGTAGGTTGTCAAATGCGACAGCTGCCCCAAGGCGTGTCGGAGACGGTCTCTCCAGGAGGGGGACTCGCTGGGAGCGTCACTGTCCTCGTTGGCTTCTTCGTCGGAGCTGTCCATCGTGCTCGGGAGCGTCTCAGGAACCCCCAGCCCAGCGAGGACCCCGCACACCTCGCAGACGCCCCCGAGGAGGAACGGTGCCCACAACGACCGTGCCATCATCCAGGCGCTCAGCGGCGTTGCGAGGATTTCGGCAAGGAGAATCGCCGCCGACACGATGAAAAAGATATTCGCCCTGAACCCATGGTTTAGCATGAATAGCGCGGAAGAGTAAGGAACTCGTACCGTTCCTCCACCGAGTAGATGTCGGCAATGATGGTGTAGACCATCGACGTAGCGACCTGGGTGCCGCCACCGTAGATCTGGAACAGCGGCGTGAACCATACCGCGCGGGGAGAAATGTATTCACTGTACCAGTCTGGTCAAGCATCAGTACAGTCGGGCTCCTCAGGAACAGGCCAAACATACAGATAAGTCGGACAGCCATCTCCTCCATGAGCAGTCCGCAAATGCTCATCAACGCGACTTTCTTGCGACCGATCCGATCAGCCATGAAGCCATACGGTAGGGATAGGGCAATGCCCGGCAGCGCGTCCAGCGTGTCCTTCCAGCCATTGATCAATGCCAGCTCCGATTGCACGGGGAGCGACTTGCACGGGGACCCATCCGGCGCATCTTGGAGCGTCTCTGGATGCTGCGCCTGGCCCAGTCTGCGACAGATGATCGTCTCGAGAAGCTGTGTCTGTGGGGCGATCGAGAGGTAACTTCCAAAGTCTATCGTGACGATCAGCACACAGACCAAGAACAAGATCCTGGTCTTGTGCTTAGGGGGTTTATGCACCGGGCGCCGTCCCAGGAGGGGGCTCGTCTCGACATGGTCATCTGCAGTCATCGGGTCCTCTCAGATGGAGGTAGATGTGTGGTTGTGGAGGGGAGGATCCCGATGGGAGTAGAAAGAGGCGAGGACTTGCATGGGGTCTGGTAGTATTTATGATGGACAAAGGGGAGATCAGCCTACGGGAACAATGTCACCCTACATGCGGCACAATAGTTAGCAACAAATCCCTAGTGCTTAGCTTATCTCACGCTCATGTAAATCTCTACCACAATGGTGTAGGAAAAATATCTGCCTAATCCTTAGAAGGTCGTATTATTATTATGCACGCAGGTAAGCATATACTATGATTGAAATAAGACACAATTGATAACAACTATGGATATCATAATCGCAAAATCCACTTATATACGCCATGCAGTAACAAGTCGCTCGACAGTCGACGTCCACTTCACACAAATGCTATGTCACTTCGCATACTCCCCGTCTGCTCTCGCTGCAATCGTCCCTGGCCATTGGCTTCTAGCTGGATCAAGCTGATGCGACGCGGCTTGCCGTCCAGCGGCACAGACGACGTGGATGGGCTCTTTGGTAGGGGGAACGGGTTGTTATCGCTCTGCGGGTAGGGGTTGGTCTTGGATCTCCTCCGGTGGTCGGCAGGGGCGGGACGCTCTTCCATCATATTCTCAATATCGCTGGACCCGCGGTCGCCATTGTTGCGTGCCTTTTGCGCCGAGACATCGAGACTGGAGTCGCTGAGGAACGGAGGGGCCGCGCCAATGGAGGCGGTATAGTTCTGGGCCAGACTCGACTGACTCGGCTTCTGGACCAGCGGCGCGAGCGGCCGCACATTGAAGGACTCCTCGGACAGGGAGTCGAGCCACGTGGACTGCCGGTTATCGTCTGTGTAGATGGATGCGGACAGCGCGGCCGACCAGCGTTCGTGCATCGAGCGTCGATAATCGTCGTTGGAGTTGGAGCTGCCGATGGTGTCGGCTCGGCTCGCGTTGCTGCGGGCTCGCTCCAATGCGCGAATGCCCGACGAGGTGCGGCGGCTCAGCTGTCCCGAGAACAGGGGGTTGGAGGAGTTGCGGTGCTTCGCGCGGCTATGTACGAATGCTTCGAGGGAGTCCGTCTCCGAGGCAGTCAGGGTGTCTGGCTCCACCGCGCGGAGGCTGAAGAACTTCGGATACTCCAAGCTATCGCGTGCCCGCGGGGGACGAGGAAACAACGGCGCCAAGTTTCCGACGCTGTTCTCGTCGCTCTGCAGAGACATATTTGTGTTCTGCCAGGACACCCGCACAATCCCGTGGCCTGGGGGCCCGAAGCCACCGGCTCCATGTCCGGCGCCGCTGATCCGGATCGGAAGGCCGGTTGCCACGGGGGAGATGCCGCTGGAACGCTTCGAGAGGCGTCGGGATTTAGTCGATTGCATCGAAGTTCGTTTCAACGACCGCCGTGGCTGGATCGGTTTGAGAGGCTCGCGTTTGTGAGAACTGTTCGTGCGTTTGCGCACATGCGTACTGCTCTGGAAAGACCGGCGCTTGGCCGGGCTCGACGTGTCGGATTGTTTCCCCTCGTCCGGCTCCGGAGCTTTCAGCGGCGCAAAGTCCCACTCGATGGTAGAGGTGGACAGTGTGTTCTCCCTCCGTGTCCGCTCCGGCCCGTCTCTCTCTTCCTGCGGCTGTGCGTTCTCGTCCCACAGGCCCAATTCCAGCTTGGGAGGCTTCGATGGCGAGGGGTTCCGGTCCATCCGGGGTGGCACGCCTGCTACGGTTTCTTCGTACGGTTGACAGCGAGGTAGGTCTGATTCTTCATCCGGACCCGAAGACGGGTCTTTTTCCTTGCCATCCTGGCCATCTTCGGCCTCTGCTGCTCTGCGCTTGCGTCTCCAGCAGCAACAGAGGAGGAATAGACTCAGCAGGAAGGCAACAGGGATGATGACCGAGATAGCGATGATACCTGCTTTGCTCCCGCTGGAACCTCCCCCAGAGCTTGTCGAGCCGCCGGTACTACTGTTGCCGGAACTCCCCTTGTCCACCGTATTGATGGTAAACTGGCGGCTGTCCTCTGCCGTCCCTTCACGTGCCGTTATGTTGATCGCCGACTTTCCGGGACTCAGGCCCGACGGGACGTTCCCGTAGAGCGTTTTGTTGCTGGCATCATAGTGCAGCCACGGTAGCTGGCTGCCGATATTCACGTCCAGCTGAACAGACTCACTCGTTAAGACGGAGTCGTTGAAAACAAAAGAGAAATATTCCCCGATGACGGCGTCGCACTCGGCCAAATTCTTGAAGAACTGCGAGAACTTCAACGAGAGAATAAGTGTGGCCACGTCGTTGTATTTGTCCGTCACAGATATCGTAACATTTGCGTCGGTGGCATCGTCGGATGGGGTACCCGACAGGGAGATAGTATCCTTATTCAGCTTCAACCATTCGGGCGATTCGGCATTGACGCCGGTCAAATCACTCGCTGCCGGCGTATTGCCATCCAGAGTCAGGGAGTCGACAAAGTCCGGAGTGGTGAATTCCTTCCCTTGGTTGACGAAGAAGGTCTGAGTGCTGTCGTTGAACGCCAGGATATGAGGGCTGATGGTCATATTGAAACTCATGGTAGCCGCACTGAAGCCAGCCACGTCCGAGGCGACTAGATTAAAATTGAAGGTCTGCGGTCCGATATTGGGTGCTGCGCCTGAGAAGCGGAGAGACGCTTGATCGAATGTGACCCACGACGGCAATGGGGCATTTTCGGGCGAAGTGCCATAGTACACTGTTGAGGGGCGGGTGTTGGTGAATGTGGATGAGTCGAAGGATATCGAGAAAGAATCCCCCGAGTGGATGAGGATCGTGGATGGAGCCGAAGTCGCCCCGATTGCTTCTAGCTGTGGGAGCAACGGGGTCCCAGGCTGAGGGCCATCATCGGTCGTGACGATCAAGGTCACGTCCATGCTGGCCGAGTTTCCTGTATCCGATGCCACAAGCTGGAACTTTGCCGTCCCTTCGTCGTCCTTCCCCGGCGTGCCAGACAGCGTATGGCTTGCGCTGTCCACTCGAAGCCATGATGGGGCGTTCACTAGAGAATAGATCGTGCTCGACTGAACTCCGCCGAAGGTCCCCGCGGAAAAGGTGAATTGATAAGGCTTGGATACTCGAGCCACCGGCGGCAACTGGGAGTTAATCGGATATTGTGTCCACAACTCTGCATTGACAGCCACTAGAAATGCCAGGGCAATCAATGCGACTATCAGTGCCATATCTTCACCGAAGGCCTAACAGCCTCACGAAGATATCCAGATGAGGGCACAGAGAAGACAAAGTAATACCTTGCCCTCAGACCACACAAAGACTGCTGGATTGACACGAAAGAACGGACAAAGAGGTGAAAAGGAGAAGAACAGAAGAGCTGCGGCGGAAATGGAGGAAGAGCCCGCCATTAGAAAGGACTCTCCATTCTCTAGGGTGCCGCGGCCCAGGGCAATCTGACACAGGAACTCGCGAGGCGTGCGGCCCCTTCGACAGAGCCATACCTGGATATGCTTGACGTCACGGAGGTATGGAGGATTGTTCGAGCCGGTGGGATGCGACGCGATCATGATCACGTTGCGAAATGTACATTCCTGCAAGGGATGGGTCCAGGAAAGCCGCGTGCCAACCACTAACAGCGATTCGGTGCCCTTCGGACAATTAAGGAGCAATCGATTGCATTCCAACGACGCCTAGTCGGAATTTTCTAAGGGCTCTAGGGCTCTGGTCCTCCCTTGGTGAAGCTTCGGTGCATATGGATCAAGGGCGCAGCGGAGGGTTGACAGGAGTCAAGGACCACGTTCAAAGGTCCAGGATCATGCGAATCCCCGTACGCCCTGGCGCGTAGTAATCGGCGATTTCCTCGCGCTCCTCGAATCCATTGCGAACGTACAAAGACCGGGCCGCATCCCTGGCCTTGTCCACCCACAGTTGAATATACTGGCATCCCTCCTTTTGCAGGCGTTGTCGGATATAGTTCATTAGCTCCATCCCGACGCCCCGCCGACGATAGGCCTCGACAACACAGACTTTGTGCAGCAGGGCCGCCCCCTTCTGCCGAACGTAGACAGCATAGGCGATCACAGGCGAGCGTCCTCCGGAAGTTCCGCTACTCGTCGTAGTCACGTATAGAACCTTGGTATTCGGCTTCTTCCTCCAGAGCTCCTCTCCAAAGGCAAAAGCTTCATTGGTCGGGAAGGTCTTTCGTTCAATGCGCGAGATCTGAGCGAGGATCTCCAACGCCTGATCCCTAGATAGGGAATGAATGTCCGAGATGTTCAGATCCGCCCGCATTCTTCTTTGCCAACCCCTCCAGGATCTACATTCAAAGACCGTTGAGGCGAGAATAAGGTCGTGCCTCGTGTATCAGGAGACGCGCTAAGAATTCAAGAATGAAGGCGAGATCGGTCATTAGGTTTAGTATGACTCGCTAGTGAAAATGGAGAATACCAACCTGATACAAGCGAAGGATCAAGCGTGCTTTTTCTCTTGTCGCGTCGGAGGGTCAAAATGTTCTGTAATACTTCCCAATTAGGTATAGCCCCTCACGCATCTCGACACCTCAGGTACCAACCGGGGTCTGTTTCGCGTTTGCTCCTTGATACATCGTTAATATTAGTCCAGTCATCCTCAGCCACCTCTATCCAACGTTCAACAACCGCGGCTTTCTTCCCGGTGTATATCCCCCGAAGTAAATCCTTCTTACCACTCAAAATGCCCTCTCAAGCGGATGATAAACGCCAGGCGGCCCGCGAAGTCATCGACATTCTTCACGAGATTTCCATGCTCCTTGTATGTCGCGAGTGATCTCCATTCTCCTGGATGGCGTCGGAGTGTCATATTCGCAAAGAATGCTATCTATATTAATCCCGCTCGGCTGACCCCTTTGACGCGTCCAGAATACAAACCTAGACCGGACGGAGCTCTCTCTGTGCGTGTCTCTGATCGAGAATGGCGTGAATCCTGATGCTCTTGCAGTGGGTCTCCCAACTGTAGTCATTTATACTGGTGTTTTTACGTATCCAGTGCAGTTCTATGGGCTAATGCTTGATAGACGGTTATTAACGACCTCCGAAAAGAAGGCTCAACCTCGCAGGAAGCCCCCAATGAACAGGATCTCCCTGAGTGATTGTCTACTTGACTCGTCAGATCATTTTTTTGTGCATTCCTTGTTTTCTATGCTTATGACAGAGATACCCGTCGTGCAGGCTCTCATTCAGATGGTACAATCCATGTATGTATAAGGCCTTCAGCGTTACATCAAACAGAACCTTCTTAAGTTGCAGTCTTTGGTATCATCAACGGCGACTAAAGTATAAACGGCAGAGCAACTGTAGAACAAAAACACAAATACAGCGCTAGATATGAGGAAACAGAGTTCTCCGTCCTATGACTTCCCCCCATCAGACTTATTGCCGTCTTTGGACGTAGAGCCGACTTCGCCGGCCATCGCCTCGGCAGTCGCCTTCTTGATACGCTCACCCTCCTCGGTCGAATTCTCCTTGGTTTTATGGTCCTTCTCATCTTCACTATCACCCAGGCTGAAAGGGTCATTCTCCCCGACAGGAGACGGCTCCACCGTGGACAAGGGCTGCCATTTACTCTGTTTGCCCCCAGCGGGAGAGCGCCTCGCTGGTTCAGACGCATTATAGAGATCGCCGATTTCAGTGGGAGGACCCTCCTGGAAAGACACTTTACGTCTGTCGGGCGAAGGAGAGGTCTTATACAGGTTAGGGTTGGCGAGGGGTCTCGGGGGACGTGGAGGAGGAGCTAAAAGTCAAAAGTCAGCTGGGTCCATGAAAACAGCACAAGGGGGGCCTCGGCATCACGCACCTTCTGTATCCCTCAATTCAAGAGCAGAAAAGTCATCGCTGAGGACTTGGGGGTCCGCATCGTAGCGTTCACGGTCACCGCTACGACGGCTCATATCACCACTTCTCCTCGGTCTGCCGTAAGCTTCCTCTCTGTACCGCTGGCTGGACTCAGTATCCTCCGGCTCTTCACCGTCCAGTCGTTTCTTGAGGTTCTGAACCCAGGAGTTGACCTTAGTCTGGGTGTCCAAAAAGCCCTTGCGGATATTCTCGCGAATGACGGGAAGATCATCTAAGCCAGTCCGTTAGAACTTGTGATGATCCGTAAACTATTCACAGCAACATACCATCGAAGAAACTATACTCTCTTTCTTCTGACACATCACTTCCCCGTCTGCGACGATCGTATGAGGCACGATCATCATAACCAGGCTGTGGCGCACGCCGATTGTAGTGTTCCGCAAGCTGGCGAGCATACAACTCATCCGCTTCCAACTGTCTCTGTGCGGCAGATGGACGAGGAGGCTTCGGGGGGGCGATGTCCTGCGCAGCGTTGGGGTCGGTCATTCCTTTGGGACAAGTCAGTAAACCTAGAGTACTAGCCGCACGGCTCCGGCCATGACTTACCAAGAAGCGCATGGAAAGCCCGTTCCACATCAAATCCACTCGCAACGAGGACAGCCTTGACCACCGACGTCTCAACTGATGGAAATGCTTCTTTGAGGGTGTTTTCGGCCTGTTGTTGCGGGCTCAATGGACGGGGCGGCTTCGGCGGGGCAACTTCCGTCGCATCTTGCTGTGTCGGAGCTGCAGATGAAGCCGTTGTAACACCAGTCTCCTGGGGTTCATCGTCGAAATCCAGAGGGCGCGCTGTGGTGGGAGACTCGGGTTTGGGGCTGTGTGGCCCAGAGGACAACTTGTTGCTATTCTGAGGGGCCATGAGCAGGTGCCGATAGGAGAAGCGGGTAGAGGACAACGTACAGTCTTGTCTTCAGACATCGTGACAACTATTCCACTTGGGAGTGATCGATCACTTGGCTGGAGAAAAGGATAAGATTGTGGAAGTAGTCTGTAGGCAGGAAGAAAAAGGACGCGACAGCAGAATAAATAGGAACAAGGCAGAAACGTAGCAAACAGGGAGATTATCGCGATTGGAAGCTCCAAACATCAGCCACTCTTGGGCCGGTCCGAATGCGCAGTGACGTTGAGTCACGTGAAATTTGCGTGGGTTAGATAAGCATTCCTTCGAGCTAAACTGGAACGGGACGAGAGCCTTTCTATTCCCCGACATGGCAATCGAGTTGTTAGTTCTTCCAAGGTGCTGTTATCCTAGGAACTCATCTCTAAGTGCGGGAATGATCATCTAACGATTCAACTACTCGGGATGGAGGATCGGTGACTTCTCCAGCATGTTCAACCTGTTTCATCAAATCATCCTCGGATCTTCTGGCTGAAAGCTCGCATCCTTCTCAACAATCATGGCGTCAGAGTTGGACCTCGCGTCCACTTTCATTCCCTCTCTTTACAAGCCCGCTTCTCTACTTCCAATCGCGAGACACAGGCAGAGCCTGCTTTATCTCGTGGAGACATATCCTGTCACCATTGTGGTTGGACAGACTGGCAGCGGCAAGACCACGCAACTACCGCAGTATCTGGATCAAGCAGGATGGTGTGCAGATGGGAAATCCATAGCGGTCACGCAGGTAATGCCCGCTTCTGTCCTTAGTATTTTTTAGGTAGAGAAACTGACTATAGTTACAGCCGCGCCGTGTTGCGGCCACAACCGTGGCTACCAGAGTGGCCGAAGAAATGCGTTGCAAAGTTGGTGAGGAAGTAGGCTACTCGATCCGCTTCGAAGACTTGACTTCGGTATCAACAAGGATCAAATTCTTGACTGACGGGATGCTTCTTCGAGAGGCTCTTGTAGACCCTCTTCTGTCCCGGTATTCTGTAATCATGGTGGACGAGGCGCATGAGAGATCTCTTAGCACTGATATCCTCCTGGGTATTCTCAAGAAGATTTTGAAGAGACGCCCTGAGCTGAGGATCATCGTCAGCAGTGCGACCTTGCAAGCTGAAGAGTTTCTGCGCTTCTTCGCCGGTGATGAATTCAAAGAGGATTCGGACCCTAGTGAAATGGGAGGGAGTGTTGGAAGGATCATCAGCCTGGAGGGACGGATGTATCCTGTCGACATTCTTTTCCTAGAGTCCCCAGCCGAAGACTACCTGGAACGTGCTGTCAAAACGGTGTTCGATATCCATCTGCAGGAGGCAGAAGGCGACGTGTTAGTTTTCCTTACGGGTCGCGAAGAAATCGACACGGCGGTTCAGATGATTTCAGAGCGTGCTGCGACCCTGCACCCAAAGGCACCATCTCTACTACCTCTGCCACTCTACTCTGGCCTCAGCACCGATCAACAGATGTATGTTTTTGAGCCAGCCCCGGAAAATACGCGCAAGGTCATCGTGTCAACAAACATCGCCGAGGCGTCAGTCACAATCAATGGCATAGTCTACGTGGTTGATTGTGGATTCGCAAAGCTCAGAGCCTATAACCCCAGCACTGGTATCGAAACATTGACCGCAGTACCTATATCGAAAGCCGCAGCAGTTCAGCGCGCTGGTCGAGCGGGACGAACGAAACCAGGAAAGTGCTTTCGCCTCTACACACAGCAAGCATATGAGCAGCTGCCAGAAGCTACTGTCCCCGAGATCCAGCGGTCAAACTTAGCCCCTGTGATCATGCAACTCAAGGCTCTTGGTATAGATAATATAGTGCGCTTTGATTTTCTGACTTCTCCGCCTGCGGATCTTGTGATCCGTGCCTTCGAGCTTCTTTATTCTCTCGGGGCGGTGGACGACTATGCGAAGCTTACCAAGCCTCTGGGTACGCGGATGGCAGAGCTGGCAGTGGATCCGATGATGTCCAAAGTTCTGCTTTCCGCCCAGTCTTTCGGCTGTTTGAGCGAAATTCTTACCATTGCCGCCATGGTCAGCCTCCAGGGATCCGTGTGGGTGCAACATGATGGGGACAGGAAGATGGCCGAGAGCAGTCGGCGCAAGTTTGCCGTCGAAGAGGGCGATCATTTGACCTATCTTAACGTATACCAGGCATTTGTCACGAAAGGCAAGAAGGACTCCAGGTGGTGTCGGGACAACCTTCTGAATTATCGATCTATGCAACGCGCTGTAAGCGTCCGGTCTCAGCTGAAGCGGTATCTTGAACGATTCGGTATTCAAGTGGATGAAAGCCTTGCTTCCAGTTACAAACCAGCGGAACTCGGTAAACCCTCTGAGCAGATCCAAAGATGCCTCACGACTGGTTATTTTGCCCACGCAGCAAGAATGCAGCCCGATGGGACTTTTAGGACGGTTAGCGGTGGTCTTACATTGCATGCACATCCCAGCTCATTGATGTTTGTAAGTGTCTTTTTGTTTGATGCTTTGGACCTTGCTAACTGGGTGACAGAATCGAAAAGCAGACTGGGTCATCTTCCACGAAATATTGCAAACGGGCGAAAAGACGTATATTCGGGATATCACGAAGATCGAAAAAAGCTATCTTCTGGAGTATGCACCCAACTACTATAAGGTCCAATGAGGCGTGGAATTGCCGTATTGAATATAGGACCATAGACAATAATATAGAAATTATCAACTATACCAGAGATGTCTGATGTATGAAGGATGTAGAAAGAATGGCACTCGGAAGTGCGTGGGTATAAGAAGGGGAAATCCCAATTCGGCGATGCGCTCGACGTCATGAGGAACAACAGCACTTTTAGGAATGAGTAGCTTCTGTTATTGCAATTAGAAAGGAGTTGGCTGTCTGCCTGGTACGTAGACACCTCTATGTTGGTGTAAAACCAAGATATCCGGTGGTGTCCTCGCCAGTTGCCTACTCTCGCTTCGGAACGTGAAAAGTCCCGTGGTCTTTTATAGGTCTTCATCCATTTCCGCCTCTATTTACTTAGCCACTCGCTTTCATCCCAAAACACCGCATCACCAAGCTTTTTGCACCAGATAACTCACTCTTGTTCAATCTGGATTTTGCCTGAAAATGTCAGGCCACCATCACCATGACCATGGCGGACATTGCCATGGAGAGGATGGGCACGACCATTCCAATGATATCACCCCGGCCATCCAGTCCCTCCTCTACTCGCAGATTCAATTTGATTCCATCACAACGTTGAACGGTATGAGATTTATGCGTCTTAGCATCCCCTTTCCCCTGTATCTCTGGTATTACTCTTTTTTGTGACGCCGTCTGACACGGAGACTCAGAAGCAAGCCCCAAGTCCGGCGCTGCTATCGTTCAGAAAACATGGTCTGAACGACTGAACGATCAACCGGAGCTCGAAAGCGACGCGGATGAGCAACTGCTGATGTACATTCCGTATGTTGTTTCCTTTCAATACTGTCTTATCGATTATCTATCGGTCTACGTTCTTTACCCCGCCATATCAGTGGCCCTCGTTCCCACTATGTCTCAACGACAAAGTGCAACGCAGGGTCATCGAACAGGCCAACAGCGAACACAGGGAGCATCGCATTGATGTTGATACTAACTTTGCATCGATTGCAGGTTCACCGGTCAGGTCAAGGTGCATTCCATCCTCATCTATACCGCGCCAACTCCCTCTGCGCCCAAAACCTTGAAACTCTTCAAGAACCGAGATGATCTAGACTTTGCCACTGCGTCGGATCTCTCCCCCACGCAGACAGTTGAGATCCCCCAACCCGTCCCGGGTGCTGATGTTTTTGAGATCCCTCTCAACCGCGCTCATTGGAACACGACCACGTCGATCACCTTGTTCTTTGAGGACAACTGGAGTGACGGCGAGGAAGATGTGACCAAAGTCGGTTACATCGGCTTCAAAGGCCAGTTTATGGCGTTGAATCGAGAGCCGGTCAGTTTCTTGTATGAAGCGGCAGCGAACCCCGGTGACCATGTCGCTATCCAAGGAGTGAATGGTATCGGCGGGAGGATTATGCCTGGACAGTGATATCTATCTGTTCGTTGGCAACAAAGGTCCAAGTGTTGAAGCAGGCAGAAGCCCCGATGGGTGGACATACAACTTTCTGTGATGATCGTTACGAATGCATCGAATACACCGATACAACCCGATATTTGTTTAGTCCATTTTCTGGAACGCACAAATGTATAATTCCGAAAGAGATAAGCGGCCTGAATATAATTTTCAGTCTCGAGAATTTCGTATGTGCAGTTCGAGTCCAACTGTCTAACAACTAGGTCCCATGCAAGGATCTAATTACAACGCCCAATAACCACCAACGCCAAAAATGCTTTGAACGCTGCACAGGGAATGTTCCATCGATTAGCAGGTAGAATGATCGAACTAATCAAGCAGGAATCGCGGTCCGCTCTCTTGTCTTGGCTTTCGGTTGTTCCTCCGTCTCCTCGGATTCGGCCACAGCAGGTTTGGAAGGCAAGTCCGTTGGCGCGTTGGGTAGCTCGACATCCTTCTGGACCTCGCGCTGCAAGACCGCCAGCTCGTCCTCGACTTCGTCCTCGTCTTGGTTTGACAGATGACCTGCGAGCATTTGGCTGATTTCCTGTACAGCCACCGTCGAGTTAGAATCTTGAGCATTCCATAACAAGCTCCGAGTAGACCTACTTCCTGATACGCCCTGGCCTCCTCTGTCTCGCCCATCATTTGCTCCACTCCCTTGATACCGCCCATCTCCTTGTGGATTGTCTGCAGCACCTGGGTTCCCTGGCGGAGACCGAAGAGGACGTCTTTCTGGACCAGGGAGAACTCGACCTGGCTAGTCAACTGTTCCAACTGCTCCAGCTGTGCGTCGGTCTTCGAGAGGAGAGACTCCTGGTATTTCTTGCGGCGCAGGGCGAGGAGAGCCCGCTTGCGATCATTGCGAGCGAGACATTGTTTAGCGATTGCTGTCTCCCGGTCCGTGAGGTCCCTGATCCGCGTCTGATACTGTTGCAGCTTGTCCCGCTGGTTTTTAAGATCTAGAATCGCTCTGTGGTCGGCATATGTGGCGTTAGCGTATCCTCTACCACGCGGAGATTCGCAGCTGAGGGGTTCGGGGAGCGACGCTCAATTGAGTAGATAACAATCATGAATCTCTAGAGCAGGTAGGGAAGTGTATGAATAGGCGGAGATTCCCAGGATCCAGACTTACCGGTCTTGGGCCGAGATCTTATGGGAGCTGTTTGTGTTGCCCATTGTTGTTGCATATTGTCAAGGGAAGAGAGAGATGCACTGCTGGTCCGCCGATAAGCCCCCGGAATAATGACGTGGGGAAGCACTGCAATCAATGCATTTGGTATGGTATTGTAACTCGTCACGCAATTTCGTACCGATCTCCGCCTTTATTGTTGTATCAGCCGTACGTTAACTGCCGCCGGTACATCTGTTTCTCCGATGGGCGGAAGTTGTAGAAAATCCCCGGCGCAATTTCATACAACTACCGACTCCCATCTTCGCTTCTCCACGCGATTGCGTGAATAAAGTCTCTGTTCATATAGACGACATGCGTCGCGGTGGTAGACCGACCCTGCGACAGGGCCTGGATCGAGAGGTGGGTGAAACAATTCCTTCTGCGCCGAGCCCGTGCTAATATTTTTTTTTCTCCGACGAATAGGTCCACCAAGTTGTACGCAGTATCCTCGATAACCAGGAAGATAGCAATCCGAAGCGTCTGTCGGTTCCGGTTATTTATGACCGCATCAGAAGGTCAAACTCGAGTTTGAACAGAAAGCCCAAGCGCATGCTTGAGGACAGCATCGAGCGGGTCGTCGAAGTAATCAAAGCGGACGAGATCGGCGAGGATGAAAACGACTCGGTAGATGGGGACTTTGAGGGATTGGAGGAGGAGAAGCCAGTCTTGGTATGGACATACTTTTTCGTCTTCCGGCCTTGTTTACAGTTGAGTTGGGGTAGAACGACTGACTGTAACAGGAATCCAACAGCCTAAACAAGAGCATTGTGGGCATGTGGAATACAACCTCGAAGCAGCAGAAGCCGAGTGAACCTCCCACCACCGATACTGCAACTCCCGCGCCCACGTCAAGCAAACGGCGCCAGCACGGAGGAGAATCTCATTCCTCCAAACGTCGCAAGGCGGAGGCTAACATTGACCGGTCCCCTCCGACGCATGTGAGTCTCGCAGACCTGGGTGGATTAGACGATGTGATCGAAGACCTCGGAGATCTGGTCATCCTCCCCATGACTCGTCCACAAGTGTACATGTCGTCGAATGTGCAACCTCCCCGAGGTGTTCTGCTGCATGGTCCGCCTGGTTGCGGAAAGACCATGATTGCAAATGCCTTCGCGGCCGAACTAGGTGTCCCGTTTATCTCTATATCAGCCCCATCAATCGTCTCGGGAATGTCAGGAGAATCAGAGAAGGCCCTCCGGGAACATTTCGAAGAGGCCAAGCGGTTAGCCCCTTGCCTCATATTCATCGATGAAATCGACGCCATCACACCAAAGCGAGAAAGCGCGCAACGAGAAATGGAGAAGAGAATCGTCGCTCAGCTTCTGACATGTATGGACGACTTAGCGCTCGACAAGACCGATGGAAAGCCGGTGATTGTACTGGCGGCGACCAACCGCCCAGATAGCCTGGATGCCGCCCTGCGGCGAGGAGGACGCTTCGACAAGGAAATAAACATGACCGTACCGTCGGAGCCTGTTAGAGAGAAGATCCTTCGTGCCCTCACCCGCAAGATGGTCCTTGCGGACGACTTAGACTTCAAGACCCTGGCCAAACGCACGCCCGGCTTCGTCGGCGCGGATCTGAACGATCTGGTGTCCACCGCCGGCTCTACCGCCATCAAGAGATACCTGGACATCCTCAAGTCCAATAGTGGAGACGATATGGATATTGAAGATAGCGACGATCTCAGTCCTAAAGTCAAAGAACTGCGCCGCCTCATCACCCACGCGAAAGAATCTCCGATTGGAGACGAATCCCAGGTCGTGCACGTCTCCAACGCTGACTTCTTCACGGCGCTCCCCAAGATCCAGCCTTCCTCCAAGCGCGAAGGCTTCGCCACGATCCCCGACACGACCTGGGCAGACATCGGCGCCTTGGGCGGCGTCCGCGACGAACTCTCGACCGCCATCGTCGAGCCGATCAAGAACCCCGAAATCTACGCCAGCGTGGGTATCACCGCGCCCACCGGCGTGCTCCTCTGGGGTCCTCCAGGCTGCGGTAAGACGCTCCTGGCGAAGGCGGTGGCCAACGAGTCGCGCGCCAACTTCATCAGCGTCAAGGGCCCCGAGCTCCTCAACAAATACGTCGGAGAATCAGAGCGGGCGGTGCGCCAGGTCTTTGTCCGCGCGCGCTCGTCCATCCCCTGCGTCATCTTCTTCGACGAACTGGACGCGCTCGTGCCGCGCCGCGACGACACGCTCTCCGAGGCGTCCGCCCGCGTGGTTAACACCCCTGCTCACCGAGCTCGACGGCCTGGGCAGCAGTCGCCAGGGCATCTACGTGATCGCGGCCACGAACCGTCCCGACATCATCGACCCGGCCATGCTGCGGCCCGGCCGGCTGGAGACGCTCCTCTTCGTCAACCTGCCGAGTCCGCTGGAGCGGGCGGAGATCATGCAGACGCTGGTGCGGAACCTCCCCATCGAGTTCAACGAGGACCTCCGCCGACTGGCCGAGGAGTGCGAAGGGTTCAGCGGTGCGGATCTCGGCAGTTTGCTCCGTCGCGCCGGTTACTCCGCCATCAAGAGACGGGATACCATCAAGCTGGAGGACTTTGTTGCGGCCAAGGCCTTCATTCGTCCCAGCGTTACGGACCTCAAGAAGTACGAGAAGTTGCGCAGGGATTGGAGTGGGGGTGTTGTTTGATACCGATCTCCTTTGGCTTTATAGATGCAGCTTTTCGCTTCTTATACACATATTTTTGGGCGTGGCTTTGGGAAAAGTTACTATAGAGCTATGATAATGATGTTAATGACAATGCTGGGCATTCGCCAGGTTGCATGGCTTTCTCTGATCATCATCGACGGGAGAGACTGGAGGGTAAGGTGGGATGATGGTGACGGCAAACTTTTTGTAATGGATATCTAAGACTAGAACTATGCACACCAAACGCCTCATGTAGATATATAGCACAGTACATTGACCGCAGGCAGAAAACACCACCTGCTGGAAAGCTCGATGCAAGATTACATCCACAACCGACAGGTGCCATCTGCACCCGCACTGACACACCAGGCTTCCCGAGGATGCCAGTCAACATCCAGCACGCCCAGCTCGCCGGTGATCTTGTGGCCCTTGAGCACCTTGAGGGGCACGATGCTGGCGTTGCTGAGCATATCACCGGTGACGCTGCCGTGGAAGATCTGGAGGGAGCCGTCATCACTGGCGTCCGCGAACAAGGGGTAACGACCGCCGGGGTGGAACTTGACGGAGCGGATTGCCTTGCGATGGTACCGCAGGGTCTTGTAGGGGCGCTGCGACAGCTCCAGATCATGCCAGAGTAGACGGCGATCGTAGGAACCAACGATGATGTTGTCGCCGCCGGCAGCGGTAGAGGAAGTCGGGTGGATGTCGAAGGAGGAGATCCAGCGCGCACCGGGCTGGACGATCTTGACGAGAAGCTGGCGGGAGAGATCGTAGGCGCGGATGGTGCGCTGGTTCGCAACAAACAGGATAGGCTTCGAGGGGTGGAAATGGGCCGTCTGGGGAGGACCACCGCCCTTGATACGCTTGCGGAAGGGGAACTGGGTCAAGTGCTTGGAAAGAGTATGGATGGAGATGGCCACGGAAGCCGGCGTGGAGGATCCGGGGCACACTGTGACGAAGTAATCACCGCGACGATGCCACGACAGAGTCTTGACCACGTATCGGAGAGGGATGACGGCGCATACACCGGAGTCCGCAAGCGCAGCAGAAGGACGGATCCATTGTGGCGGAGTGTTCTTCTTGTTCTCCTCGGCGGCAGTGGGAGGAGGTCTCGACGCCGCATAACCCCAGCCTGCGTCGATAAGTTCCAGGCTAGCCTTCTCCAGCTCCGGGTCGACAATCGGGGGCACGGCAAGGAAAATGTCATCGCCAACACCAGCAGCAAGGACCACAGCGTCCTTACCCGGCCTCCAGCGAACAACGTTGACAGCGTCCTCGTCGCTCAACTTGACAGTCCACAACTGACGGCCAGTGAGCAGCTCCCAAACGCGAAGAGTACCATCGTCGCCACCAGTTGCAAGCCAGACGCCAGACGGGTCGACGGAGACGGTCCGCACACGACCTTTGTGTCCCCTGAACACTGTGGCACAGGTGGTTGGAAAGGGCTTCAGTTCTTCCGGGCTGGGAAGTTTTGGCAGGAGACTCTCGGGGTCGATATTCAGCTTGCTCCGACGAACACGAGGGGCGAGGTAAAGATCCAGGCAACGTTCGAACTTTTCCTTGACGAAATTCTCGTAGCCAGGAACCTTCCGAAGAGAGCCAAAGTCGTTGGGGAGAAACTCTTGCTCCCGGTCTTCGGGATCGGTTTCCTCCCATGCCTTGCGCTCCTTCTTGTCGGGGAGATACTCGGGAGGCGGATGATAGCTCTCCTCGTAACCAGGAGGAGGAAGCTTGGGAGCCGGAACATGCATGGGATGATCGGGTCTCTCTGCTTCATCGGCCCACAGGTCGTAGTTGATAACATCCTTGTCCTCATCCTCCTCCGTGGGGGGCTTGTACGGCAAGATACGCCCTTCCTTGATGGCTTTCACGATCTTCATGACCCGCTTCGCTTCGTGCTTAGAAGGCACAAACCGGCGCTTAGGTTCGGGCGCAGCACTCAATGGCATGATTTCCTGCTTGTTAGAGAACCACTCCATCAAGGGCTCATACGGATCGTAGCCCTCCTCAGGAATTTCGTTCATCTGCACCTTGCGCAACAGCTCCAATTCATCCTGGCTCAACTCGAGCGGCTTTCCAGTAGAAGGATCGGTAAGGCCGGTCCATCCCTTCGGAATTTCAATGCTATCAAGCAGCGCATCGAGAGCCTCGCCTTTGGCAGGGCGCATGATTTTCTTCCCGTTGATGTCATAACCGATGTGAGGATATTCGTCGTAGAACTTGAGGGGAATGTTACCGATGGTGTTCGCATTTTCGTCAACATCAGAGTAGTCCGAGTTGTCGTCCGGGTTAATTTCGTCGTAGATGTAACGGTCTTCACCATTGGCGTCTTTTTCGATGCGGAAGTTGGGCTGTTCATCCTCGCTAGAGCTTTCATCGTCCGCTTGAGGGCCATCCACCGCGGTACTGGCCGATTTTTTCTTGGGTTCTTCTCCATCAGACGGGATCTCATCACTATCCAGCTCTTCTTCGTCTTCATCGTCCTCGTCACTGAATTCGTCCACTAATTCGACTTCGGAATCATCTTCGTCGCTCGACAGCTCGTTCGCATTGTCCGACAGAGCACCGTCGAGGTTTTCTGCGTTGAGTTCGTCTCCGGAAAACACACCAGCCTCCTCCTCAACATCGCGAGTGACAGCCTTGCGCTTCTTCGAAACCTTAGAAGCATTCACCATGGTGAAGGAATGCCGGAAATTCGCGACTTGTTGAGTAAACAGCAACTGGAGACTTTTTTTCGTTTCTTCCACTTTTTTTTCTTGGGGCCCGAGATATGCTGGGTGACCGCCCACGTGACACACCGCCCTCGATCTCATCTTATCGGGGCGCTTTCCGTCGATGTTATTCTTCTCATCCCACCATCGACTCGCTGACATTCAGGGTCTACTTGATACTCCCTCGTGTCTGCTTGATTAGTATCCAGGATGCAGACCGCTAGCTCTGATTGGAATACTCTACTTCCGAACCCGGTAGATGGCTTCAGTAACTCCGACACCGCAGGATGCTCAGCTCCATCAATAAAGAGGCATGCGGCCTGCGATGAATGCAGTATGTGCTTTGTCTTTCAATATGATGCTTTGGAAGATCCAAGTCCTAATTCTGTGCGCGCTAATTAGGGAAAAAGAAGTTGAAATGCTCCGGAGAGTTGACGGGCTGTAGCCGATGTCTCAAGCAGTCTTTGGTCTGCCACTACTCGATACAAAAGCAGATGGGGAGGCCACCAAAGAAACGGGCCCGCGAAGACGACAGCGATTTAGGCCTATTCAACATTCCAAACGGCAGTGATCTGTTGCCGGAATTGAATGATCCTCTATGCGGACTTCCAGACTTGAGTACCTTGGGTACAGACGCAACAGCTATTGCGGATGTTGCGTACATCTGGCCCCCAGTCTACACTGCTCCATCGGGCCACGCGCAACCAATCCCTCACCTATTCTCTACAGATGAGAACCATAATCATTCCTCGCAATCAGGAGCTGCGAAACTCACCACCCCTATTCCTCAGACAATCAGCCCGTGGCCTGACTTCTCGAGTGTATCGGCCGCCACATCTACCCCGGCCATGCTCCCGCCAGATCTATCCCAGATGGCATCGGCTCCCTTTACTCCAGGAAGCAACGACTCTGACAATCAATGCACCTGCTTGCACTATCTCTACCTCTGTCTCAGTCACCTTTCCTCCCTCGCTCCCTTTCCGATATCCCAACACACCGTATGTTCTTTGTACATTGGCGCAAAGACCGCGCAAAGGGTACTTCGCTGCCAGACCTGTCCGCTGAAATTTGCAACGGCCATGCAAAATGTCATGTTCACAGGGACCCTGTTAAATGTCCTGGGCGACACCTGGCTGCGGGTGTCAAAGGCCGATGCCGTAGAGCTTGGCAAGCAGACCGCCCCGCCAGCTTATGTGGCCCATGTCGCCAAGAACTCGCCCAACCCGACGGAAACTTGGAAGGACTGGCTGCGACAGACGGTCCGGAGCGGCGTTACCGGGGTCCCAGCTGATCCTGCGGGTTCGGCGAAATGCGCCGATTCTCCTAGCTTACTCTCCCTTATTGAGGAAATGGAGAACCGGCAGCGGAGCTGGCACGAAGACCGCCCGGCGCACTTCCCGCCTGTGATGGTGGAAACGCGTTCCAAAGATCAACGTGATGAGCAGGACGTGTTATGTCTACGAGTGGCCAGAAGTGCCCGGGAAGTGATTGCAAAGTTTGACTTTCAACCACATGAATTCCCGAATGGTGTAGTTCCCTGAGTTACCGAGTGTTCTTGACGACTTTATGTGATATGCTTCATGGAAGGGCCGGCGTTGGCGTGGGAAGATAGCGGATTAAGCAGGCGTGTGGTTTTTGTGGTTCGAGACATACGTTCCAGCATCATGCCAGCTCATTGAGCTCAATTTTCTATTGCTGATCATAAATACCCTGTGAGCAATGAACCCATTTATATTTCATATCTTCAAGTACATGCAGAATAGAAGACCACTTGTTCGCTGTACACGGTCACCAAGAAAGCGACGTAAATATCAAGGACAATCATTACCATAGAGAAGCAAGTTTCATAGAGACATGGAGCAAGATAATGCAAGAGAGGAAGTTGATGGTCGATCTGATGTGACATAACTTATTCTTCATCATCATCCTCCACGATGAAGCGGTTCTTCTTCCGCACCGGTGGAGTTCCTGCAGCGCCACCTTCAGGAGATGCTCGTCTCTCTTTAGTCCGAGCGGGAGCTTCCTCTTCCTCGCCTTCCGCATCCATGTCTTCGTCTTCGAGGATATCCTCGTCCTCCTCGTCGTCAACGACTTCAGGCTCTTCATCGCTGCCAACAAGGAAGCCATCATCTTCATCATATTCATCCTCCCTCGTGCGGCCACGACGGTCGTAGTCTTCCTCATCATCGGTATAGATCTCCCCGCGGCGGTTGGGCCGACGAGGCTTCTTGGCCCGGGGTCTCGAAAGCAAGTCGTCATCTTCCAATCCACCCACAGTAAGTCCAGCACCTCCTGTACGGCCATACCCGCGACGGCTGCCACGGTCCAGCTCCCGTTCTTGGAGCTGCTGCCGACGACGCGCGGCCTTCAATTTCTCTCGCTCGGCCAGTTCTGCCTGGCGTTTCGCCAACTCGGGATCCTCCTTCACTTCGATAACCGGTGCGGAGCCGTCCACCGTCTTCTTGCCACCCCGCGCGGCGGCAGCCAACGACTCTTGGAGTCGCTGCACGGCATCATCGGTTTCTACAGCCGTGGGATACACCGTGAGACCGTGAGTCAGATGCGATGTCAGTCTAAACACGGATGATGTCTCCGCCGCGGCACCCAGGTAAACATGAGAGTCCAGTTTCGTGTCGTAGTCTCCGGATTTGTTCAGAGGTGCAAGAGGTTTGGTGGAGATTCTGTATTGTTCCTTGGGCGCCGAAGCCAGTTGAAGCGTCATGGAGCCATCTTCCCAGCGAATGATACGAGCGTTGGACTGGAGAAGCTCTTCGTTGTTTGGGTCGTGTCGCCAACAAAGAGACGTCGCTGCGGTCGAGAACGGGGGTGCAACATAAGTCTCGGGGTTGAACTCCTCGGTTTCTACCGACAAGAAATGAGGGACGGGCATTGTGTATATCTGCGGGTCGAATGGTTAGTCACGCATCCACGTCGTGAGGTTAATTTCCTTGCGCACCTCGCCGTTGGATGTTAAGGGTTCGGGTGCCCGGCCCAAACTCAAGTCCATAATGTTCACTGTTTCCTGGTAGTCTCCCTCGCCGCCAGCTTCATAATCCATGCGCTCGCCAGCTCGGTCGTATCGTTCCATATCATCTCCCGAGTCGAGTTCCTCGTCGTCCAATGTCCGGTGCGGTTGTCTAATGCAGTATTAGGAGGGCAATTTGGGATTGAAACGATGGTCAACCATACTCAGTGTCATTTCCAAATCCGCCGTCCGACCCATCTGATCCGAAGAGATCAGCGTCGTCATCATCCATATTCATATTTCCCGTGTCGGAGGCAACGGGGCTTTGATCGCGCGCGGCGGATCCATTGTGTTCACTTCTTTGTTCACTTCCGGATGGGCTGGCAGGCTGACCAGCGCCTGCGCTACGTCCCGGACGGCGAACAACCTCCTCGTCGGACGAAGACATGATCAAGGAGTGTATGTGTTCTGGTCGAGGAAATGTCGAGGGCGCGTCAAGATCCTCGTGGAGAGTGGAGGGGAGGGGAGAAAAGGTCCGAAGGATACGATGTAGAAAGTCTCCTCTGACGGTTCTCAATCCCCGACTGACAGAGATTTCAATTGGGAGGGATACCAGGGGAAGAGAGATAGTCGCAAGATAGATATATCGGATGATCAAAAGACCGCGGAGCTTTGCTGGACCTCTCGTCGGAACCAAATGATCCGCTCCGGCCTCAAGGGGGCTTAGCGGCGGAACAGCTCCAAGGGGGCCAGACCAAAAGAGAGAATCGGATACCGTCTTTCTCTCCAGAGGGCCATCCTTCTTCTCTACTACTCCCTCTCCTCTCTCGTTCTCTCTTTTCTCGCATCTTTCTCTCCGTGCTATCCTTCTCTCATCTTCACCTCTTCGTCGGTCGTGTTCAACCCCCTCTCCACCATCATGGCGACCTTCCTCCAGAGCGTGTAAGTACTTGGTCCTGATTTCCCCCCTCTTCGTGCATCAACATCTTGTGCTCCCGTTGTCCCCCTAAATGCCACAGACCTGCAAGAACCATGCGCCTCCAAAGTATAAATACCATGTTTCCCCTTCATCTCCATCCCCTATCCGATCTATTAACGTTTATTTCCACTCTATTGCTTCCTCGTTGCATCTCGTGTCAACATTCCCCCCTTCTCTGCTCCCCTCCCCCTACATTGATTGATATATTTCCCCACATCGTTCTACGCCGCCCACGAGTCGAAAACTGACCTATCATTCGATTGGCTTTCAGCCGCCAAGGATTCGGCAGAGGCAATAACAACAAGAACAACAACAATAACGCCCCGAAGATGAACAATGGAAGTCCGGCTCCTTCTCCAGTTGCTCAAACGCCCCAGGCGGGTGCCGTACCCAACTCCCCGTCGCACTCCGCGAACATGGACAACCCTCTCCCTTATGATCCCGATGCTCCCAAGTACTTCTTCCAGGAGAAATATGCCCCCTTGAATGTGAAGGGTAACTTCTTGACCTTGTGTGCCTGTCCCAAGAACGTTGAGCTGGGAGAATGGTTGGCTCATCAGAGTAAGTCTTCTGATGACCTCTTCGGTACCCGTCGCGTCCCTGTTTGCTCATGCTCCATGTACAGTTGTCGAACAATACCGTCTCTTGCATGGCATGCTCCAGGTCATCCAGGAAGTCAATGGGGTCACTGGCCTCCCCATCTGCAATGAAGCCACTTGCCCCACCATGTCCGCTGGCCGGTAAGTCATGGGTCGCCCCGATAATAATCGATCCAAACCCTCCCACTAACATTCGCTTCCTTAGTCTGACCTACACCTGGCTTGTGGATGGCCGTGCCGCCAAGATCTCCGCTCCCAAGTTCATCAACCGCGTGGAGAAGTGGATTGTCAGCAAGATTCATGACCCTGTCATGTTCCCTACCGATAAGGTGACCGGCGTCCCGGAAACTTTCGCGCTCAATGAAGTCGCCAGTACCAACCCTCCCAGCCCGGCTGCTGCCTCCAATGGAGAAGAATGGATTGGCAAGTCCAGCGGTTTCCCTCCAACCTTCTATAAGGACTGCCAAGGCATCATGAAGCAGATGTTCCGCTGCTACGCCCATCTGTATCACGCGCATTGGCTCAACCCGTTCTGGCACATCAACAAGCACGATATCCTGAACATGTGCTTCGTCCATTTCGTCACCGTGGCCAAATACTACCGACTGGTGTCCGACAAGGAAATGGAGCCCATGCAGCCCCTGATCGATCTTTTCATCAAGCAGCAGAGGATCCCCCCTGAGGCCCTGGCTGGTGGTCACTGGGGCCAGCCCAGTTCTAGCTGAGCTAGGATTGAGCTCTTCTTACTGCGTTCGCTGACAAATAATTTGTCTTCTGACCTGGCGTTGGAACCTGATTTTCTTCGTTTCTCCCGGATCTTACGGTTTATGCGTCTTTTAGTCCATCCTTGGTCTTGTGCGATGCATCCACCAAGTGTTGAGGATTTGAGCATTGAGCATGCGGTGTGAATATTTATTCGTGTTTCCCTGCATATTCCCTGTCACGACCTATTTCGTCGAGTTTACAATGATCAGAGCGGTTGTTTTGGCCTAGATAAAACAGAAGTGCATACCACCATCATGTTGGTCGAAATCTGTGATTTTACCTTAAACTAGCGACGTGAATGATGGCCTTGAATTAGCTTCACCGAGTATGAACAATGAATAATTCTGACATCTCTGGTTCGGCGTAGCAAAATCATACATGCGAGATTCCCATGTACGCGTCTCGAATACGCTTCCTCCGAAATCGACCTGACCCCGATTCCAGTTCTGACGGCTGATCGGTCGGACTGATTCCCGCGACGACGGCGGGGTATGTAAAGCTGCTTGTTCCTGATTCTGTAGGGTGCGCCGATGATCAGATCGTACTTGTTCGTATCAACCGCTCATTAAACATTAAATTCCGTGGGTGAACCCCAAGTGGCTTCAGTCCCAAGGGTTCACAGGTAGACGCCATCTTGTTCCGGATCAGGTCCGCGCGGGAACTCTGCAGCAGAGTTCTGAGGCGCCGCGTTTCCAGTATCATCCGCACTCCCATTGATAGCTGGAGCTCCCTCATCCTTGGCCTCGCTCGCGGGACTCTCCTCAATCCATCGCTGACCCCGGCTCTCAACCTCTGCCTTCAACAACATGATCCTGTCCGTCATGGAGGTCATCACGCCCTCATTTTCGGAAATGTAGCCCCCGAGCTCCCGTTTCTCATCTTCGGTGTCGCATGACTCGGCCACGAATGTTTGCAGCTCGGCATTGGAACGTCGCAAGTGGGCGATGGAGTTTCGGAGTTCGGTGACTTTGGCGTAGACGACTGAGAGTGGAAGCTCCTTGATGGCTTCAGCGAAAGCGTCCAGGGTGATTGGGGCGGATTCCCCTGACATTTTGAAGTCCTTTTGCTTTTCTTATGATGTGGGGAGTGGATGTGACGGTTCTTGTTCCTGTCGATGTCGTTATCAGTAGGTCTTATCGACACGTGACTGGCACGTGTTCAAAAGGGCAACAATACTGTAGTCCTGGTGGTATTCACTGTAGTTTTCAATTTAGAGGCTATGCATTGTTCATTATGTTGTTTGCATGTATTCAAAGACTAGGGAATGCTATGGTTGACATGAGTGATGTCGATGGTTGGAATATATAAATCTGGTTCACCTGTCATACTTCACAATTAACTTAGCCGCAGCGTAGACTCGGACTGTTTATGGTGATAATCAATCCCATAGAAGGATGTTGGACACTCACTTTGATAACTAGATATACCAATATAATGAATGAGCCTTCAAATGGTGCATCAGGTGCCTAGGTAGTAACGTACTAGCTACCCTCTATAGACAACGGAACAATCCTCGGCGGGCCGGAGAAATCCACCTGATTCCGCCCTCGCAGATCTTCTCCAACAATACCCCCGACAGCCCACCCAGTATCCAACAAACACCTGGCGAACTTGCTAAGCAGGGCCTTGCCCTCGATCGCAGGATATGAGCAATGTGTTCGGCCTAGCGTGGCGGATCCCATGCTCGGGACCACGTCCCTCGAGCTTGCTTTCGCCGCTCCGCTCCGCCTGTCGCATGTCCACGCCATGGCAGCCGCATAGCATTCCCAGACTCTCCATCGGCCTCACACGGGCCTACCACCCCCTAACGACCTCGCACGAAGTACATCTTCGCACCAACTCCGTGTTCTCCCCCGTCCTCCGACCGTTTACGACCTCGTCCTGTCTGCGCGCCAAGCCGCAGGAACCCGTTGAACATGGCGTGCAACTTCGTCCCGAGCCCTTCTCCGCCGCCGAGATCAATTCGATCTTCGGTCCCCGTGCCAAAATCTCACCGCAGATGGGGAACCGCGTTCTCTCCGTTCTGCAGGGTCGCCGTGTCGACGGGACCCTGGACCTCGACCTCCCCGCCGATATCACCCGCTCTGTCCGCAGCCAAGCCCTCGACGCGGGTCTGAACTGGCTCCGTGCGAACTATCCTCTCGACGAGGATGCGGCAATTCTGGCGCGCATTGAGCGGGAGGAAAAAGAGGAGCAAGAGAAGCTTATTCGGCGCGCTGAAGAGCTCGGTCTGTATAAGCCGCAGAGTGGCAGTTATGGCGCCGAGCTTGGGGACGAGAATGATCCCTACGGCAAGAGCGTCTTGAAGGAGGCGAGGGAGAAGAATGAGGCACGCTTGCTTGCGGAGCAGGAACGGAAGCGTCGGGAGTGGCTGGAGGGCGAGGAACAAGAACGGGAGAAACTGAAGCGTATGATCCAGAAGAACACGGCGCTTCAGAAGTTTGAGGAATCTGCCGCCCTGGAGGGTGAGTACTTCGCTCCATGGGATGGTTGCGCTGTACCGTGATATTGATGATTATAGTTCGAGAGCGCGCGGATCCCAGCCAGCGCCCGGTCCTCGCATGGATACAGAAGCACCACACGAGGGCCACCGAGTGGGATATGGACCTGTCGAAGGTGACCAATGTAAGTGGAGGCCTCGAATATGAGCATAGAATTATATCGAGTTGACCAGTCCCCAGACATCCCGCATCCTCCGAGCCCTGGCAGCAACCGTCGTGACGACTGGTCTGTGCTATGTCTTTGCGCAGTGGTATGAACCGCCGGCGAGGGCAGACCGTTTATGGCCCAGTGTTCCTCCTGCCGCGGCAACTATCATGACCATCATTGGAATGAACGTGGGTATATTCGCTCTGTGGAGATTGTGGCCTCCAGCCTGGAGACTTCTGAATCGCTACTTCATCACTGTTACCGCGTACCCTCGCCCTCTGAGCTTGGTGGGGAATGTTTTCAGCCATCAGACTGTGAGACATCTCGCAGCGAATATGTTTGTGTTGTGGGTGGTCGGAACAAAGGGTGTGTACCACAATGCATTCAGCCCATGTCTACAACCGACTAACTAGACACAGTCCACGATGAGATCGGCCGGGGTAACTTCCTAGCGTTGTATCTTGCCTCTGGTGTTTTTGGCTCGTTTACGTCCCTGCTCTACCATATTGTGCGAGGAAACCTGATGGTCACTGGACTTGGAGCCAGTGGCGCCATCTCGGGTCTTGTCGCCGCCCTGTGCTTGCTTCATGCGGAGTATGTATCCATCGAGTATTTGTCTACCGGTATAACTGACATCTTGCAACAACAGTGAACGATTTACCATTTTCTTCCTCCCCGCGGAATGGCAAGAAGTCTTCTCCGCCAAGGGTTCGGCGTTCTTGACGGGCATTGTCGCCGTGGAGATTCTCAGCATGCTGAGCCCTGTCAAGGCCGTTCGGATGGACCACGTGGCGCATCTGGGCGGATATCTTGCCGGAAGCGTGTGGGCGTTTTTCTACAAGAAGAAAGAAAGAGAAAGACGGCAGCAGATGGGTTGGTTCGAGCGGATGTTTAGGAATGAGTAGGCATTGTTTTGGGATGGTGTTTGGCATATGAATAGATTGCATGGTTTTTTGTGTGTGACTACATACTATATACTGTTTTAGCCCCTGTTTGGGTATACTTTGTGTCATATTGTCCTTCTGCTTGGAATCATACCCCTTTTGATGTAGAGATACTGGCTACGTCTTACTGGTTCGGGAAGTTGCGTCAGTGTAAAACATCAGACAAGGATAGAGGCAGACGATCTAATTGATCGGGCATTGTCTAATGCACTTTGATTCCGAGACATTCTAGAAGGGTTGATGTTGGTGACAGTGACAGGTCTTCCCAATTCGGCAATGGAAGGGTTCACGTAGATCAGATCGCCGAGACAGCAGTATTGTTCTAGAACAAATGATAGTAGGAAGATCTCTCGGCACGCATTCAATCTATACAGACAGCCGTGAGTTGAGACATCTTGTAAGCAATGTGCTTTGAGGCAGTTTGTCTGATACAGAATTCCACGTCGGTTTGCATGTCCCTGTCTTTAACAATGTGAATGATAGAGTCAAAGATGCACGAAGATGGCATTGTCTGTTTTCTGAGGGCACGGATCACCTTCAGTGTTTCTCTCACTTCTTCGTCTATTTCTTCTCCCACTCTCGCTTCCCTCTTCTACATTTATCTTCCTTCATATAACCCTCTCTTCTCGACCGTCAGTCCTCTTCGTCAGTTCTCTTCAACAGTTCTGTCTTCGTCCTTCAGTCAACACCTAAACCTTCACCGTTCCTGTACTTGTTTCTGTTTCCTGCCTCGATTCATCCTCGTTTCCAACAATCTTCACTTCACTTCCACAATTCCTCCAGACTCGGCTCAGTCCAAGCTACGCAGTCATGCCTTACGGAGTCACCTCTCCAGTGGCTGAAGAGTCTCCCGTGTCCATCTTCAAGCTGAAGAGAAGCTGGGAGGACATCAAGGCTCTACGCAACTTCCTCGAGGAGAGTAGCTTGCCTCTCGGCGAAGACTCCCAAGCCCTCCAGGACGAAGTGAGCTTGGAGCAAGCCGAAGAGATCATTCAGGCCGATCCCCTCCACGAGACCAATAGCTACGACAGTGATCCAGAGTCCGAGCTAGAGTCCGTCGCCTCCGACGACTCCGAGGTCCAGATCAAAAGAAAAGAAGAGGAATTTGCGACCTACAGCGTCAGTCACCCCTGGAACATCGTGGACTACCATCTGTATCTCTGCTCGGTTGAACGGGGCAAGGACACCCATGCTAGACGCAACGGGCTGTTTGTCTATGATGGCCTCGACTGCCGTCCCATGTCATACCACGAGTTCCTCGACGACCAGGTGTTCGACCCATGCAACGTCGGCGATGACCCTCAATTCCTGTTCGTGGCCCTGCCCATTGCCGACGCGGGGCCGGCCTTCCGTGGCAGACACTACATCCTGGGCTTCGACTACAACAAGAAGAGTCTCTTCGCCCGCCACTTCGAGTGGATCCCAAGCAAGACGGACGACCTGTGGTCGATCTGGGACCACGGCTTCACCATGTACAGCGTGGAGATTGCCGACCTCCTGGCGCTCCTGGACTCCAGTCTGTCGCAGCCGGTGCACGTCAACGTGGGATTCCTGAGTTCCAGCCCGTACTGTGTGGCGCTGGGCGCGGACGACGACCCGGGCATGGAGATCGTCATCACGATCCTGTTCTGCCAGTGGATGCTCGACTTTGCGGATGCGATCCTCCAGCCCGACCGCGCGACGCTGGACAAGTACAAGGAGCGGCTGAGCTACTACATGGACGAGTGTCGGCTCATCCTGCAGCGGGCGTCGTACCGGGCGTGGTTTGCGTCGCGGGACGGGTACACGCGGGAGAAGTACACGCGCAATGCATCGGTTAACAAGTTCATCAACGACCTGTACACGTTTGACAAATCGCTGGACAGCGACAGTCTGGACGGGCAGTGGCGCGCTCCTGGCCTGGACACGTGCCATCGACTTCGGCAGCAGGACCGACGCCGGCGCAGAGAAGCGACCGAGATGCGGCTGCAGAATCTGTTCACGATCCCTGAGGTGGACAGTCCGGTGTCGCTGGCGGATCCGATGGCTGATGCGGAAGAAGAGCGTGAAGCGGTGCAGTTGTCGTTGTCCGAGGGTGGGGCTGACGCAGTGCGTGGGCCTCCTGCGCATGCTCCCTCACCTGCAGTGCAGCAGCATTCCGATGGGGCAGATTACCAGAACGTGCCGCTGTCGGAGCTGTTGAAACGCACGCTGGAGTTGATTGAGAAACAACCCGAGTTGGACACTATGGACCACCGTGGACAGATGGGAGAGTTGCTGACCGAGATGCAGGTTGGCAGGGATGAGTAGTGAGTGAGTGAGTGATAGCAGTGTCTTGGTGGGCGCATTTTGTTTGATTAATCATGGGACGATACCCTAACAGGATGGGAGTTGGTGGGACTGGGATCTTGATCGAGTACTGTCTGGAGTTTGGTTTTTCTTTTGCTTGTCTTGTCTTGTCTTGTCTTGTTGTGAGAAGCACACTGGCCTGGATGTGTAGTCGGTGGCTGTGTTGAAGATGGTCGTACTCTATGTGGTCCTGAATGTGGCTGGGCTGGGGATCGACTTAAGGGGCTGAGATTAATCATCCACATCGCAACCCTGGAAGGGAAGCTCGAAATGCATCGAGAGATTCCGATCGTCCCCATATTCGTCTGCCTAGTCAGCTCCTTCACAGAGAATACGAAGATCCTATTTAATATATGACTTGAACCGTGCATTCTCTTCGTTCTCTCTGTCCCCCATCTATTATCTATCTATTTACTATATCTTCCTCCTACATAGCTAGCTACCTAGGTTACCTACGTAGCGCCAAGAATCGCTCGTGGTTCTCTATTTATTTGCCCCGTTCAGCCCTATCTTTCTTGTCCGAATTATTATTATTATTATTCTCTGTACTACTCCATAGTCACCGAGTCCGAACCAGGAACAGCCCCCGATTCCTCCAATTCCTGGCTCTCAGTCGATCTTTTCTCTCTTGATCCAGCTCTCTCTCGCTCTCCTATTACTCTTATTACTCTTACGCCTTCTCGGATTCGTTATCCACTTGACCCAGCTTCGCTTGGCCTGATCCTCGTTTCTCTCCTTCCCTTGCTGGGTTTGCTTTTCTCCTGATTAATCTTTTCCCTTTTGTTTTTCTGCTTCATCACCTCATCACCTCACCACCTCTACTCCATACCCGTACTCCCTCCCCGCTGAGCATGGCCGACCGATACTATCAATCCGGTACGCGACATACTCCGCGCACACCCTGAATGATCGCTAATAAACAGACGCCAATGGCTCAATCAACGATTCCGCCGCCCAGATTGACGTAATCTGTGGCCCTCTCCTCAACTACAAAGGCATGGACTCCTCCCATTCCGCCTCCATGTGGCGCGGCAGTGTCTTGGTTGTCACCAAGCCCGGGTCGCCTCAGCCACGTCTCCTGTTGCGCTCCCTTGGTCCCGCCGCCGCTCCCCATGCGGAGACCCCCAACAGCCAGCCCGTCGCCATTGACGGTCTCCGGCTGTACGAGGATCCCCAGAAGGCCTTCTGGCGATTCTCCCTCAATGTCCCCCAGGAATCATACGAGGCGCGCTGGGAGTACAACATCCCGGGCTTCCGATATGCTGAAGGCCAGGAGCTCCGCCGCCCCTGGGATTTTGTCGTCCCCTCCATCAACCAATCCATGCGTCTCATGTTCCATTCCTGCAATGGCTTCTCCGTCGGCACCGACATGGACGCCTGGATCGGTCCCAACCTGTGGAATGATGTCCTGCGCGTGCATGCCCAAAAGCCCTTCCATGTCATGATCGGTGGCGGCGATCAGATCTACAATGACGGCATCCGCGTCGACGGGCCCCTGAAGGAATGGACTTCCATCGGCAACCCCCACAAGCGGCGCACGCACGACTTCAACAACTCCATGCGCGCGCGCTGCGACGACTACTACTACGCCAATTACGTCCGCTGGTACAACACCGACCCGTTCAAGGCCGCCAATGCCCGCATTCCCCAGATCAACATCTGGGATGACCACGACATCATCGACGGCTTCGGCTCCTACACCGACCACTTCATGCGCTGTTCCGTCTTCCGCGGCATCGGTGGCGTCGCCTTCAAGTACTACTGCCTCTTCCAGCATCACGTCGCCCCGCCCTTGTCGACCTACACCACCGACGCCCCCCAGACCATGCAGGCCATCAATGGGACGGCCGGCGCCGACCCCCGCCAGCTGGAGAACACCTTTGTCCTGGAGAACCAGCCCGAGGACGACAGCTGGATCGTCGGCAAGCGACCCGGTCCCTATGTCGAAGAGAAGAGCCGCAACCTCTACATGCGTCTCGGGAAACGCATGGCGTTCATCGGAGTGGATGCGCGCACCGAGCGGACCCGCCACCAGGTGAACTACAACGACACCTACGATCTCATCTTCTCTCGCCTGGAGCGCGAGGTCGCGGCCGCCAACGGGGAAATCAAGCACTTGATCGTGCTCCTGGGCGTGCCCATCGCCTACCCCCGTCTGGCATGGCTGGAGAACATCCTGAGCTCGCCGGTGATCGCGCCTATTCGTCTGATGAACAAGCGGTTTGGGTTTGCCGGTGGTCTTTTCAACCAGTTCGATGGCCAGGTCGATCTTCTCGACGACCTGGACGACCACTACACCGCCCGTCAGCACAAGCGGGAACGCCGCCTTTTCATCCAGCGTCTCCAGGATTTCTCCGCCGCCCATTCGGCCCGAGTCACCATCCTCGGTGGCGACGTCCACCTCGCCGCCATCGGTCGCTTCTACTCGAACCCCAAGCTCGGCATCCAGAGCCAGAACGACCCCCGCTACATGGTCAACGTCATCAGCAGCGCCATCACCAACAAGCCGCCGCCCAAGGCGGTGGCCAACCTGCTCGCGCGGCGGAACAAGATCCACCACATGGACCACGACACCGACGAGACGCTGATGGACATGTTCGACCAGCAGCCCGGCGGCCAGGAGAAGAGCGCGGCGTGGAACAAGGTGACGATGCCGTCGCGCAACTATGCCTGCATCACCGAAGTCGACACGCCCGAGGTCAACGGGGCGACCGCGGCAGATAGCTCGGTCGTCCCCATCCCGAAGGACGGGCACTCGCCTCTGCATAAGGGCGAGGCCGGCGCGGGCACACAGCATGCGGCTGCGGACGGCATCAGCAGCAACAGTGGCATGTTTGGCGGTCTGGATGTGGCCATCCGCGTGGAGATTGACCCGCAGAACCGAGAGGGAGCGACGGACGGATATGGATTCAGCAGTAAGTTGCGTTATGCGTAGTGTACAGTATGCAGCATACTAACCACACTATAGTCCCGCCGCTAGTGAACGTAGCCGCACAGCCCAGTGAACGACCCCGTTCGCATGGCAATATATCTCTCCGTCCGTCGTCACGACACCAGTCCTCTCATCGGCCTCAGACGGCCGTTTAATCTGGGCTTGTCCGGCAGATTCATGTTGGATGAGTCTCCAGCGTCTTTGGCGCAATGTCTTCTGGCTTATTCCTGTTCAATGTGTCTTGTTATTATATTATATCCTGTTGCGCACTCTGTATATCCACGATTGTTTGGCTTAATGAAATATCCCCCCTGCGTCGGACGGGCTGTGGTATTGTTCTCAAGGGTATATATTGGATATACAGCGTATACAATCCAGTCTGATAAACGACACTTTTTGCCATTTCGCAATCATACATCGTAGCCCCCTCCCATCACCCGTCATTCTCTACGCCCTGCCCAGCGCTAGTCCGCCGTTTGAGCCCCTCATTCGGCATCGGCGCCGTCCGCGGCGGCGCGTACGACGAGAACGAGTTCTCGCCCGCGGGCCGCCTTCTCCGCACAACCTGATACCCGCGATCGAGCTCGATCTCAATCACGCTGCGCACCTTCAACGCACTGACAGCCGGCCAGACGCCGCGCTCGCCCTTGAGGATCCAGTGGTCCAGACTGCCGCGCGCGGGGTTCTGGTATAGCTTGGTGAAGTCCCAGAGGGACAGGTCGGGCACGAGGGTGAGGCTGGAGCCGGGGATGGTTTCCTCGATGAGCAGGCGGGCGAGGGCCTGCGGGAGGAGGCCGAGCGAGTCGAGCTGGCGCAGGCGGAGGTGCAGCTCGGTCACGACGAGGCGGGTGATGAAGGCGGCCGGGTTCCAGGGGCTGGTGGGGCGGCGGTCGGCGACGCTGAGGTTGGAGCGCAGGAACGGCGCGATGTAGGGGCGCGCCTGCGAGACGATGAAGTGGTTGACGTTGAAGAGCTCGGCGATGCGCGAGAGCGGCGACTCGCGCTCGCTGTATTGCACGTGGTGCCAGGAGTGGAAGGTCACGTCTTGCGAGTGTGGCCACGGCACGATGGCGCCCGTTTCGTCTTTGCAGTAGATTGTTACCGGTTGGTAGAGGCTGCTGCTGGAGGCGTTGGAGGCGACTGCTGCGGACCAAATAAGCTTGGTCTAGTTAGCGGTTTGTTGGGGTGGCGAGGGAACAGAGGGGAGGGACGTACGACGTTCGGGGCAGTTAGGTAGTTGAGCAAATTGGGACTCCCCGATTTGCTAGATATGGCAACCGTGATGTTGAGGATGCGCTTAGAGCGCGCGTAGGCTTCTTCAAAGGTGAGGTCGCCGAGGTTGGTGCGCACGCAGTCCTCGAGGACGCTGGCGTCGAAGAAGTAGCCCTTCTGGATGTAGCGGCGGGTGCGGCGCCAGAGCGTCGCGAGGCTGTCGCTGAGGGAGGACTGCCACGTGCCGGCGGGGTCGGAGTCTCTGTCTCCGCGGCGGTTGAATGCCGAGAGATCGATGCCGTCGCCGTTGAGGAACGTGAGGAGCTCGTCCTCGGTGTGGACGCCGACGAGAGCGGCAATCAGGGCGCCCGTCGCGGTGCCCGTGATGATGCGCGGGAGGAGGCCCTGGAGATGCAGCGCCTTGACCACGCCCAGATGGCAGAGACCAAAGATCGATCCGCCCTGCAGCACGAGGGTGGTGCGCCCGAAGGCCTGGCGCGTGTCGTGCAGGAGCTCGAGCTTGGCCTGCGAGGTGAATTCGCCATGGTGGATGGAGGTGGTCTGCAGCTCGGTGACGTACTGGATGGAGAGGGCCACCTGCGTGATGTAGTCGTCTATGAGGAACTTGGTGCCGGCGTACGCATGCAGGAAGAGCCGCGGCGACGTGATGTTTCCCAAATTGCGCACGAGGCCGGAGCGCAGGAGATTGCAGAGCGTCAAGATATCGTCGTCCTCGCGGGCGCTCAAGAGTGCCTCTACCCGTCGCAGGATAAGCCGATAGTCGTAGTGACGACTGGTAGGGTTTTGACGCCTAGTTCGGTGAGTCTGGGGACGATCAACGACTCGCCGACACTCACCATAGATCGATGCTGAGAAGCTCATCCAGGTCGAAGGCTGCGGATTCCCATTCCTCGAACGTCCGGGCGTTGGCGAGACGGTGCATCAGCTGCCGACGCGGCGATTGGGAGGTCCATCGCGACAGTAATTTCTGCAATATATGAGGACAGTGTCATGCATGAGTTCAAGGGACGAACGTACGTCTTTCCAGTACTGGGCCACGTCCAGGATCATGATCGCGATGCCGGCGATGAAGCGGGTGATGGAGAGGATAGTGGGGAGCATCTTCAGCTGGCATGGAGGCCCGACTTTCACATGCTAGAGAATCGGCGGTGGCGAGTCATTGGGTTTGAGAATGAGACTCCGTAGATCCGAGATAGAGGTGAAGTTGCGAGGATGGAGGGGAAACGCGGGCGGAGGTCTAAATAATCCCGGCACTGTCTGTCTACAACCATGTCATACTCCCAGTACGACCAGATCAACACCAGATAGCAGTCAAAAAAAAATGGATTGCTCATGAACATTTTCTACACGCCACGATCCCAAGCTGAGAAAAAGCCAAACCCGTGGGCACGTAAAGGGGGCATTGAAATTCCATAGTCCATGTAAATTTTTTGCTTAATTTCGCGCTCTCTGCGTCCCTATGCAAGTCGGCGAAAATTAAATTCTCCAGACATCCTGAACACCCCAGCAAGGCGGACACAATTCCCGTCATCATTTACTCTTCGACGATGTTACCACGCTCCGACACGTACAGACCGTCCAGGAACTGCGCCTGTTAGTAGATTCCGACGACCCCGGGGACCGAGTGACATACCTTTCGGATATCCTTGTTGCGGACTCTGCAGATCTGCTGGATGTCGGCAGCGCTCTGGGAGACACCCTCCAGGGAGTTACCAGACAGCTGGAGCTCATCCTTGACGTTGGGGGAGGTGATGACCTCGACACCGGGCTGGGCAGTCACACGACGGACGTACTTCTCACCCAGGAAGTTACGGATCTCGACCTCGTACTGACCGGTCTCGGCGTTCTTCTCGATGTTGACGTTGATGGGAAAGTGAGCGTACACGTAGCGCATCTTGTACTTGAAGCCGCGGGTGACACCGATGATCAGGTTGTTGATGATGGTACGGACGGTACGCAGGGCGGCGATACCCTTGCGGACACCGTGGTGCATCTCAATGGAGATCACGTCCTTCTCGGGGCGGCCGAAGGTAACGGCGATGTGGGAGAGGTCCTTGACCAGCTTGCCTGGAGGCGAAGGACCATGTTAGTGCGATTGTTGGAACGACGGTCTGTCGGGCACCTGTCGGTCGACGAGACAGTGTGCCGATGGGAAATGTGGGATATGCGTACCTCGGGGGCCCTCGACGGTCACAACCCGCGAGCGAATGTGAACCTTCACTGTAGGACAAATGTATCAGTATTCGACCTTTTGAAAAACGATGTATCGAGTGTAGAATCAGAAAATTCCTCCGTCGTTCCTTGTCGCAGCGATTGAGCAGGTGTTTTGTCCTCTAAACCCTCCAACAGTCTCTCATGTAGTCGACGCATCGTGTTCCTCGTTGTCCTCCTGACCGTCCTCCACCCATGCTCATGCTCAATCGACCCTCTCCAACGCGCAACAGGACAGAAAAATCAGGAAAATCGAAATGCTCACCATTCTCGGGGATGGGCAGCCGTTCCTCGGAGTGAATGTACCGCATCTTGACTGCGTGGGCTGTGGAATGTCCGAGGGGAGAATTGTCGATGTCGTCGTGCGGTCGGTCGTCGAAAGGATCGAAATTCGTCGAGGCAGTCCGGAGGCTTTCTTTGGTGGAGCGAATTTGGGCGGGTTGTGCGTCGCTTAGCTCCCGTTGCGGTCTAGCGCCGCCCGCCTAGGGTTGTCTGGCGCTAACTGTATTAAGAAGTCACGTGCTATCATACAATCCATAACTGTCGCATTATTATTATTATTATTATCATTCCCAACGCCAGACCTTATATACAGTAGAAGTAGCATCCATATTAGTCCTGTAGCCCTAATCTCCTTTACTCACCTCCTTCCGCTTCACCTCCTGGAGCCACTTCCCTCCCAGGCTTGTCAGCGTCGACGCCAACTCGCCCTTCTCATGCAGCGCCGTCACATCATCCCCGCCACCGATGCTGCGTCCATTAACGAGCACATTCGGTACCGTCCGACGGCCGGTATTGTCGCCCAGGAGACTCTGCAGCTGCTTGCCCAGTGCGTGGTGATCCAACTCCACCACATACGGCGCCGGGACAATCGAGTACTGATCCAAGAGGATCGCCTTGGCCCGTTTACTGAACGGACAGTACGACTTGGAAAAGATAATGACTGCAACCAGTCATCAGTCAGCAATCGACTCTCCTTCTGTAAGTCCGCATATCAATCGGGAATGCACTCACTCGGCGCGCGCTTCAAGATACTGTTCAACTCCGCCTTGGCCTCCTTATGATCCTCCGTCGACTGCGGCTTCTCCTTTGGCTCATCCTTGTCTTTGTCCACGTCGTTACGGTTCTTGGGCACCGTCATCTTCGTTCGCCCCGCAATCGGGATCTCCTCCACGTCGTTGTTGTCGCCGCTGTTGCTGTTGCTCTTGGGGATCGCCGGCTCCATTCTGTCGTCCGCGGCTTCAGGCTTTGCGTGGTTCCCGCCGGTATTCGGCGGGGGAACCGCCTTGCTGCCGCTATCTTTGGCCTCCTTGTGCGCTTCCATCGCGGCTACCGTCGACCGGTAGAATCTTTGGTTCTGGATCATGTTCGACTCGCCCTGGGTCATCTCTGGTGTTAGTTTAGCTGTGTGGTTTTGAGTAGGGGTGAGCTCACGGAGTAGTAGAAGATCATGATGATCAATGCGACCACGGCGATGGCCGCCAGTCGGAGACGTCGATGCGACAACATCGCGAGGCGTGTGTATGGGGAGTATTCGATGATAAGGTTGTTTTTGAAGCTATAGTCCTTCGCTGTCGGTACAAGAGGTGGTACGATCAATGGGTCGGTTGACGCCTCCGATTCAATGGCTTTCAACAGTCGTGCTTGGACAGTGCATCGGCCGCCTTAATTCACTAAGGACGTATCTGGAGACAGACAGCTCCCTGGTCAATCACACGATAATAATAAACAGACAAAAAATGGCCACCTCCACCTTCAGTGCGGTCCAATGTTAGATGACAGGGTAGGGGTTGTGTTGCGGAGACAAGCGCCGGGGCGGACAGGTACTCTGGACGTGAAAGCGGCCCGTCTGTCTTACGTCACGGCAGAACCAGACAGGAACATCCACGCCATCAAGGTTAAGCTTATTCGACGGGGCACAAGTAGAAGATGGTAATAAAAACATTATATTAACATCGAACTATCTAAGACGCTATATTCGGGTATTTTAATTCGCAAACGCCGACATTAGGAATTTTATACCATGGTTGTAATATCACCATGTATGGGTCTGTTGCGTATGGCCCATTATTGTTCTCATGGTGAAGCTCTGACTCGCATCAGCTGAAGGCAAGTCCAACAGACCTGCTATGGTCGCCCCAGCTAGACACCGAGACCAGATGCCTGGTTCGATCGGAATGACAGAATGCCAACCACCACTATGCTTGGATTGGAATACCCGGACGTGGTCCGATGGTCCCCCGACGTCTTCCCTGGACCACAATCATCCAATCCTCCCACTCTTTGGCAATCTCCATCAGAACGTTACCCATCACCGTCGCCGAAGCCATGAGTCCATGGCCTTCGCCTTCGAGCACCCGGACCTCGCACCGCCGCATGGTCTGGCCTAGCCACCGCACGTTGTCAACCGGCACCCGAGTGTCGCGGCTCCCATGGTGGATAACGACGTTGCGGGTGATGTCAACATAGCGGAACCCAATCGGCTGGTGACGTTCCAAGCAAACCAAGAGATCGACGGCAGGATTGGCATTCGTCGTGGCACATTCCCAGATCTTGTGGGTAAGTCGGTTGTCATAGTCTGTCTGACGTTCCTGCTCCTGGGAGATGTCCACCTCGGTTTGAGTCGTTGCGATCTGGGAAGTTTTACTATTCTTCGCATTGGACGCTGTGACCTCCGTCTTGAGGTCTGCGGCTTGTTGAAGCATCTTTGGCTGGGTTTTCTGGCTGCCATTGGCATCCAGGGCGCTCGGACTTGTTGCATCTTTCAGCGTTGCTCGTCGTTTGGCCCGCCGAGATGATTTGGGCAGATTAGCCGTGAGACTGGCACTAGTCGCGCTCATAAAGCTCGAGTTGGCCACTTTGAGGATTGAAGTTGGGAGTGCACGAAGGATTCTTTGGGAATAGGGAACGGCATTTGTGGGAACGGGAGCTTTTTGGGACCCTAAGCTGCACAGTTGGGAGGGCGGTATCCAAGGGGCCAGTAAGTGAAGACGGCCACGGATGTGTTGAGGGATTCTTAGTGCAGTTGCCAGTGCATAGATCGCTCCGGCGGAATGGCCCAGGATCGAAAACTTTGTTACTTTGAGGTGGTTGCAGACGATGGCAACATCATCTACATCAGGTCAGTAGTGGATTATTAATGCTGCGGAGGAAAGATATCTTACCAGGCCAGCTAAGAGGAGTACCGGACTCGTCCACGTAAGGTCCACTTTCACCCACCCCTGGGCGATCCAGAGTGATGAGTCGCAATCGGAGAGATCGCGCGAGCTCATCGTAGAATGCCATCAAATATCGAGTCAACCCCATGCCTAGACAGCACAAAACCACATGTCCTCTGGGGTCTCCAACCTCGGAGAAGGCTATCACACGACCGGTTGTCGGATGGTACACTCTCTGGGTGAGCTTTGGAGATGATATATAGTCCAAAACGGCCAAGTCGATCGAATCAGCGCTCGATGGGCGCTCATCTGAAGCGCCCACGGGGGATACGGGGCCGGACGGAGAGCGTTTGTGCTGACGAGGAGTGGTTGACTCGACGGACTGTCTATACCGAAGTTTTTCGAGCTGATCGGGTTTTTCGAACGATTGCCTCTGTGGAAAAGGCGAAGAGGGCATGTTTGTGGTCTTTGAAGCCAACAGTGAGTTGTTTCGGCTCATAGATCTGTTTTTGCCTGTCATAACTGCCGGCGCAGGCGCACTTTCATCAAACCCGCTATGAACTGGGCCTCCACGCGGCGCATTCTCTTCATCAACTGGTTGCGATCGCCGAGCTGGTCTCGTTGGTGATCCTCGGGAACTTCTGTCTGGACTGTCGTCCATCTCGAGTTCGGTCTTGATCTTCTGTTGCTGGTCTTTCAGCTCTTGAATGCGTTTGGTCACCTGTTCGGCCCCGTTCTCCACTCCCGCAATCCCACTGTCTACCTTCGCATCTCTACTTGTAGTGGAGGGCTGTCGACTGTGCCGAGATGCCTTGCGCTGCTTCGGGCTGGAAGAGAAGCTATGGCGCAAAGAGGATTCACGGGCCGGAATCACTCTGCCACTTCCAATTCCTCCGGGCGTGCTGGGAGCGCTATCTCGCGTACTCTGCTGCGAGTGACGTTCCCTGCTGGGAGGCGCGCTGATCAGCTTTCCTTTGGAGGAATCCAGAGCTGATATGCCGGGTCGCCCTTCTTCGGCGACGTCAGCCATGGAATACAGCGACCGCAGACTAGCGCGATTGCGAGGCATATTGTGCCGCAACCCGTCGCTGTAGCTGCTGGTCTTGCGCAATCGTTCGGCCTGTCGATCCTTGTCTCCGAGTACTTCCCGCGACGACTTCTTCAAGAGCCCCAGCTGGTTCTTCAAGCTCTTGCGTGAGCTGACCGACGTGATGCTTGGTGCTGTAGAAGCTCGTGGTCCCGGACCCGGTTCCGCCGTGATCATACCAAATGCGTGATCTTCATAGGCCGCCTTGGACGAAGTATACGAGCCCCTCGAGGTCGGTCTGGCGGGAGACGGGGGAGGATCAAAAGTCGACTTGGCCTTGGGCGACGGCGGGGCGCGAGCCATCCGGATCACAGGGGCAACGGCCGCATCATCCGGATGGAGAAAGGGACTATGCGGAGGATCCTCCGGCGCTGGGGGTGCGCCATAAGTCACTCCAAAACCATGTTCGCTGCTAGGTGGATGCTGGTCGAAAACCGAATGCTGCTCGGGAGGCAAAAAGACCGGCGAGGAGGGGTCTGTTTCTGAATCAATGCGTGGCACATTGTCGAAATGGGTTTGGAGTGGAACAGAGATCGTGGAAAGGGATGAGATCAGGGACGAAATGACTTCGGGGGACCCGGGATCCGCCGTTGAAGGGTTTGCGGAATGTGAGCGCGAAGGGATGGATTTGCGACGTCGGGATAGTAACGATGAAGCCGACAAGACAGGGGCATCCAGCTTAGACACCGAAGCGTCATCTGCGCGATCCATCGCGGCCACCATTGGTTTGGTGGGATGCTTTTCTTTTTATTCACAATGGGTTATTTGCGCTGGATTATTGAACAGGGGATGGTCACCCTCGACTCCTGGAGAAGTTCTTTTGCTCCCCAGCCCAGTTCAGGAGACAGTCACCGACGAGAGACGCAGGAGGGCTGGGTGAGTACTTGCATGATCCAGTGGGAGGAGAAGGAGTTGGCGTCTGCAAGGTAGGCTAACGGTGTCAATCTATCGGTGGTGTTTATCGGGCGCATGTGCCAGTCAGAAAAAGAAAAAGAAGGGAAAAAGGCAAATTTAGGGCCAGGGCGATCGTATGCAGCCCCTTACGGCACGAAATACCCCTTGCTGGACGTTGCTCTGGAGAACGAGGAGACGGTTTGGGGATTATTTGAAGTAAGGATAGAGGATGAAGTCCAAGAAAGGAGGTGAAGAGAAGATTGAGACAAGAGGGTATTAGTATAGAAGGGAAAAGAATCAGAAACTAAGAAAGGATTAGCGAATAGGGATTGCTGGTGTATAGAGACGAGGAGGGGGAGAAGAAAAATAGGGGATGAAGACTCCATACAATGAGTTAAGTTAATTAGATAGTCTGATATGACGGAGTCCAATCCGAACTGGGATAGTCCCAGGGTCGTCCATCCATCGACTTGGAGGGGCAACATGGCAGCATTATATGCTGTTGATATGAGGCCATAGTCTCCATCTCCCCCATCGTCCCCTTGCTATTGATTATTGTTCCTTCACTCTATAATTGTCATCAACATGTCCACTCTCTACAGAGACGCACTCCGTCTTGTTAATTTCGGCGCAAAAATGAACACTCCACTGCCTCCAGTTTGGCTGGATTCCGACCCGAAGGCCCGATTCGCTCTAGTTCATCCACTGATTCGATCCCACCGTGAAAACTTCCTCCGCATGGTTCGCAGATCCAAATTTCAGCATTTCGTCCTCGAAACGGAGAGGCAATATATGCAGACCTCTGCAGACATTGGAGTATACACGACCCTCATCAGTACTAAGTAGGCACGTAGTTTTCGACCTATCGAATTCCCTCACGCACCTCACTCACCTCACTCACCCACTTCCGCCAAGGTCCATCCACTTCCCGGATTCCACCCATAAGATTTAGTTTCTGGTGGATCGTGATATTAATCGACGTCAGTTGCATTGATAGAGGGACCCTACCGATCCTTCCGGGAGCTCAGTCGCAATTACAACATAGTAACAATAACAATACTATATCCCTTGATTGGCGGGACACGCATGACGGATGACAATAATCGACCCTTGCAGTCGACGACCAAGGAACGCCCGGTCTGACCTCCACGAGGTACTCCGTAGTCTGGGCGGTTCCTGAGATCGTGGGCAGCGGAATCCCCACCGAACCACACATTCATGCATTCCAATCCTGTGTTCTGGGGTATCCACGGTATCGGAGTCCTCGATCTCGCAGTGTTCCCGTAGCCTTGGTACTAGTAGTATGAATTATCTCCATACTCCGTACATAACGAAGCATATGTATCTCATGCAAATGTCTGAGCCTATATAGCATATGGTATAAACAAGGTCAGACCTCCCCGCGTTTCTGATCCCTGCTTAGAGACCAATTCTGCATCATCGGACGCTCGTAATTGAAACAGTCTCACTTTGAGACGAAGTAATCAGTTTGCGTCTCCCTTTATAATAAGAAGTGACGTTATTTGTTGGGTTGTGTACCAGGGGAAAACTTAAGCATCCTCGCTTCATGAGCTTCCCACCGTGAGACCTCTCCACTCGCCTGCATAAAACGTCTCGCCCTAATGCAAAGGGCCTTCTTGCCCGTCTATGGAAGTGGATAATAGACGGATTCACTTTGATTTAAATAGGCTCGGTGAGGTAATCTCGATTTGTGTCGTCCTCCCTGTCTCGAATAGGTCCCATGATTCATTTCGCTCAGGTTCGCCAAGATGTTGTGCTTCGTGGAGTCTGCCATCAGTAAGAGGTCATTTCTGATTCTGAATGAGGAGATAGAGGGCGATTCATGGCTGTATCCGTTAGATCGTGGCACTTCAAATTTCTCGTCTTGTTTTTCTGCATCTGTTGTAGAAATATATCTTCTGTTGAACTGTTAAGACTATCTCGAACAGAATGCACTTTGATCTAGCAAATTTATCGCATTGGACAATGCAACAGTCAGACCCTAGAAAATGCCACAGTAGGCGGTTTATTTAAGCTGCCATCAATGTCATCCGAAAGAGTACTGTACATACAGTACTTTGAGGGACAGCGGAATGGTGAGGAGGCTTGGCATTCTGGCATGGAATCAACCAACTCACCTGTCAATCTCCGACAATCCCACTGCCGCGTTCCTACGACCTCCGCTCTCGTGTTCTTGGGCCCATGACAGAACATATTGGTCTTTCTTTATTATTCACTCAAATTTTTCCGAGTATCATTCATTGAATATCCCTCAACAATCTCCGCGTCGCCCGTGTTGGTGGCCCTTCCGACCTTCTCTCTCGTTAGATATGCGGTGATCGCAAGCTCCGCCGACCCAACGTTTGTCCGCAATGGACGCCTACCCCGAAGACTATCTTGCCCGCAACCTTCCTTTTGTCCTGATTTCAGGACTTGAACCAACCGCCGAACATGACTCCGAGACCGACGAGGTGGCCGAGGTGGCCTATCCCCTCCTCCCAGAGAAAGGTGTCCAAATATACTCAGACTTTCCACCCTTGACCGGCGCAATCGCGGAGGAGCTGCGGACGGCGTTGCTTGAGGAAGATGCCTCTAAAGCTCCCTGGGATACGAATGAAGAGATGCACACGACAGCCTCGGGGGTAGAATACAGAATCAGAAGCATTGGGCGGGTGAGTCGCATATTGTCCTTGGACCTCCCCGCATCCCACGTCACTCCCAACAAAAGTTCGGCGATAGCGCAGGCTAGATTTACAAATGATGCACCACCCAAACCTGTGCCTAAGACACATCAGTCAACTCGCAGAAAGTTGTCTTTTGGAACATTGCTAACTCCAAAAAGTCTTACAGGCTACCCCCACGCAAGGCTGATCCCCCGCCTGTGTCCCCTCCCATGAGCCCTACAGGCGATAACGATAAATCATCACCGCCCTCATTTGTTCTCCATTCGCCGATATCTCCATTGACACCCAGCTCTCCAACTTTCCCAGACGGCCTACTGACTCCACTATGGGTCACGAAACACCAGAGCCTCGTCCCTGCCGCCGTGATCAACTTCTTTCCCTTTTGCCTTGACCCAAATATGAGCTCCTTGCGCGATAATCAACTAAAAATCGAGATCAATGGGTTGAAACAGGAATGGGTTGCGTCAGGATACAAGACCCGTTTCATAGTCGTTCTCTTGTCGGAAGAAGGCGAGGGCGACTATGCTCGGGATGCGGATGACCGAGTAGCAAGTATTCGGAGGGCAACCAATCTCGATCAAAAGTCTATCTTCCTCATCCCGCCAGATGCAACCGCGTCGGAATTGAAAGAATTCTCCGGTTCGTTGTTGTCCCTTCTTCAACCATCGTTGATGGAATACTATCGGGACCTGTCCAAGCATGCAAGGCGAAAGCGAAACCGAAGCACAATACCGCCTCCAACCGCGCCACCCACCAGTGGCACCTCCCAGACATTGTCACTCCAGGGCTGGAATGTTAGATACGAATTTAAAATGGGGATCTTTGCAGAATTTCGACAAGAGATCGACGCAGCCATAAGAAATTATGAAAGCGCCTATGATACCCTGTTCGGACAAGAAGTCTTCGAGAATATCGCTGGCTGGAGCCCGAGGTTCAATGATACACGCCTTATAGCTGACACAATTGCGATACGTATCATTCGCTGCCTGCTTCAGATGGGTCAAACGACAGCGGCAGTAAGGTCATGGGTTCGACACCGAACCCGTTCGCAGGACATCATCAATCGACGAGGCAAAGGGACAAGAAACTATGGCTGGGAGGCCTGGGAAGCACGCTGGTCTATGGTGATGGCGCAGCTTATTCGTCAGGCACGTATCCCGTACTTCACCTCTGTGGGTATTTCTCAGGATCAGTTTAACGAGCAATACTCGATATTTGTTCCTCGCGAGAAGACAACACATCCCGGAGATATTATCAAACCGTGGGAACAACTCCATCATGAAGGATATTGGTTATACCGATCCGCTAAGCATAGTATGCAACGTCGCCTTCTGGCGGAACAGATCCCTGCAGAGGACCGCATCCCTCCTGGCCAGTCCCCTGCTTCTCAAATCGCCAGCAAGGCCTATCTCTATGACACGTACTTAGCTCCCGAAACTCACATAGAAGCACCACAGGCCGGATCGACGGGCTTTGACCATTCAAACGTGATCCTAAAAGCCCTGAACGCAGCGTTGGAGGAGTTCTCGAAACGTGACCAGGTTCGAATGACAGAAAGGCTCCGGCTGGAGATCGCGGAAGAGTACATGCGTATTGGGTCTTGGGCTGAAGCTTTTAATGTGCTTCAGCCGCAATGGGCTACTCTCTCTTGGAGACAAGCAGGCTGGTGGAGTCTAATGGAAAGGTTTGGCTGGGCTTTGAGGAAATGTGCTCTGCAAGTGCAGGATAGTGAGACCATCTTGAGGGTAGATTGCGAGTTACTCAACCGAGGTGAGTGCATAGCAATGCTTCCTATTATTTACCCTGCCGCCCGTCGTGTGCTGACACAATGTGACTTACAGTATTTCAACCGAAGCCTGATTGGTCCTACGACATTCACAAGAGTCTTGGTGATCTCCCTCTGGTGAAACCAAAACCATGTATTGTCCTGAAGGCGGAGGACATCATTTCGTGTGGTAGGCATGCTCTGAAACGGACTGTGGCCCATACTGATCAAACTTCTTAGTTACGGCGTCATTTGTCATTCAAAATGCCGAAGGCAATGTTGGTGAACCGTTGTCGGTTCAACTTGTCATCCGATCTTGTGCCCAGCCATCATCTGCCCCTATCAGATTTTCGGCTGTCAAAGTTGTATTCGAGGGTTGTCTACGTCCTATAAAGCTTGAGTCGAGCGATGACGAGTCCTCGGATACTACAAGCCCGTGCACCATATCATCCATTTCGCTGCAAGAGCCTAGGCTGTCCGCAGACGTATCATCTCTTCAGTCACCCACTAGTCATTTAGAGACTCTCACTGGAGTTGCCGACTTGACGATTGGACCTTCGCAGACCAAAGTGTACAATTTGATATGCACACCGCGCGAAGCTGGTGAGTCGCGGGTCGCATCAGTCACTCTGCTTATCGAGGAAGAAAAGTTCGACCTTGCCTGTGCTGTGAGAGATCTCGGCGATCGGAACTCGTTCTGGTGGCAGCAAAGCCCCAACGGCATGACGCGAAGAAGGGTAGGCAAAGGTCGTGACACTACTCAGTGCCGAATTCTGCCCAAACCCCCCAAGATCCGGATCACCACGCCAAACCTTAAGGATAACTACTACACGAACGAGCGGATTGTCCTTAAACTGGGAATTCATAACGATGAAGATGAGGCAGCCGATGTTCTCACAGAAACCAGACTTTTCGGCCGACCGGAATCCGCAGCCAAGATCTCATGGCTCGACGAAGAAGACTCGGCAGAGCCTCAAGACTCTGGAACTAGCACTCCTATTGAGGGTGTTGCCCATTTCTTGAAACGCCCAATTGGAGTGATGGAGAGCTCCGCGCGGCGAGAACTAGAGATCGTGCTCACCGGCACGGAGGACGCTTCGGACTACGAGTTGGAAATATCTTGCGTATATAACCTTGTCTCAGACGTGCACACACCCATCATTGCAACGGCTAGAGTGAGCCTGTCCATTATACGGCCATTCGAAGCGAACTACGAATTCCATCCCCGGCTGCATCCCCTACCATGGCCGGATTTCTTCTCCGTGGATGACGACATGTTTGAAGGTCAAGGTACACCAAAGCCCGCAGGATTATACCAACGGTGGTGTCTTAATTCGAAACTTGTCTCCTTCGCTCTAGAGCCGCTCGTCATTGAGAAAGTGTCGCTTGTACTACTCGGAATCGGCGGGGGATCGACCTGCCATATTGGTCCTGAAGAGGTTGCCAGCCCGGATACACCGGAGATCCGTCCGGAGGAGCTCCGCGAGTCCAATTTCACATTGGACATGCAAAAGGTCGTGCTCGGAGACAGACGACCGACCGCGGTGAACCTTGCTTTAGAGATCGTCTGGCGCCGGAGTAGTGACGAAAGCTCCGAGAACACTCACACTAGCACGACATCGACGCTAGCGGTCCCTCGATTTGTGGTCCCATCTGGCGAGCCTCGTGTGCTTGCATCGGCTGTCGGTTCGAATGCTCTACCGGGCTTGGTCCATGTAGACTACACTCTGGAAAACCCATCGACTCACTTCCTCACCTTTAACCTGACGATGGAAGCCAGCGAGCATTTTGCTTTCAGTGGACCAAAAACGATGGTGGTCCAGCTCGTGCCCCTGAGTCGTCACACGGTCCGATACAACCTACTGGCATCGAAGCGAGGTCAATGGATCCAACCTCAACTCCTCGTGGTCGATACGTATTTCAACAAGTCTCTGCGAGTGCTGCCGACAGAGGACATGCGATCGGACAAGAAAGGCATATGGGTCTGGGTAGATGCGGAGGATTAGATACACCGGTGTCTCCTGGTGGGATTAACTGGTTTGCTGCGAACACATTTTGGCGGACATGATATGATGTATGATTGAACTAGATGAATAGATAGGACGGTTTTCTTGCATGAAGATCACGTGCGACGTGCCCTTATCACGCGCGGCCCAAAGCGGACTAGCGACGGCGATCGGAGCAGCTCCCCAGACCCGGCCAGAGTGACTGAGGGAATCCTACAACTGCGCAGACTTTCTCTCTCTCGTGCTGGCCCCAGGCTTTCCTTGAGCGGACAGTGGTCTCTGTATGCCATTCAAGTGATTGGCCCTCTTTTTCAGATCGTCTCCTCTGCAGACACTGCAGTCTCTTCTCTCTCGACCCTGTCGGCTTCATCCGCTCCGTTCTTGGAGACGTCTCCCACGCCTCAACCGTAGCCATGGCGGCGCAGGCGGCTCTAATCGCAGATACCATCGTGGGCATGAAAAAGGCCCTCCGCAAAGAGAACGACTGTACGTGACTTGGTTTTCTTTGGACTTTGTCCCCTCATGTTGCTCTGCGTTCTCGGCCACTGACGCTTTCCTAGATAATGGGCCCGACGACCCGATCACTCAGCCTACGAATCGAGGGAATAAACTCAGAGCAAACGCGAGATTTGTGCGCGAGGGTGCTTTGGGGTATATCCACCCGGAGGAACTATATAAACAGGTAAGGCTCTGTGCAAGCCGTGCTACGATCCAGTGCTGCGTCCCGCCAACTGCGCTGGGCTCGATTTTCATTGCTATTTTGAACAGATGGACTGACTGTAATGGCTTCCAACCTATAGAAAATTGAACACGCCGGATATACGCGCTACATACTTCAACCGAACCCCGTGCGTTACGACTCCGAAGGCGACGAGCTGGACGATGACGATGAAGACTCTGAAGCAGATGCTGCTGCGGCAGAGGAGAACCCATTTTCGGAAATCGCACTTGAACGTAAGTTGTCAACCTACATTTAAATACTTCTAGTGCCATTGGATATCAAGTATTGATTGACCTGATTGTGCGGTTGTAGATTTCCTCTGCCCTCTCAAACACCCGTCAGAACTACCCAACCATCCCTCCCTGTCACACGCCTACACGTCAAAAGCGCTTTTAAACATGACACAAGCCATCGAAGCGAAACTCCGGCAGGAACGCGCGCTTCTGTGGCGTGCGCGAAACCTCCATCGACAATTCCTGGGTGACGCTTCGTGGATGCCGTGTGGAGCGGTCGAAACTCCAGACGACAGATGGATCTTTGAACCCAGGATACCTAACATCGGATTAAGCTCACCGGCTAGCCAATCAGCCCCGAATGGGATCGTCACTCCATCAGTCGCTGGAGGATCAAGCGTTCTCAAAGGCGGAGTCCCCGATTCGAGTTCCGTGGCTGGTTCATCCAAGGACGCTCAGGGCGACCAGACCGCAGAGAAGGACGTTGAAATGTCCGACGCTCAAGACCTTCCCGATGCACAGTATCCAAGCGCCGAGCAGACAAGACGGCCCAAGTCCGAAGAAGTCGATACCCCCGTCGCGGACCTTCCTCAACATCCTGAAACTACCGATCAAGAGACGCAAGTCAATGGGAGCAGAGCGGAAGCCGGGCAGCAAGACCAAGATCGAACGTCAGGTGCCGATGGGCCACTCGGTCGAGATCTTCAGGGACACACGAATGACGAGCGGCCGGCGGGTGAGCAGAGCAATGGTGCAGATCGACACGATAACCCAGCCGACGAGACGGATAAGGATGAGGAAATGCAGGATGGCTCGTCTCCCGAGCCGCCTCGCCGAATGACCACTCGGGCCCAGACAAACGCCGCAAACCCGCAACAAGAGGACGACTCAGGCCTAGCTTCCCCCTCGGATTCATCCGACACACTTAGCACCCTTCCAACGCCACACCCTCTCTTCCTCGTATCCGATTCTATCCGCCCCGACGCTAACTTCGGTCTACCACCCAACGAAGCCGAGGAAACCCGGCGCCTGCTTTGGTCGTACGTCCAGAAACAGGAGGAAACCGTGCGGGGATTCGAGCATATGCTCGAGTCTCTACTTCGGGCCTGCCGGATGAAGGACGATGTGTTCGAGTGGTGCAAGGCCGAGGGACATGTAGGGGAAATGAGTGACGGCGAAGATTGGTACGACCGCGAGAAATGGGGTCTGGCAGAGGGCGAAGACCTCAAGAAGGGTGCCGACGAGGACGATATCGAACCCGTCGAGGAGAGTCGGACGTCCAACAAGAGGGGTCGAGGTCGGCGATAGACTGGGGTGTTCGGATGGAAGATTTCTCACTTCCTTGTTTGCTACAGTTGCTCTCGTGCACAGTCATCAGCCTTGCCTCCGATATAGATCCCCTAGCGTGGAGTTGCGGTGTTTGTGTGTTTGGTTGCGGAGTATGAGCTGGCTGTCTCCTTATCGATTCATGTACGATTCCCACTTTTCCCATGAGATTTAACGAAAATATGCAACGTGTTACTTAACTTTTCTTGATACCTGGCGGGTGGTTGTTTGGATGGTTTTGGTTTGCAGGAAGGCAATTTGATGTAGATTTCGTGCACGTATGTCCATGTGAGCATGTACGTATGTACAATGAAGCAGTAAAGAGAAACACCATTACCAACCTCCACCGGTCTATATAAGCTCTCTCCCGAATTTTTGATTAGTGCCTGTCATCACAATGTTTCTCCAACTCCCCACAACCGCAGACTTCTCCTAACTGTTGAATTCTATACACCTACACCTGTGGACCTCGTCCACGTCTCATGAATTGCACTGGTGTTGAACGTCCGAGTAGCAACCCTGTTGTTTGTTGCTCTCGCTGTGAAGGCGGCACTGCAGTTTTGTCTCGCCTAGGCTGTGAGGTGTTTACTGTCTCTTGCCGCCTTTTTTTGACTTCGCGCGCTCACGCTCGCGCTTAGCGTAGATCTCGGCAGTGAAAGGACTACAAAGGTCGTGTGTCAGCAGTCACGACAGTCTCGGCATCATTCTGGCTCGTTCTTCGGGGTGGTCGCGTAAGGGGAGAAGAAATCAACAGAACGATAGAACGGAGTAGGCGCATATGGGCGGGAATCACGGGTCATAGATTACTCCCAAGGAAAAAAAGGGAAATACTTACTCCTCCCAGCGGAGAGCAAACCAGTAGAGGATGAAGACCTCTGCGGTGAGGAAGATACCGGCGACCTTTCCGGTGTACAGGGCGACCCCCAGGAAGTTCAGAGTGCTTCCCCAGTACATCGGGGAGCCGGTCACGTTGAACGGGAACCCGGTGACGGGGGCGTCCATGAGGATACCGAAATAATCGCCGAGGTAGGTTCCGGTGACTCCTAGGGCCCACATGCTGGAAACGACTAAGACGGAGCCGACGGCGATGAGGGCGCCGCCCAGAATCGGTTGGTGCACAGGGGCATAGAAGGGCTGGAGCTCCAAGGCCTGTTGATAGAGGTGGTCGCGCACGATTCCCAGAGTGAAGATGGTGACGGCGAGGAAGTAGCAGCCGTAGTAGGGATTACCGCCGAATATACGAGTCAGGAAGTGAGTCCGATACTCTACAGGTTGAGGCGCATGTAAAGCTTAGTTTTCTCCTTGTTCCCTTGATCTTTTGGACGAGAGGGGTCATGGTCTTGTAGCGTTGGGGCGAAGACCATGGGTACGTTGGGGAATAGGCGGTTGAGGAATGACTAACCGGCACGAGCGACGATACTGGATCATATGTCAGTCCCATCATCTTATACCGTTTAAAGAAGTTAAAGAGGTGGGGGCTACTTACTTCCAGAAGATGGGATTGAAGGCAATGGACAACGCAGACCCTGGAATAGCGGAGTTAGGATCACATGCGGGGAAAGGTCTCCCGAAAGATGGAGAAAGACCTACACTGGAGGGTCTGTTGGGACAAGTCGACAAAATCCGTGAGGCTAGCCATGGCGAGAGACGAGAAACGGAGCACCGGAGAAGTGGTGGAGAGCAACGAGAGAGGTGGAGGAGGAAGAGAGGAGAAAAGAATGAGCGGGGGAAGTTGGAAGAAGAAAGTTGAGGAAAACAAACCCGAAGCGGCATGACGTCTTCACTATTGTGATTATGTCAGGCGTCTGCATAACCCGGTATAACCCGCCCTGCTAGTGCTCACCGCCTTTCAACATCATTATCAGTACAGTACAGTGGATGATGGAGTTGATCCCAGTCTCTCCCCACTTCCCCCATCGCCTGACATATATATCATCTGCTGAAAATCATGTCCTCTCGCTCTAGGATTGCCAGGCGTCCTTTTCTCGCTGTTTGATCGTCATGGGACAGTTCCTACCGACCATACCTGTCTTCCGGGGAGAATGGCCCTGAAGCGTCGCGATCTCGTCCTACTCGGCACGGGTGCATTCATTGCTTGGGGGTTGGCTGTGAGCTGGCTTCCGGTCTTACGATACTTGGGCTATGCAGTGCTTCTCGGGGCTTTTCTTTCGTTCTCCGCTCTTATCGGTCTCATCCTCTTTACCACACGAACTCCCAAGTCGCTAAGATCGCCTTCGAAACTCCCCGCCGTCGCGTTCTTATCTCCTCACCACTGGCAGAATGAAGTCCAGACATCCAAAACACGCGCAATCTACCAACCGTCTTCACTTTATCCACAATCGTTCGTTGTTTCAGAGGGCATCGACGAGCTGCTAAGTTTGATCACTCGGGACTTCGTCGCTTCCTGGTACCAACGAATCAGTCCAAGCCCGGTATTCGTCAATGAGGTCGACCGAGTGGTTCGATCAGCAGTGGGAAACCTTCGTGACAGGCTGCTATCCGAGGATCTAGTTTCGCTTCTCGTCTCGCGCATATTTCCTATCCTAACCGCCCACATCAAGGAATTTGATGTCGCCGAACGCTCAGTACGGGGTCGACATCTGACTCGCAATGTTACCGAATCGGAGGAGCTGGACCTCGCTATTGCGAAGAAGTACCGTGATGGCCAACTGCACCCTGCTGCAGCCCTATCGTTTTCTGATCAAAAGCTGGTGGAGCAGGAATACCTGCGGAAGATCGCGGTTGCGTTGTTACCGCAATTATTCCCTGAGAATGTCCTGAATAGCCGCATTGTGTCGGTTTTGGTGAAGGAGATAGTTGCATGCGCCGTGCTCTTTCCACTCTTGTCGGCCTTGTCGGACCCTGATACCTGGAATCAGTTGATGGAAGCCTATGGCCGTTCGGCGATTCAAGATCGCAAGACGGTTCGAAAACTCCGGGCTGCTTTGGACGAGCATGCCTCTCCGGTCCCAAAATCGAAGCACGCCCAGGCCTTTCCACGACTAGGGCCCCATGATTCGGAACGGGCTTTTGAACGCTTTGTGAGGGCTATCCGTCGCTGTAACAACCTGTCCGATGCCAGACGCTTCAGAGCGCTAGTTGCAAGCCAACTGAAGCGGGAAACGATGGTGGAAGGGCAGGACCCTGTCTACCTTCGCCGGCTTGAAACAGGAAAGAGAGTCTTGGATCAGAAGGTAGCCAAACTTTCAACTCCTGGGAACTACCAGACATCCCTCACTACGGCGGCCACTACCTACTTCCGTCCTACCAAGCCACCCCACACGCACGAAGCGTCGCTGGTAGACGTGATGCATGATGCTTCCGGCCTTTCCTATTTCATGGAGTTCATGGACCGACAACAGCTCATGTCCCTTGTGCAATTTTGGATCGTAGTGGACGGGTTTCGTAACCCACTCGAGGATGATTTCGGCGATGAGACGTCTCCAAGCTCTACAGCCTGGACGACAACGGACCGGAATGACATAGCCTTGATTAGCGAGACATACCTTGCAAAACCCGAGTTGAAAGTGACGGATGAGTCTCGTCGGGCCGTGAAAGCATTCTTGGCCGCTGGGAAACGTGCGACTCCAGAACAGTACCGTAAGGCTAGGACAGTGATCTTGACCACTCAATCGGCAGTCCTGGAGGAACTCCAGAGTACTTACTATCCGAAATTCAAGAAATCTGACTTGTACTACAAGTACCTTGCATCGGACGAAGCATCAAACTCTGGGTCTCGTTCGACCCCAGGTCCTCAACCAAGCTCGCCTCTCACCGACGCGCCGGAGAGAAAGCCTCTCCCTCCTCTGCTGAGCCGCACCACGTCAAATTCAGGAACCAGGCCAAAAGATTTACGGAGGGCCGCCGTCTCCTCGAGTGACGTACGGGCCATGGGTAAGCTATTTGACGACGATGAATCGCCACGACGCTCCCTCGACTCGCAACGGTCAGCACCATTATTCGACGATGACTATGATACTGATCCACTCGCCATGTCGACGCAAAGCCTTGGTAAAGACTCACAAAATGGCGACAGTGAAACGAACCAGACCCAAGTCATCGAAACCATGGAAGCTGCATTGAATGATATCATCACCAATGAACCGAAAAACGGTAAAATTGAGGATCTCAAAAACATCGATAGTCCCACTTCTCGACTGTCGAGTAATGAGAGGTCCCCGCGCAGCTCGGTAGAGTCAACGCGACCAGAGCATCGCTCAGAGGAAAGAGGCAAACCAAGCATTGCTTCACTTGGTCTCATAGATCAGTCTTCTCGCCTTGGCGTGTTTTCTGACGACCTGTTTCCCGACCAGCAGAGATTCATAGAAGACGAATACGAGGAGCCTATAGGAGCAGAAAAGGACCCGGCAGATGAAGTTCATGAAGCTGCTCCTGGAGACCTTGGTCTGACGGAAGCAATCGAGGCCCTGACGGCAGATATTGACAAGCTTGCATCTCAGGAGTCTGTAGTAGACACGCTGACGCGGAAGGCTGAACTCACGAACAATACAGCAGAGCTCAGAATTTTGCGAAAGTCCAAAGCCAGCATCCAACGTGAGATCCACCGCAAGGAGATGCAGCGACAGCAGTATATCATCCAGGAAAGCGACAATAGCCTGTACGGCCGATCGACCGTCCGAATCAAATCCATTGTAGTGGGAAAAGAGGAGGATGGTCGAGAGTTTGCTATGTGTATGTGACTCCCATCAACTCTCTCGACTTGACTGACTTGACTTCCAGATGTGATTGAGGTGCAAAGGAACGCTGGAGAACAGATGCCTGCAGCATCCTGGGCTGTCGCTCGTCGATATAGCGAGTTCCATGAGCTCCATCATAAGCTACGTTTGAGATACCCATCTGTGCGTCATCTGGAATTCCCACGGCGACGCATGGTCATGAAGCTCCAGAAAGAGTTCCTGCAGAAGCGACGCCTCGCGCTAGAAGCATATCTGCAGAAGCTGTTACTTCTTCCTGAGGTATGCCGGAGCCGTGATTTGCGAGCCTTTCTCTCCCAGCGTGCTATTATTCCTCGCGATGAAAGCACCGGCGATGGAGAGACCAAGGACCTTGTGACTCGGATATACAATTCGGTCGCTGATGGAATGGACGATTTCCTTGGAAACTTTGGCGTTCTGGACCAGCTCTCGACTGCTGGCCAGAGCCTGATCTCGGCAGCCACTAGTCAACAGGCCAGCAGCGCGCCTGACTCAGGATTAGCTACCGAAGACGCAGTAACTGCTGCAGAGGCAGAAGCCGAATTGAATGCATTTGAGGATCGTGAGCTAGAACCATTCATCAAGCCAATCTGTGACTTGTTCCTCGAAGTTTTCGAGCTCAACAAAGGCAACAATTGGCTACGAGGCCGCGCTGTTGTTGTTGTCCTCCACCAGCTGCTCGGCGGTACAATCGAGCGCAAGGTCCGCGAGGGAGCGCGGTCACTAGTCCAGGATGAATCTCTCCTCCGGTATCTCAGTCTGGCGAAGGACACCCTCTGGCCGGGCGGTGTTTTCCGCGAAAATAAAATCCGCACTGCGTCAGAGCGGCTGAAGAGTCGCGCCGAGGCCAGCCTTGTCCTAGCTACGCTTGTTCCCGACCTTGCAGGCAATGTTGTGGGACGTGCCAATGCGCAGGGAGCAGCTCGGCGGATATTTGCGACTCTGAACAATCAGCGCCTAAACACTCATTTGGTGTTTACGATTTTAGATGAGATTGTGCTGGTCTTGTTTGGTGGTGCGGAAGCAGGACGAGCAAGATGAGCATCCTAGCGCTTTGAGCTGTACAGCAAGCATGTTTGTTCAGTATCTTATTTCTGTGCCTGTGTTATTATGTGTTTCCTTGCGTGTTGTCGACATTAGCGGGTGTTACTTGTTTAGGGATGTTGTATGAACAGAACCTTACTGAAGAATACATTAATATCGACTCCTTGCCTTGATGATCCTGTGGACTATTAGTTCTATATTGGATGAAGGTTTGTGGGTGTTACTTTCAGTGATACATTGCTAAAATAGTATTAATGACTCTGCAAAGGTTAGTGGTTAATATTTACTCTTCAGCATCGAAAACACCGAAGCCGCTATTTTAGATCCTGTCCTTCCAAATTCCATTCAACCTTGCTAATGCCCCCGTTGCCCATCATCCACAGCGTCTTGAGCTCTGGTCCGGTCCAGGCAAAGTTCTGCACCGTATAGTTCGTCTGGATGGTCACGAGAAGCTGCCCATACTGATCAAGCACATCAACACTCGGTCCCGTAGCCGCCACGACGTATCCGTTAGCCGCGACTTTCAGTCCATCCGGGATGAAGCCAGCCGGTCTGTAGAAGGGACGCTTGTTGATAGCTCTGGTGCCGTCCTCGGACACGTCATAGGCGTAGACGCCACTACATGCAAGAAAACAATTAGTTTTCCATGTCGTTCTTTCGTTTGCTTATGCAGGGTCCCGCATTCGGTTGGGTGCATACCTTGTCGTTGTAGCATTGAAGGAACTACCCGGCTGGCCTTCGGCCGGGTTGATCGGCGCGCTGACGGCGCCGGTGTCGCTGATGTACACGATTGTGCCCTCGGGGTTGAACGCGATGCCATTGGGCTGGCCCAGGGTATCGTCCACCACGAACACGGCGCCGGAGGTCTGGTTGTACCGGTAGCTTGCGCAGGGGAGTTGGGGCGGCGTGTCAGTGAGCGCGTTGAACCACGAATACTCTATTGATCATCAGTGTTGGATTTCTCGCGTGGGACGGGCGCCGTCCGTGGACCGGGGGGAGAGCACTCACGAGGATCGGTGAACCAGATATCGCCAGTTTTGGGGTGAACAGCGAGATCGTCGATGGTGTTGAAGTAGTAGCCAAAATAGTTGTTGACGAGGCTGGTCGACTTGTTGGTCTCCGGGTCCAGGGTCCTCAGCCCGACGCGCTGTTCGCCGCCGCCAATTGAACGGTTCCCGCCAGAGGCACCCCAGATGATCTTGCCGTTGTAGAAGGTGCCGCCGTTGGGAGCGTAGACTGGCGGGTCAGAGAGGTACTCTGAGAGAGTGGGAGGATCCTGGTTCAGATCCACGACGAGCTGCGGCAGGTAGCCTGGGGGAGGGGCGAGCTGCGAGAGCCAAAGCTTGTTCTGGGATTTGACGTATACGGGGGCTTCGTGGACGGCGTCCGAGACATGAAACATGTACTCATAGCTTGGGTTGGGGCCGAGAATTTCAAGGCCACGCTCTTTGTCGTAGACGACGAAGTCTGCTGATTTGACGTCTTTCAGGGTAGTACCGTTCGCGATGGTATCCCCAAAGGTGGATATGTCATCCATGGTCGAGACATTCCGAAAGAAGTGATAGCTGATAGGGTCAGAGGATGTTGAGCTTCCTGAAGGCTTCTGAGTGGCAGCCGACTTACGGCAGAACATTCGCATAGTGATTGATGCACACCACTGACGGGCCACACGCCTCAGAGATGGGCGTAGTGACGCCAGTTTGCGTGCGAGCGATCCCAGCAAAGAGGGAAAAGCTTATCAAGGAGCTCAAATACATTGTAGACGGTACTAGCCCGGGATGGAAGGCTTCTTAGTTTGGAGTGCTTTCTAGGTATTGCTCCGAAGAGCCAAGATATATAACTGGTGGCCTTCTCGTAACCGAGGGTAGAAGAGCCTTGTGTTTGGTCTCAACAACTTATAAACACGGAGGCTCGGTGGCTGTCCGTTGAGGGGGTTTGGGTCTCAGTCAAGGGATGCCGTGATGGACCACAGCTAAATTCCTTCGCGTGGGGGTCATGCATGATTTGTGGAGTAGCGATCTTCGCCCATGCGCGAAGAGCCAGACAATAATTGCGTCGATCCCCAGACCGAGAGAGAGGGAGGAAATACTCCGGAAGCTTCGGTTTCGATGCGGGGATGCACCCTGTTCTCGGAGTAACTCCGGGAAGAGAATCCGCGTGGGATGGAGGCAAGACAACTCGTATTTTTCTCAATTGGAGTGTTGATCAGTGACGTATGCTCAACGAGCTGATATCTTCGATGCTGCCAGTGCCGTCTCCGGAGCGCGGAGTCTCTTTGGCATCGGGGCGGATGTCGGCGGTGTCTTCCCGTTCCCCTAACGCACGCTGGATGAGCTTGGCCTTGACGATGGCCCCCTTCAGGCGCTCATCCACATCATTGACGGCGTCCTCGGTGTTCTGCATGGGCAGAGACGCCGGGTCCACCAATTCCAAGAGGGTGTCGATATTTTTCGCCAGCCTGGTGCTTGGTGGGAAGCTCACCATCTCCTTACAAACGACCGGTGCCATCGAAACGCCCTGATCGGGTTCTGTAGACGAATGCGACACACCAGAGGCCCCCTTCTGATTTCGATCCGCGCTAAACGAATTCGAGGGGTCTGCATCCGCCAGTCTTTGAGCCCAAACGAGGGCTTTGCCGTAGAGTCTTCCCAATTCGAGGAATTTTTCGAACCCCTTCTCCACAGCGAAGACGCTGCCTTCCGTGTAACCAGCTTGTGCGCCATCGGCAGCACCGAGATTAAAACCCTCTTGGTAAAACTCTTCCTCAAGATCGAGGAGGCTTTCAAGTAGATTGTTCTCCATGTCCAAACGTGCCAGTGGGGAATTCTTCATCAGAAAATGAACGATTGAAAAGGATAACGGAAGGAGACCTGGGTTTCGTTCTTCAAGGACCAGAGAGAAAGCTTTGTCGCGGATCCTGGAAATGCTGCAGAAGCCAAGAGGAGGAATTGGCGGGATGGTTCGAGTCGGAGAGGAACAGAATTTCCTCTTTCGGACGACATCGTTGTGTGAGGATCCCGGTCACGTGACCAAACGTATCTACTTAGATCCGCTATCCCAACGGAGATATTTCTTTTTCTGTAAGCTGTGCATGTCATTCAGTATTATTGGGCGCATAACGCAGACATACTGCAGACAATGAATAGGCTATGCTGTTGCTTTTCCCTGAGACACGAGGAGAACTCTTGTAGGTACAGGGGGTTCAACTAAAGTCTGCAGTAGAATATGAATATTGTAGGGCTACTCCAGCTGACGCTCAGAGAGAGCCCTCGGCAATGCCTGCCTGAGTTATGTGGGTTGTAGTAGAGCCCACATATACACACTAATCACTAGCAGCGGCTGTCGAGACAAGGGTTTGGGGCAACTTGTGCACACCACCTGGTGTTCCTGTCCGGTGGTTAGTGTTTTGGGCCTCTTAAATTTGACACATGCACCCAACATAAAAGGCTTTACTCCTTGTCTATCTCCCTCTGAGAATATAAGAGACGGATTCCAACTGGAGAGGCAGGTCGCCGTGCCGAAGGGTTTCTCCATACTAGCACAGGAGTGACTGTGCCGCAGTGCATTAGCACCTCACTGGTGTCCAGCATGAACCCTAGCATTGGCCAGGATGCTGGTTAATGATCCAATCCAATTCGCTACAGTTCGAGGCCAGTTACCCCTAAATGCAAACTGTTGAATGTGAGGCTGACAGTTAGCTTCCCCTCAGGTTTCCCGCTTTCTTCCTTCCCCTGTGTTGTTTTATTTCTTCAGCAGATTCTACACTTTCGGTCGGCTGTTGACACACAACCTCCCTTGTGCTTGCCAATAGACTCAATCATTCTCCTACATACGCGCATGCCGCAACCGTCCAATCACCCTGTAGCTGAACATGCGTTGTCTTGCGATGACCAAAGAAGACAATCGCTGTAGACGCAACACAGGACCTGGCAGCCGTCTCTGTTGGCAACACGGAAAATCCGACGTTATAATCCTGGCCGATGAAGATGCATCGACCAACGATTCGCCTACTGGGGTCAACCACACATCAAATGTCGGGGACCTGATCTCTGGAATTGAAAGGCTGGGTCTGGAAAACGACTCGCTACAAGTGATGACGACTCCGACGACTCCCAAGGGGAATAGCCGTCCCATCAACGAGGGAACACCCAATATGTCTCTCATTTGGGATGACGGAGTTTCAAAGCTTGAACTCCATATTGGGCAGCGCAGTGCGCGTCTGGAGCCCGCTTCAGGAGAAACGGGCTGGTCAAAATCGACTGTGGAGACAACACCATCACCACCACCACCACCACCACCTCGTTCTCGGAAACCGAGAGTATCTGCAGTGAGCATTCCAGAAGACCCTCATAAGGTATTCTGCGAGACTCCGAGGAAAGAGATACCCCCAGGGATCGATGGATCTCTGCATTGGCCCCTGACCCAAATAATGGTGCGGCCGGCAGATACAAAACGCGGAATCATTTACGTATGTAAGGTTAGATTCGAGAAACAGCAAAGTCTGGAGAAGGGAATAATCAAAATTGGGCGTACATCCGACATCAAAGAGCGCTCGACCACTCACTCAAGAGGCTGCTATCCCGGCGCTCGGCTTCAGTTGATCGCATCCTATCCACAACCAAAGTCGAAGCGAGACTCTCATCATCAAATCCGGAATTGTGACCAGGTGGAGAAATTGATTCACAAGACACTAGAACGGTTTAAATATGACGAGTTGTGCGGCTGTGGAAAAAGACACAAGGAGTATTTCGAAATACGCTCAGGCGAACTCGGCGACGTTCTAAGGCACGTTGAGAGTTGGGTTTCCTGGAGCGAAGAGAAACTCGGTCTCGTTTAGGTCCCTGACAAGGATCGGACTTCACATCGCATCCTCAAGTCATATCTCCTTGTCTTTGCTTTGACTGTAATTTAGCTCCTCGCCCAGTGGCTTGTGCTCTTCCTCGTTTCGTTGCACTATAAATTCCAAGCGCTGCTGAGAGTCTTGGAGCGACACTTGAGGCGCTGTAAAGCGGGTTGCCTGCGACGGCCGCAACTGATCCTCATTTAAAAAAAATAGTAAGAAGAACAGGGAAAGTAGCTACTCTTCACTACTCTCTCGGGGCCTTCAACGCTATTATCTTAGTAGAATTGATAGGGTGCACGCATAGTAGGAACGAGCAAGTCACTTCAGGTCTAGGGCTGAGCACGAATAGGCAGAGGGTGTTGAAGAGGCACCTGTAGTTGGTGGATTAATAGTTACCTAGTACATTGATTGATGACATCGTATTTCTCAAGTGCATCCCCCATCGTCACAACAAAAAAAAAAAAAAAAAAAAAAAAGAAGAAAAAAGAAAAACATACAACAGCAGGGATTCGCTGGTGGTCACCCACCCAACTACTAACCTGCCGGCGTGTGGCTTAAGTACGGCTGAGCGGACGGGAAGCCCTGTTTTCCACACCCTATGGTCGTATGTACTTAAGGGTTCTATGATAGGAACTATATAGAACATAACTATTGTGTACCTCTTGCATGCACCACGTCAAGGTGCGAGGAAGCGATTGAGGTCCTTCAGAAGGATTGGCACTAGTGCCCCGAGTCTCTCCAGATCTGCATAGCAATGATCTGTTTGAATGATTCTGATTTACGTCTCACAGTTACGTCCAAGGTGCCTTTGAAGCTCTTGATCTACGGTATATAGCGCCAACACTCTACTACCAGCTGGCTGATCATGGACCCAAGGTGCTGAGGATTTGGGGGCTAGCCATACAGAGTAGCTCCAAAAAGAAGAGGTTGATTACGACGTTCCTATGGCGAATCTTGAACATTCTTAAATACAAGGGTGGTCCTCCACTTTTGGCCATGACCAACTAGGCTCAGGCAATACGGAACGCCCTGGTTTGATAAGTATCCTGGGAGCCATTTCTGAAGCACGTCGTGGGTATGTGATGGTTCACCCATCATACTGTTGTGTTAAAGGTATTCAACAACTGTTTCGTCTCTCCCCGCCAATTCCCGGCCTCCATAGCCACTACCCTCGCCGTCTTGCCATCTCCCGTCCTCAACCCGCGGACGAAACCCGGGTGTTCCATCACTGCTTGTAACAATCCAGCATCACCCAGTTTTGCCGCATAGTGAACGGCGGCCCATGCGTCTTGGCCCACCATGTCTCCAACGTCTTGGCAGCGTCAGGAGCACCATCGCACAGCCGACATTAGTATGCCGTAGTGCTTCGATCAGTGCTGTATTGCCCGCAAGGTTCTTATGCCGGATGATATCCTTTGCGTTGCTTGATAGCTGTTGCAAAGTCTTCAGTGAGTCCACCTCCCCCTGCATACAAGCATGATGAAAGAGACTATTACCAGCGGTATCACACTAGTCCAGTCTTGCGCCATGTTTGATGAGGATTTTAAAACACTCCGGATCGTCCAAAAAGTCAAAGATAGGTGGCCTTCCATCCTCATCCTGCGCGTCAATTTCAAGCTCGGTCCCATTCTGATTGCAAAGCAGTGCGGCGGTCTCTCTCCTTCGCTCTGCCCTGCCAGACAGCCCTGCATAGTGCAGGGCAACCTGTTGGTTCTCTTGTCGAACATTCCTATCAGCCCCGGCGTCCAGGAGTAGTTTCACGCAGCCAACCCGACAGCCCTGCGCGGCTATGATAAGCGGTGTTTCACCCCAGATATTGGCCTGGTTGAGATTGAGCTGCTCTGGATGGTGTTTAGAGATTTCCAGTGCATAGCGTAAACTCTCGCATGCATTTGACTCAACGGCCGCATGGATGATATTGAAACTCAGATTTGACTGGATAAACGGATCAGCACCGTTTTGAACAAGAATCTTCATTTTCTGGGCCTGCCCAGTCACGCTGGCCGAGTGAAGCGGTGTCCAATGGAACTTGCGGTCCTTTTGATCGATGAGATTATGAATCGCTCTGCTCGTGTTGCCGGTTTCGGCTGCGGAGGCCCGGTATTGCTCGATTATTGACACGTATAACGGGGATCGGTGGTGATATTTCGTTTTCCAGGCCGCCCAGTTTGTGTCGGGGGGTGCGTCGTTCGCGTTGTCAACGAAGTCTATTAGTCGTTGGAGAGTAGGCCGTTCCGGGTCGGAGTGTTCATACAGACCAAAGACGGCGATGTGAATGGGGGTAAATTCGTAGTCGTCGATGTAATCATCTTCTTTGGAAAAGACATCGACAAGGTCTTTCTCGGCTTGCGTGGCGTCTGGCCCAATAGATTTGAGGAATGCTAGATCAACGGGTTTTCTAATGACATTAGCTTGGAGCGATTTGTATAGTGGCTCGATGAACTACTGGTAATGGAATATAATAGATACCTTGTCCCCAAATCAGACGCACCAGTGTCTCCTCCCAGTTCAACTAGATATTGGACGGTCTCTAGCTGTCGTGCGTATGCTGCAGTCTACACAACAAGGCATGGTTAGCGTTGGGTACCACCGCAGAGAACGCCATGGACATACGTGTAGAAGCGACCATCCGTCGCTCGCCGTATCCCAAGGCGTCGCCTCACCTGATTGAATAGCCGCCTTCAACTTGGACAAATTCCCGTGCTTGACGTACCGCATCGCGTTGGACCCCACGGGGACCATGCGATAGGTATTCAAGCGATACCGAATCTTGATACTGTTTGACGTCATCAGATGCAACATGGCCCTCTTAAAGGACGAAATGGGGATGGGCTTCTGCATAGCCGCTCCTGCACAGGTAGGATCGGAACACTCGCTCTTCAGCTGGCTACTGTGGTGAAATATCCGGGCGTTGAGCCGTGAGAATCCGCTCTTTGACTCCGCGACATCATGTTGATGGCATTTGCAGTAGCAATCATGCCTACATGCTCGACGAATAACGAGTAACCCAGATCTTGCACTAACAGCAGACCGTAGGTCGCTCGCTTGAGAGTCACTGCTGCACCTTTGGTGGTCATGGGAAAGTGTTGTGGAAGTAACGCTGGAGGCTGAGGATGCCACGGAAGCTTCTCGAGAGGACGCCGAGTCGACCGCTAACTTTGCACCACTGAAAGAAAGCGCCTCGTTGGAGCACGAGCTCCGGGACTGCGTCTTGCAGAGTGCGGGCGATAGTGTCGCATCGTCTGGTGGTACAACCCCAGTCCCGATTTTGTCGACAACTGCCGCGCAGGCCTCGAGCAGCCGTAGATTTTGGTTACACGTGGTAAGAAAAGTTTCTCTATTTCAAGAATTGCAGGTCAGTATTCCCCGCATAAAAGAGATTCGAAGGGAAAGAAGGGTAGGGTTTCACCCACGCGTGCACCAGAGATATAAACGCATGCAGCTGCGAGGACTGGGTTTGGATTCGAGCACCGAGCGCTGCAAACCGCGACTTGTGTTAAAGAAAGCGAACTCGCCGGAGTGTGGGGGGTTCGGACTTATAGACCTGGGTGAGGCGCTTCTCTACTTCTGCCAGTGTAGCATTTCCGTCGTTGATCGCCTTTCGAAGAACATCGCCGGAGACATGGTGCTTAGTTTGACGGCTGCGGAAGACACGTTCAAATCCCCTCAGAGCTTCGTCAAACTGGCCGAGATCTATGGCAAGGTTGGCGAGGTCTTGCTCTGCCTCTTTGGAACTTCCGAGCAGGTCCAAGGCCCCCTTGCTGGCCTGGATGAGGGTCGATATCGAAGCTAGGAGCCCGATGGCGGAGATTGGGTCCATCTTCCGAGGTATAATCGAGATCGTATACTTGCCTAGTATACTAGACGGAGATAACTGGGTGATGGGGGACGGTCTGTGGATAAGGGTTGTCAACCAAAATGACCATTCCGCTACCAAAATTGGGTAACCCGCTTAGATATATGGCTATTCATGTAGTTTGACATCTCCCTCCCAGGGGTGCTGGAACGCAGTGGAAGTGTTCTGGCTTGCCTACACTCCGTTGGTTGTCTTAGGGACTGAAACAGTGGCTGTGTCTATTGCGTTTGCTGCTGTATAGACGGTCTAGAGGATAGAGCTCTAGGGACTGCTTTGTATACTAAGGAGGCCGCTACCCTGAAAGGCTTACAAGGTATATTTGCAGGTTCGAACTAAGGGGATAGGGAATAAACGGCCTTTCTACTTACTCCGAGTGGTATGTAAAGTGTAAATATGTATGGCTATTCTCGTAGTTTGACAGGGTTACACGGGCGTGCACGTCTGTCGGGCAGGTGGATAACAGCGTTTACTGAAAGAAGTGAGACGGGAATAGCTTCACCTGGTCCGCTGGGGCTGTATGTTTACCCGAGAGGGACGGAAGGGGGAGTTCTTTGTGCTGGTTGTCGGGCCCAGAAACCATCTACCTACCTAGTACTAGGTAGGTAACGTGTGTAATCCGGAACAATGGGCTGAACACGACATTCAGCACCTAGTTATATATGTGGCAGCAGCCTGGTCCAAGTTTTCTGTTATCACCTCATTCAACGGGCGGCAACACGCATTGACTGTAATACGCCAACATGAGCTCAATGGACGACTCACCCCCTACCGGACGCACGATCCCCATCGCTCCACCTCGCCCATCCTACCGATGGCGGGAAAATGGCAATATGGAGCCTGATCTCGGACGCCTGGAAAGGCGCCCTCTCCGTGGATATTTATGTCAAAGAGGCTGGGGACCTGATGACCGTGCCACTCGCCACGAATGGAGGGATGAGCCATTGGGTTTCGGTGGACAAGAATCTCCCTCCAGACCAGCGACCTCTCCTAGCATCTTGCGAAACGTTCCGAAAGCGCTCGTGGATTAGTGACCCGGAGGGCAACGTGGCCGAGGCGATCACACATAGCGTCGCGTATTCACCGATGTAGATTCCGCGGTCAAGGGTATGCCTCACGACTCATGAAGCAGCTTTGCGAGCTCGATGAGGTTCTGGCTCGAAAGGCACTGTGCGCTCCATCCAGGAAAGCCCGGCTGATGATCGTCCCTGATTACGAACACATGCCTTGGCACCATAGCAAGGAAGAGTTCGCGAGTGAAACACTGTTTCAACGAAAGCCTCATGTCAAAACGCGCCATCTTCGGACCGGATGGACATCGGGTTTGGGCTGTCTGGACGCACCGTTTTTACGAACCCCCGAGTGAAACAGCTTCCATGAACACGTTGCACATCTCGCGACTGGTCATTGAGAACGAGGTTCTCTGGGAGTCGGACTTGCAGGTGGAGGCCCTGCGAGCGGTTCTTTGGGCTGCACAAGCTGAGGCCGCTCAATGGGGACTACATTCCGTGAAATTCTGGGGGCCGTCTACCGCGGTGCAGGAGATGGTGAAGCGGACGGGAATTGAGTACCGACACCAAGACCGCGAGGAGGACGAAATCTGCAGTCTCCGATGGTATGGAGGAGGGAGTGGCCTGGAGGACGAGGTGGAGTGGGCTGGGAATGAGAAGTATGGCTGGTGCTAAGGAGCTGTTGCGGTATCGATAGAAGACGCATTTGCATGTTTTTACCCCAGGATCTACAGTTTGAATGAGCTGCGTGTGCGGCCTGAACAGATAGCACCTCTCCTCGTAGAGAACTGATGCATCGCCGTCTCCAAACCCCCTCCAGAGTCATCGAGATCGATTGTTCACCCCGGAAGCCCAGTTTCTCATAGAACGGCCATGCGTTTTTGGTGCTCTCTAGGACGACCTGGACATTTTCATGTCTGCCATGTTCGAGACCCCAATTCACCAGAAGAGATGCTGCTCCAAGGCGTTCGTAATTTGGATCCGTTGCAATATCTCAGGGGAAGGGAGTGTCGTTGAAGGCGTATATATATACACCGCCAAGGTATGGCACATGAGGTCAACACAGCGCTTTTACTAACAACAGACTCCTCCAGACAACAGTATCCGCCGCTGCCACGGCACTCCACCGAAATAGCCAGATATTCCCCAATCCAGAGATACTCGCACCGGAGCGCTGGCTCGATGCCACTCCCGAGAGGCGGCGCTCTCTAGAATATTCCTACTCTGAAGAAACCTAGCACATACGACCATAGGGTGTGGAAAACAGGGCTTCCCGTCCGCTCAGCCGTACTTAAGCCACACGCCGGCAGGTTAGTAGTTGGGTGGGTGACCACCAGCGAATCCCTGCTGTTGTATGTTTTTATATTGTTTCTTTCTTTTTTGTCACTTTGTGAGTGAGGGCCTCTGTCTGACTGCATAGGAGTAGGAAGCGGCATGGACAATGCCTTAAGCCCACCTGCAATCTCTTCGGGCATGGTTAATCGAGTCTAATCTCGAGATGGTACTTTGCCTTGAAGGTACCTTTCATGTGTCCATTTAGGCATGAGGCTGTGGTGAATTGTGAATTTAGCATGGCCAGTTGGTTGAACTGCGTCTAATGGTTTAAGACTCAAGGCATAGCTCCTACAAAAGCAGGAGCACAGTGGAAGCTCCCAGTACTCCAGATACCAGGATAGAGCTAAATGTCATAAATGTAGCCAGTGTGCATATGAGCTATCATCTGTACATTTGCTTATGCTTATTGGGAGAGTTGTATACATAGATTAATCATCCGATATCGCAGTCCGCCGATATGAGTCATACACAATTCTTGAGATGGAACAAAGGACCAACTCTCCAGCCTCATTTCAATATCTGATCTGTATTAAATAGGATATAACCCAGCAACATAAGAAAGTAAGGCAATATAGATTCTTTCAAAGAGCTGGTTGTACTATAAAAACGGTGGATCCATCACGCTGAATCATCCGCCGCCTTCCAAAAAACTTCCCCATCATTTTCTCTGCCCCTCCAGAAACCCCGCCATCACCTCCCACCATCATGGCTTCAGAACAGAAAATCCTGCCCAAGGAGGGCGAGCGCAACATCCTCGTCACAAGTGCCCTGCCTTACGTCAACAATGTCCCTCACTTGGGTAACATTGTCGGCTCCGTGCTGAGTGCCGATGTTTTCGCCAGGTACAGTCATCCCAGACCCGTCATCCACCCCATCTTTGCTTCTGGTCTAACCCAATGCCAGATTCCATAAGGCCTGCGGACATCGCACCCTCTACATCTGCGGAACGGACGAATACGGTACCGCGACGGAGACCAAGGCGCTGGAGGAGAAGGTATCGCCCGAGGAGCTGTGCGCCAAGTACAATAAGATCCATCAGGAAGTCTACGAGTGGTTCGAGATTGGATTCGATCACTTTGGACGCACCCCGACACCAAAACACACTGAGATCTCGCAGTCCCTCTTCAAACGGCTGTATGACAACGGCTACTTGGCCGAGAAGTCCGCCGAACAGCCCTTCTGCGAGACTCACGGTTCGTTCTTGGCCGATCGGTTTGTGGAGGGCGAGTGTCCCAAATGCCATTACGACGACGCCCGTGGTGACCAGTGCGACAAGTGCGGCCACCTCCTCGACCCGTTCGAACTCATCAAGCCCCGCTGCAAGCTTGACGGTGCCACCCCCGTCCCCCGCGAGACGAAACACATCCATCTCCTCCTCGACAAGCTGCAGCCCGATATCGAGAAGTGGGTCCACGCCTCCATCGAGAAGGGAGACTGGCCCAAGAACTCGCGCGTCATTACCGAGTCGTGGCTGAAGGAGGGTCTGAAGGACCGTGGCATTACGCGCGATCTGAAGTGGGGTGTGCCCGTGCCGCTCCCGGGATTCGAGAACAAGGTGCTCTACGTGTGGTTCGAGGCCTGCATCGGATACCCCTCCATCACCGCCAACTACACCGACGACTGGGAGCTCTGGTGGCGCAACCCCGAGAATGTCCAGCTGTACCAGTTCCTGGGCAAGGACAACGTGCCGTTCCACAGTGTCATCTTCCCCGGCTGCCAGCTGGGCTCAAACGACAAGTGGACCATGCTGCACCACCTCAGCACGACCGAGTACCTCAACTACGAGGGCGGCAAGTTCAGCAAGTCGCGCGGCATCGGCGTGTTCGGCAACAACGCAAAGCAGACGGGCGTCCCCGCCGACGTGTGGCGGTACTTCCTGCTGAAGAACCGGCCGGAGACGGGCGACACGCAGTTCGAGTGGCGCTCGTTCGTCGACAGCAACAACAGCGAGCTGCTCGCCAAGCTGGGCAACCTCGTCAACCGCATCATCAAGCTCATGGCCGCGCAGTACGACTCGACCATCCCCGAGTTCACCGTCCCCGAGAGCTTCCAGCCCAACCTCGATGAGATCACCGGCCTCCTCCGCCAGTACATCGAAGAGATGGAGGGCGTGCACCTCCGCGCCGGTGTCGCCACCGCGATGAAGCTCGCCGAGGCCGGCAACGGACTCATCCAGGCCAACCGGCTGGACAACGCGCTGATCGCCAACGAGCCGGAGCGCGCCGCCGCCGTCGTCGGCACCGTGCTCAACCTCATCTACCTCCTCGCCAGCGTCTTCTACCCCTACCTCCCCGCCACCTCCAAGTCCATCAACGAGCAGCTCAACGCGCCCTTCGCCCTCATCCCGTCCCTCGACGACATCAAGGACGGCTGGAAGCCCACCGCCCTGAAGCCGGGCCACAAGGTCGGCAAGGCCAAGTACCTGTTCTCGCGCATCGACGGCAAGAAGGCCGACGAGTGGCGCGAGCTGTTCGGCGGGTCGCAAGCCGAGCGCCAGAAGAAGGAAGAAGAGGCCGCGAAGAAGAAGGCCGCCAAGGAAAAGAAGAAGGAGAAGAAGGCCAAGAAGGCTCCCGCCCCCGTCGAGGCTACCGCCAAGGGCGGCGCCGACGCAAAGCCCGACGAGGCTGTCAACAACGTCGCCGACGGCGTGGCCCAGGTCACTCTGCCATCTTCCTGAGCCACCCGCGCGTCTTTATACAAAGAAGCCTTAAGACGAATATATCCCCGTGCCGTGTGATAGATTATTTCTTTTGTCGTGCCGTTTTTGGGTTGTTATGGTGTCGGAAGGTTCGCATGAGATATGATGACGATGATGTTGGCGAAACGATCATATGATTGACTTTTTGGTACCTACCTACGGAGTAGATGGTGCAGTTGACCAGTACTAACTTAGCTACACATGGTATCGAATACAATGAATGCATGGTACAAACTACCCAGTATAGTAGGATTGCCTATCTTTGGCTTGGTCCATTCTAATGTCGACCAACAGTCACATCGACTTGAATGAATACGGTAACTGAATTGATACGCTCACATGCATTCCCAGACATACATGAAAAGGACAGGCAATAAGTATAGTAGTGAACCCAAGCCAAGACCCGAGAAGGTCGGCAGGTTGTTGGATTTTCGTCATATTATAAACATCTGTTTCCAACATCCCGGACATCAATAAGCCTGTCCTGGCCCCATGGCCACACCAAACCCCGACTGCGCCGATGTAAACTCCTCTGTGACTGCTCTACCGCTTCCGGGTGCCCGGGCGAGGCTTCACCTCTTCTGGCGCGACGGGATGTAGCATGACCTTGTTGGGGAGCTGCGGCGTGTTGGCGGAGTAGCCCTTGCTCCAGTCGTAGCAGACCGAGTAGGCGAAGATGTTTCCGGTGCGGTTGAAGGCGGTGGCGGTGATGGGGCCGCCGACGTTGGGGTAGCCCTTGAGTCTGTGCTTGGCGTCCTTGTCCCAGAGGTGGAAACCGCCGTCAGAGCCGGCGGTGGAGAAGGTGCCGTGGACGGGGTGGAAGGAGATGGCGTTGACGGAGTAGATGTTGCTGACGTCGCGCTGGCCGGGGGGCGTTTCGCGGTGGCACTTGAAGGAGAAGTTGGAGCTGGAGTCCTTGTCCTCGACGTACTGGATGGCGCAGCGGCCCTCGATGCTGCCGACGGCGAAGCCGGTGGCGTCGGTGAAGCAGCTGACGACCCGCGTCTGCCACTTGAGCGGGGACTGCATGGTCTTGTAGAATTTCGTGGGGTTGTCGAGGTTGACGATGTTGATGTAGCGGTCCGCCGTGCCGATCACGAGCAGCTTGTTCTTGACGTCCATCGTGTACACGCGCTCCTGGCACTCGAGCGTCGCGATCGGCGTCGACTGCCGGAGATCCCAGTACTTGACCGTCTTGTCCCACGACCCCGTCACCAGCAGCGGGCTGTTCCCCGCCGGGTTCGGGATCATGTGGCAGCATCGGATGGGGGCGTCGTGGGCGGCAACCTGGACGGGCGTGGTAGCGTTGGCGGCGAGGTCGAGCATGCGGGCGGCTTTATCAGCGCCAGCTCCGACGACCTTTGTTCCATCCTGTGCGGCGGAGCGATGTTAGCACAACGGAGGGGAGAAGCTTCCTTCCAATGCGGGAGTACTCACTGGTGACCAGCAGCAGTTCAACACCGGGGCTTCATGCTCGAACAGAGCTTTCCCTTCGCTCTGGCCCTGTTCGTTGATCTCATAGATGCGGACTTTCTTGTCCCACGAGGCGACGGCGAGGTGTTCGCTGGCGGGGGAGAACCGCAGATCCGAGATGCTGTCTTCCGGGGGCGAATTCAGCGCGACATCTTTGGAAATATCACCGGTGGTGTTGGTTTGATTCGCTGTCGTCGCCGCTGCGCCGACAGAACCGAAGAGCGACATTAGAGAAGCTTTGCTTTTTCACCGGCCGCGGACGAGAGCTGGGTATTAAGACGCGAGGGGCGCGCAGTGGAAGACGGACGCGGGCGATGTCAATGGATGGTCTGGTGAGGATGAGGAGAGACAGCTAAGAAGAATTAATTGAAAAAGGTGGAAAGGAAAGGAACGGCGCGCGCTTCGACATCACAAATAATCAAGGAGGAAAGGTAAGGCTGTGGTCCGTCGCCGGCAGAATCTTTCCCAGCTCACCGCCTGCAAACTGTGCAAACACCTGCAGCTGCAGTCTCACAGTCTTTTTTCGCACTTTATCTTGCTCGGTTTAGACGATACGATAGTCATAGAATAAAGTGACAAAAAAGAGAAGGAAAAAAAAATAAAACCGAATGAATGAAATGCTCACACTCGGACTTGAACCGAGGACCTCGTGATTACTAGTCACGCGCTCTACCAACTGAGCTATGCGAGCCGATTAGATATGAAAACTGATCTTAAATTGATTCTAGAGGGACAATTAAAATCAAGCATCTCAATCACTGTACATGGTAGGCTTGCCAGTGTTTATCAGGTCTAGTCATGGCACTAGATATTGTCCAGTGTCTCATCTTCTGCAGGCCTACAATTTAACCAATTCAACAGTATATCCTGTTCCAGACCCAAATACCTAATATCTTAGGACACCCAGGTATGTATTGTTGTCGTTTGAGCATTAGATCCGAGGTACGATAGGTCATGTCTATTGTATCTAATCCAAGAGCACGCATGTTTTCAGAGCTATTGTCCAGATGGCTCATACGAAAAGTTGGATAGAATGTATAATTGTGGAGTATGTTCAACAGAATACATATACCGAGCCAAAGATCTAGACCAAAGCCAACGTAATGTACATGGCGTAAACCGAGATGAATCAACGACTCCAATCATCCAGGGGTTTTCTAGGGACATGACTCTTTGCTAGAGAGAATCCAGTATGATGTCCATCCAGATCCCTGGGAAAATATCCAAAGGCTCGAAAAATAGAAGGCCCCTTATTTCTGCAGACGGCTAATAATCCTCGAATGGCATAGAGGTCTTGAATGACCTTCGACACAGGCAACAGTTGTTGCGGGGCTTGGAAGTATGTCCGCCGGGGGTCATTCTAGACCATACCTATACCTGCAGAGTACCTTATCCCAAAAATCAGGTAAGGAGGCTGGGCCTAGACAGCGCCCCATCTCCCTGAATTACAGCTGCGAGATGATACCATGTGACAAGAATCTGCGATCGGTACCCTAATGCTATTCTGGCATAGGCAGTCTTATTCGGAGAGCTGTCTGCAGGGAGATACATACGTTCCCTCACCAGAAGGAATACGAACGAGGGTGCCTATTTTGTTGCTCCAAAGTTCTCAAGCCACTATGACGTGTCTGGACGCATAACGTGTGAGTGCATTGGATAGACAGTTATTTACAGGGTTTGTTTTTGCTGGTGAGGAGACGAGGATTCTAAAGGGCTGCAGGCCATAAAATCACAGGAAGCATGCCATGTTGGGACTGGGAAGGGATGGTATGGGTGGTGGCTTGTATAGAGTTGGCTGGGGCATTGAGGAGTTGCTCGTCGTAAACTTCTCTGGGTTCGGCAACTGGATCCAGGGTTGTGACACAAGTAGAGGATAGATGATTGACCAAGATTTCTTCATTACGGATTTTCTTTGCTAGCGTCCACCGATTTGCTCTTGTATAACTACAGAAATGGGAGATCTCATTGCATTATTCCTCTAGATAGATGTCTATCCAGATTGTAGATAAGGTCACTAGGCTTGGCGATGGGCCTTCGAGTGATTCATCGATGAACCCTGGTAGTGACAACCAATCGGGGAGGAAAGTCAATGGGCACGTGAGGTCATGTTGCAACTGGCTCCTTTCTGCGATCGACGGTGGTTAGTCTCCTCCGTACCGTCTCCCAGCTTAACCGACGTAATGGAGATGCCTCTGAAAAGCGCGACTCCACCGAAATGGGACAATCCGATTGAGCGGAATGGGAGGTAGCATCAGAAGAAGAGAATGAGAGAGAGAGAGAAAGGGTTTAAAGTACCGGACTAAGTGGCCCGAAGTGGAGCTGACGGAAATGCGGGGTGCAGGCCTAGTGGACCATCCGTCCGAGCTGTCGACGACGTCAGGCTACTCGTGTGATCCGGTCCTCCCGGCATCTTTGGGGGACATGGGGTGATCCAAGGCAAGGGGCCATTTTAACGGAATGTCAAGCTGCATCTTGCGAGGGTGGGTTGATCGACATGGGGGTGGGAAGTGAAACGATCGACTGACTGATGGGGCGCCGACGTGGACTGATGTTCCAGTGTTCTGATGCGGAGATCCCATACATGCATACATCATAGGCAATCATCCATGCTAGTCTTTGTCTCTCTCTCCATACGGGGAAGACAAAGCTGAATGAACCTCAGTTTACTCGCCTAGAGATTACCCTAGAGTACTCTTGACGTCGTCGAGACTTTAATCTTGCCTAAAGAAGGATCTCCGATGCCTCAGCCTCCACCAGGGGCTTGTATACAGACCAGTAGACGCTCGTACCAGCAGAAGCTTCCAGACCAGCCCGCGACGGAGGCAAATCATGTTCCATGATCGAGCATGCGACTCTCTTTTCGGAGAGACAACCCCGCTCAGAGTGAGGATGGATGGATGATGATACGTACGGTACATGGGGGGGACGATGCACCATCCAGTCAGATCACCTGCCCTCCCTCCTTCTGGCACCTCCTCTTCCTCCCCCTCTCGCCCTCTCTCCGTTTTCCTTCTTCTTCTTCCCCTTCCCCCCTTCTCCTCTCCCCCTCTTCCCCTTTCTTCTCTTCCTATCCTATCCTATCCCATCATCCGGATCTCAACCACAAGCTCACTGTCCATCTCCAACAGTCTGGTAAGTTGTCTCTGTTCCTGCAGTCCCGTGCCCTCTTCATATGCCTATACATACTACCTCGCTTGCTATTGTAATACTCTCTCACCTGATCTTTCGGTGTTGCTCGTTGTCTACTACCCATCATCCTCGTACAACTCTAACACATCATCACTTCTCACCAGCCTACAACACAACCACCTCTGCTAGTCAACTCCCAACCATGTCAGCCGAACTCACAAAGGTCGACTCCGCCGTTGCTGGCCTGTCGATAAAGGATGAGAAGGAGAAGAAGTCCCGTCGTGGCTCCGCGGAGGGGGTGTACAACATCAAGGAACTTGGTAAGTTGATGCTCCAGCTCATCAGATGTCGTGTCTGCGTAGACGGCATGACCACATGGGATGAGTCTATGGAATCAGGCTGAACCCTTTCCGTAGAGGAGAAGAAGATCGAATTGACGCTACCGATCGAAACGCAAAAGACTGGGTGGTGAGTTCTGCAACCACTCATCCATCCTAATGATGAGTCCGGAGCTCACGGCACCAGGAAGCTGAACACCTCTCCATCGACAATCGAGGACAAAGACATCCTGAAGATGTACCTGGTCAACCCCCCGGTCAAGAAGATTGACCTGCATTTCCCGCTTGGTTTGGAAGTGACGGCTCGCAACATGAAGGGCGTCACGGTGAAGGATGCGCTGGACGCTATCTACAAGCAGTTCAAGAAGAAGGTTCGCTCATACCCTGTATTGATTTTTATTGGTGAATGATACTGATTGATAAAGGCCGATGATGAGCTGGAGAACCCGTACCTCGCTGGCTTCGAGTGGGACAAGGACGAGTGCTGGACACGTCTGATCGTCCACCAGAAGAAGCATGGCCAGACGCAACAACCGGCCTCGGGTAAGAAGTCCAAGAAGAAGAACAAGGAGGAGGCCTAGAGATGCGTCATCGTCTATGGCAATACTCCATTGCAATTCTACGCTACCCACTTGACCATCCAAGCCGTCTTTCGTCCTGCTTTCTAGCATTTCCTTACTGCGTTTGGGATCTAGAAGCTTGAGTTCGGAGAGCGGGTGTTACTTTGTAATTTCTGTGCTGTTGTGCTGACTCTCATCTCTCGGGCGTCGTATGGACGTTCGCGTCACGGAGCCTCTTGCCAGGTATCTACCAGTGACAAATCCATTCCTTCATACACAATCAAGATAATATTTGAATGAGTTTCAATCTTGGGGGTATTGTAGTCGTAGGGCCGAGACCCTTGTAGATCATGTATCTTATCGCAGGCTTATCAAGATCGACACCCTTGGACCATCGTGAGTATAGAATAATCTAAGGTACCTATCTAGACTTCATTTACCATTCACAAGATAGTGAGATATGCCATCAAACTTTTAGACCCAACCAAGACACCTATGAGGAAAAGAACAAGCATTATCGGATCATCACTGCACAATATGAACTACTGCTCCAGTCCACGGACAGCCATAGCGAACGCGCCCTCTCTCGTCTTATGGCCACCAATGAAGCCACTCGCGTGCACAAACACCGCACCCTCAGGAATCTTATCCTTTCCAGACTTCTCCGCCTCGGCAGCCATGACCCCATCGAGGTCCGCATCGCGGACACCGCGCCACGACTCGGGCAGCGGCTTGCGGGACACGAAGCTGCCCTCATTCATAGGCACACACTGCACGCGCCACTTGGCGTCCTCAGCCGCACTCTCCGGGTACAACACATAATACACCTCATCCTCGGGACGGCCCGCCTCCTTCTCGAAGTTATACAGATGCTCCTTCCAGGGGACACCGCCCTGGGGGAGGACGAGGACGCGGCCGGAGGGGTGGACATCACGGCGGGTGGCGTAAGCATTTCCGACGGTGGTACGGGCGGGCAGCCACGACGTCGCAGCGTGGTGGAGCTTCCGCGAGAAGATAGTGCCGATGAAGGTGCTGGCGCGGGCGAACAGGCTGTCCTCGTCCTGGGGCTCGCCGGGCGGACACGTCGGGTCGGGGTTGTTCATGTCGCCGACGACCGAGGCGATAGTCACGCCGCCGTCGCGGAAGCGCTTCTCGATGCCGTGCGCGGCCAGCGCGGCCGGGTCGTACGCCGACACGCCGTTGTCGTTGGCGTCGATGGCCTCGATGAAGTCCGTGTAGAGCTTCTCGTACAGCAGGGTCACGTCGGGGTCGTCGAGCGGCAGCCCCGTGTGCTGGGCGATGATCGCCCGCCCGAAGTGCATGTACACCAGGCCGGCGGAGGAGAGCTTCGTGTTGTGGTTCGGGAAGGTGGTTGCGAAGGTGCGCTGGTGGTGGTCGTAGCGGTTGGAGGCGGCGTCATACTCGCCGCCGACGTCGACGACCGTGTGGCAGGTGGCGAGCTGGGCGGGATCGCGCGTGCGCAGGAGCGGCGACGCGGCGTATGTGGGCAGCTGGCGCAGGAGGTACACGGCGAGGGCTTCGTCGGCGTGGAAGTGGCCGCTGCGGGAGGTTAGTGAGGGAGATGCGATGGTGGGGGAGGGGGGGCGTACTTGTGCGTCCCGATGAGGGGAGAGGTCTTGAGCTTCTTTGCGATTGCTTCGTCGGCCATTTTGAAGAGTTGCCGGAATCGGAGCATTCAATGGGAGGTATGTATTGGTGGTCTGTATGGTTGTCTGTTGCTGGAGGTTATCTTGCTAGAGATGGGGTTTCCCGAAACGGGAATGCAGTAGGGTTTTTATCAGAGGGTTTGGGGGAGCATGTGATATGGAGTAATGCTGACCTGGAAGACGCTCCAACCATGGTAACTGGTCTGAGGTGCCTTATCGCGGCGGATTCCAGAGTCCATTCGATAGCATCATTCTTACTCTTTGCTCTTCCTCGCTGGAGGGGTTTGTCGTCATTCTTCACCCTGACCGCTTCTCGCTTGTCGCGTCTTTGACCGCCAAGTAGAGGCACTCTCGACTTCCATCCGAACTATTCTCTTTTCTCGAACAAGAATATCGTACCGGGTACTTACAATTCCATTCTATTTCTTCTTTATTTCTATATTGTATTGGTGTGATTTCCTGGTGTGGCTGTACTGCCTGCAACTGCCACGTGAAGACTCCCAGTCCCGCCGCGCACGAGATAAGATCAACTCATCCTCAACCGCGCCAAAAGCTTCTCTTCTCCCTCTTCCTGACTTTGCTTTTGCACGCTTCTCTTCGTTGAAAACTCCTTCTCTTTTCTTATCGTTCCATGGGTGGCCCTTAACGACTTATCCCCCCTCTTCCCACGCCAGTCGTGTTTGTTGTTCCTCCTTCGGCACTTTTTCCTCTCTTTCGCTCCTCTCCCGTCTTCCTCCCTTTTCTTTTCTCTTTTCTTTTCTTCTCCCCCTTCTCATCCATACAACTTCTCTCGCAACGCGCGCCTGCGGCCAGGCGCCTCTTCTTCCGGCCCGATGTGGCTCTTTCGGGTTTTCTCCTCGGTCATCTTCCTGACCGTCACCGTTTCGTCCATTCCCCTGGCCTTCGATGTCGGTGGGAAAACATGCGGTCTGGCCTATTCGCTCTCTCTGGCCACCTTTTACTTCCTCTTTTCCCTCCTGCGCGTCACCACACCCGACCGATCGTGGTTCCGTTCGTCTCTGATCGTCCTCATCCGATCGACCCAGTGGCTCATCATCCCGATCCTGCTCATCTGGTCGCTAAATCGCTTCTCGATCGACACCGATAACTCGAGTGGGTGGGTCGAACGCACCTTCAGCGGGAAGCGCGCACAGGACTCGTCCATCCAGGAGTGGCTGTTTGGGCCGGACGGCTTGGTGGAATCCGTAACAATTGGCAACTGGGATAAGCTCCTGACATGGTCGACGCCGGTTTTCCAGCTCGTCGAAGGATTCTGCAGCTTATTGGTGATCCAGGCTGCAGGGCAGATCACGCGTTGGCTTGTGAATCGCGGCGGTCGTAGTGATAGTTGGATGGTATGTGCCCGTCTCTTGGAACACGTCTGGTTCGAACGCTAATCTGGTGCAGATCGGTCTTCTCGTCCTGTCCGCGTCGATCATATCCAGTGCCGTATACTTCCTTTGGCGCGTCCTACAGTTTCCCGAGATTTCCAATGTTGATGCCGCCTTGATTGGAGTGTCGATCACCTGCGCCGTGATCCTGTGCGCCTGGGGCATTGGCAGCGGTCGGGGGAACCCGGTCGAGAGCTCGCTTCTGTTCGCATACGTGGTGCTGTGCATCTACCAGATCTTCACCGATTACCGCCCATCGCACCCGATCGAACAGGTCCCCTCGCCCGCACAGTCTGGAGAATTCCCTCCACTCCCACCAATCATCATGAATTCTTACTCAACTCTCCGGCACGCCTTGTCCCTCCTGCCATCGATCATCCACGCAGCGTTCAACGTGATCACGGCCGTCTTCAGCGCAGTGACCCCGTCCGTGCTCATCTCGCTCATGTACCGAATCTGCGTCCTGTATGCTTCGACCCGGATTATTCCCGCCGTGCGCGAGTCCGGCGCACGTGCTCTCTCTCAAGAGGCCTCCCTCGACGACTCGGATGCAGCTGGCCAGTTCCTGGGCTTTCTCAGCTACTTTTCGCCTTCCATCCTCATCGCCGTTTATACCAGTCTTCTGATGCAGCATTTTGCGTCCACCTCCCAAGCGATGGGCGGGAGCGGTGAATGGTGGAGCACGCAAGGTGGAGGCGGTGGAAATCTCTGGCGGTGGATCAATTTGGCCTGCACGCTGGCGTTATATGCCGTCGAGCTTTGGCTGGGAGAGAACGACGATTTGGATTCGGGACTCGCCGGCCATTGGAAGACCGACTGATCTGGTTTATATCGGCCTCCAACAACAGTTGGTCTTGTCTACGAAGTGTCGACGTCCATCCCTGTGTTTGGTGATGTCTAGCTCTTACATCGTGACCGTGCCGACACCATAACCTACGGCCCAGTTGACCAACTGTTATCTGATCTTTGATCAGCTCAAGCATCATTCGGCGCTCCTGTTTGGACCCTACGTGGCGACGTACCCATCCCGCATCTGAGATATCGGATCATAGCCTCAGAGCAGATTCTTGTTTCAGACCCCAGTCTCTGCGGGAGACGTTGCAGAATGCGACATGTACTGCGTTCTGGCTTATAAGGGGTCGTACTTGTCCCCCGCTGGAAGACATCGGTCCTACTATGACGGGATCAGACGGAAACAGTTTGCTAGAACCTGACCTAGTCTAGCCAGATGGCGCCATTTGCACTTACGCCTTAGACGCGTGCCTCTTCTGTGGCGATACGCCCTCCATCCTCATCTTCCCTTTTTGCTGCTGCTTCCCTATTATACCCCTCGTGTCTATCGTTGATCTTCCGTTTCGTCCCAACCATTTCCTGTTGCCTATCTGACTTGTCTGCCTTCTGGTGTACTTTACGATAGCTATACCCAAGTTAGTTGATGGAATTTATAGTGGCTAGATCCACTATCGATGCAGTATAAGCATGGTCACTTGAGAGAGAAAAGCATGCATGTATGCGTGATTCAATTTGCTGGTATCATGTGAAGGACAGTAGGCTTTTCACCCTTGCATCGCCAAACATTCAACATATATGGACGAAGTAGTATAACTGTGGGCATCACACGTAACTGAAGGATGAAAACAAACAGCGGAAAGCGTACCTATCCGATCAGCGGGCGAGGAAGAAATATGTCAAGTTGATATAAACAGAGAAGCGAACAGTCGGGAGATGGAGAGCGAGCCTTGGGCATTCCTGGCCAACTCCGACTTTTCCAAACGTACGCACCCCAACGACCAAAAGTGCAAATAAAAAAGATGCGACGAAAAAAGCATCGTAAATACATCGAGGAACGGGAATCCATAGCGCCAGGCTCTCTTGAAATCACCCCACCGACAAAGACCGAAACATCAGAAACAGACAAACACAGACACATTCAAATCTGACACGACGTAGTTATCGCCGGATAGGAACACCCTCCCGCGCCGGCGGCGGACTCACACTCGCCTCCTCCGCCTGACCGTCCGCACCCTCCGTCTCATCGACGCTCGTCCCGCGGTGCAGGAAGCTCCCCTCCTTGACGGGGCTGCGGCTCTGGAACCCGATCGACCCGGGATGCCCGCTGATGCTGCCGGGGATCTGCTGGCCCTGGGCGGTGGAGACGGAGCTGCCGTTGCTGGCGGCGGCGGGGTTGTTGGCGCCGGGCGAGGTGGCGGTCAAGTGCGGGATGTTCTCGGGCACGGGGTGCTGGGAGCCGATGTTGGTGACGCCAACGTCGGAGGCTTTGCCGGCTTTGCTGAGGGCGTAGTCGCCCGAGTCGAAGTATTTGCGTTCCTTGGGAGATGTTAGTATGGACGATAGGCTGGTTTATGGGTTGGAGGGGGAAGGGGGCGTTTGGGTGACGGAGGGGTACCTTTAGCTTGTTCTGGAGGAGGTCTTTCTTGGTGGGCATTTTGCCGTAGAGACGGAGGAGACGCTGCTCGTCTGGGCTCAGAGACTGGTATCTAGGTGGTTAGCTGGTTGTTTGATGGTTGGGATGTATGGTTTGAGGGTGGGATGGGGAACGCACGCTGGTGTCGACTTTGTTCTGCTGATGGGGATTCATAGTGGGCGACAGAAGGGGATAGTTGATTGAAGGGGGTATTGTTAAGGAAGTTTGGGAGAGAGATGATAGAGAAAGAGAGGGGAGAAGAGAGTGGTGTGTAAGGTAGAGACAAGAGGTTAGGCTAGGCTAGGCTAGGTAGGTTGTTGCAAGAGGTCAGTAAGGGCAATCGGCGGGGATGTTTGAGGGTGTCGTCAGAGCGCCCCACCACCCGTACAGATCGGAGGGTGCGTTTGGGATGAGTGCGGCCAAGACAAGAAGGGATGAACAGGGAGATGACTGTCGTCAAGGAGAAGATCGGATCAAATGTCTTTCTGTTCTTCTTTTCCGGACGAGGCAGCAGAGAGGAGAAGTTGGAGGACGTTGGATGAAGTCGAGGTCAAGTAGGAGGGATGAGTCAGCAGTCGCTGAGTAAGAGGCTTTCCATGATGATTGGCCAACTGGACAGCCGGAATAGTTAGTGCCCGCTGTGGCATTTGCTGCAGGATTATACATCATCGAGAGGGACAGAGAAGAGAAGGAAGGGATGGGTTATGGGTCAATTCTATTGCAGATATGGGAAGGGGTATGTTAAAATTGGAGATGTCGGGTGCTATGGAAGTAAGAGAGTATATCTAGAATGTTATCCTTACACTGGCATAGATATTCTTTCATATTGAAATATTCAGATAATCTAGAAAATATACATTTTTTATAGGAAGATCAAATTAAGGATAAGATGGAAGATGTATTGCTGTGATGGCGCTGTTTGGCTCTGAGTTGGAGGTGGTGATGAACAACCGACTTGAATCCATCCAATTTTTCACCCCTCCATATCAAATTCGCTTGTCCAATATCACGGAACCACCCACGTTGACACACTCTACTCCATCCTTTACTACACGCCATTGGGCTACCTGCCCCGCCATCGCATACCTACTATCATTGTTAATTTCTGGACCGCCATGCCAGAACAACCCACCAACCCCGTGACTATCGTCGTGGAACATCTGGACCCCGAGCTGGGGAAATGGTCCGCCCTGGAATACGCCTGTATCGCCCGTGAAGCCCATGCGTCCGGCAGCCGCTTCCTCCTCAGCTCGGTCCCGACATCTCTCCAGATGCCCGAGGACCTCGCGGCCACGAAAGGCTTCGAGGTCGAACACCGCAGCGTCGAGGAGATCTTTGCCGACCGGAAGGGCAAGGTCTGTCTGCTGGACCCGGCGGCTCAGGTCGAACTGAGCCCCGAGGACGGCGACACCTTCGAGGTGTTTCTCTTTGGTGGGATTCTCGGTATGTTCAAACTCACCGTGGTCGACTACGAGATTTGGTTCATTTGGCTGACTCGTATCTATAGGCGATGACCCTCCACGCGGTGAGTTCGAACAAGCATCTCACATAGTATGAATCAGTCACTCACTGTCTGACAGACCGCACCTCTGAACTGAGGAAGAAGGGCTACGCTGGTCGCCGACTGGGTCCCAAGCAAATGACGACGGACACCGCAGTGCGCGTCACCCGTATGGTGGTGCACGAGAAAGGTTGGTCAACGGACATGCTGTCCTGTCCTATGATGGAGACTGACTGTCCCAGTTCCCTTGGAGAAAATCCAATACATTGATCACCCCGAGATCCTGATCAACGAACACGAGCGGACGGAGATGCCGTTCCGTTATGTCAAGGGAGATGACGGCCAGCCTATCATGCCCCAGGTGAGTCGCACGAGACGAGGTATACGAGGGCTATAGTGGTGTGAAGCTAATGGAAATAGGGCATGGTTGATCTGATCAAGAAGGATGCCGATCAAGGCATTGACGATCTATTCTGAGGTGACCTAGTCCTGTCCAGGTCTGTCTGTCAACTGGAATGGAACTTGGAATCTATAGACGTCTCTAATAGGCAAGAATAGGAACAATACGAATACGAATCATGATGCGTCCGTGTACGACAAATTGGCCGATGTTCCGAACTGGCAAAGGACCTGGTTCTGGAATTTTAAAAATTCTTACTTGTACTGTTCTGTAGTGGTGAAATGGGTAATTTTGTAAACTACCTGAGATTGTGTTATGTGAACGAACTCGAGTGCACATATCAAAAGTAAGGTGTGGAAATGATAAAAGGTATAACATATTATATAATGAAGAATATTGGCATAGACAGCAAAGGCATAAGTATCTACTCTACATGTTCTCCCAAATTTATAAGCATCAGGGCCATCAATGTATGTCCATAAACTGTACGAACGATAACGCTCGTGCTGCAACCTCAGTACACCGCAGAGCAACATCATAATAGCTAAGCGTCAGCACTTACACTGCCTGTCCATTTCTCTTCTGCCTCTTGTAGTTGCATCCAGATTGACTCCTTCATTGGTCGATACGACACTAGTTTCCTGCCCTTAACATCCACTGCCCTGTGCGGATTGGCCCCGTGATCTAGTAGTGAGCGGACAATAGTGTCATGTCCGCATTCAACAGTATACGAGAGCGGAGGGCGTCCCACCATGTCAGTCATCTCGGGATCTGCACCACGTTCTAGTAGCAGTTTCACCATCGCTTCGTGGGCTTCCTCTACGGCCCAGAATAAGACTTGGGAGTATATTTTGCCGAGTCCGCCACGGGGGAATTCGGAACAATGCACATTGACATCGGCGTCAAAATCCAAAAGCAACTCCACGAGTTCTAGATCGCCACTCTGCACCGCAAGGAGAAGAGGCTGTACCCATTCCTCATGGTCGTTCCAGGTCCTTGGTATCTCGGGCACACAGATTGCGGCGGTGCGCCGTTTCGAAGTAACGCCTCGGCGACTTGTCTGTTCCTCTGTGCGACTGGGAAGGCCACGCTCTGGTGCGGTGGATGTTTGCCGTAACGTGGACCAGAATCTGCACGAGGTCCATCCGCAATCAAGTTTGGATCCGCACCGTACGAAAGAAGCAGCGACACCAGCTCGCTCATTCCCTTGGTCGCGGCTATGTAAAGGGCGCTGTCTCCAGAGTGGGGGATGTGGGAGAGGTCATTCACTTGCACCCCATGTGTGAATATAACCGGACCACTGGGGCGTGTCCGGCCAAAGCCGCCTGACACTATACAGTATTAGGCTAGTGGTATATTGGGGAAGGTTACATTGCACTTTGTGGATAACAAGCGATGGAGGCCAAAGCCCTTGGCCTAATTATCTAAGGGGCTTGCTCCTGATTGGGACAGATCATATATATTGCTCCTACCCGACTGAACACTCACACTCAGGACAGCAATCACGACAACTGTTAGCTTTTTCGGCTGACCTGATATCCAGTCATACAACAATGAGTGAAGCAGCAGGAGTTTCACCGGTTGGCATGATGGGCTTAACTGGCTGGGAAACCCACTCCGCGCTCGCTCAGGAGGACCGAAGCCGCAGACCAGGAATTGGCTCGACAGCTCCTGCACACCTCACGCGGGCGTTATATATTCCCCGTCACGATGGAAGCACACCGAATCTCTCTATCTACGATTTTGGCACCCAGTATACGGAAGCTGTTGGGCAGTGTGCGATAGGATCAGCCCGGTACATCCTGTCCTTGGGGCAAATGCCAAAACCGCATGCAAACGGTGGGGCATGTGTGTACAATGTGGGCTTCACCGACGTGGACAGTGACGCAGCGGGCTTGAAGTCGATATCAGTGGCCCCATCATCCGGTCAGTCACTCGTGGAGGCGAACGTGTATGCTGTCTCTCCCCCTCTAGTCAGTATAGTCGCTGATGGAAGCATAACAGCACTATTGAGACAGCTCAAGACAAAGCGGCTGTGATCAGACTGAAACGGCAACAGGGAAATGCAACTGCAGCCGAAGATGCCGACATGTCGCTTTCCTATCCCATTCCACCTACCACCATCAAAGATGGGTTCCGAAGAAAAGTCTTAAAGCACCCGTATTTCGCTTTCCAGATCCCCGGGCAAGCTGATGCATCACTGGAATGGCAGATTCATCCGACCCTGCATGGACGCTTGCGGTACAGCCTTGTTCGAATCCCCCAGGCGCAATCGTCCGCCGCTCCTGCAGGTCCTGGCGAGCCTTCAGAAAATGATGTCCTTGCGATATACCACCATATCGGGGAAGGTGTCTCGCTGCCGCTGCCATACAGCGAGGGCGTTCTCCTCCTTCCTCCCGATATGGACGCAGCAACCGAGGCCATTGTGGTGGCAAGTGTGTTGGGCATGCTCTGGCAGCTGCGTCAGCTCTGCAGGACAGGAAAAGGAATTGGACCTGTCAGCAAGAGTCCTTCGAAAAGACGGTTTGGTCTTATGACAGACTTGCTCAGTAGAGAAAGGTAAAGGGATCTGGGACTGGATGTGGAATCTATCCATGGTTATCTCCAGAGCTCTCCTATAGCGGATGGTGGGTATGCCATCTGATAAGAGGTTGAAAATTACACGAAGTGCGGTATTTTCAGATACATCGGTAATTACCGGTAAAACTCCGGTCATGTATCCCGTACCAGACGGAGCTGACGACCTGGCCTCGAAAGCCACCATCGCCTTCTCGGACTCCGTAATCATTTCCAATCATCCCCTGCTCCTCTTGTCTTTCCCCTTCTTCTCCCCAGTCTCCGTGGATGTGACCTTCTCATAATCTTCTACTCGAACTTTCTAGTTATATACCGTCCATCCGCTGTCTGACGCTCTCCCCTGACGCTTCGTGTTCGGCCCCGGGGCGGTCCAGAGCGGTACCTGATCGACATACTATAATAATCAATGAGAGCTTGAACGTGTCGTTTCAGTCCTTGCAGGACCCGATTTTCTTCTCCCCCTTTGTCTCTACTCTCCTTTCCCTCGTTTCGACCCTACAATACCCTCTTCCCCGCCAGAAATGGTTTCCCTCTCGTTGCGCGGGGCCCGACGGACAGCCAAGGATGCTGCCTCCTTGCCGTTCCTGTCCTGGACACTGTCTTTACTCGCGTTGAATCCATTACTCGTTTCTGCAAAGTCGGCTGCGGACTACTATGTCCGCTCACTACCTGGCGCCCCGGAGGGGCCCCTGTTGAAGATGCATGCTGGGTGAGTCCTCAACGCCATGGTCGCGTGTTCCGGCTGCGACAAGTATACTGACCGCGACTCTTCCCAGGCACATCGAAGTAGACCCCGAGAACCACGGAAACCTGTTCTTCTGGCACTTCCAGAATCGCCATATCGCCAACCGCCAACGAACCGTCATCTGGCTGAATGGAGGCCCCGGATGTAGCTCTATGGATGGTGCGTTGATGGAGGTCGGCCCCTACCGGCTGAAGGACAATTCTACGCTGGAGTATAACGAGGGCTCGTGGGATGAATTCGGCAACCTCCTCTTCGTGGACCAGCCGGTGGGAACTGGCTTCAGCTACGTCAACGGGAACCAATACTTGCACGAGATGGATGAGATGGCCGCTCACTTTATCACCTTTCTGGAGAATTGGTTCGATATCTTCCCCGAGTATGAGCGTGATGACGTATGGATTCACCCACCTACCCTTTCTCTGTCGCCAAGTCTTATACTGACCTTATATAGATCTATATCGCCGGAGAATCGTTCGCCGGACAGCACATTCCGTATATCGCGAAAGCCATCCAGGAGCGGAACGAAAAAGCGCAAATGAAGCCAAAGTGGAGCCTCCGCGGCCTGCTCATCGGCAATGGCTGGATTTCCCCCAAGGACCAGTACCCTTCTTACCTGACCTTTGCATACGAAGAAGGCCTTATTACGAAAGACAGCCGGACGGCCAAGAACCTCGAGGTGTTACAATCCGTATGCGAGTCGAGATTGGAAGCGGGGAAAAATAAGATACATCTGGACGATTGCGAAAAGGTGTTGAGTGAGATGCTCACGAAGACCATGGACGTCTCTAAGAACGAATGCATCAACTCGTACGACATTCGTCTCCGCGACGAAGCTCCCGCCTGTGGCATGAACTGGCCGCCAGAGTTGACGCACATGAATTATTATCTCCGGCAACCCGAGCTGATCAGTGCCTTGAACATCAACCCCGAAAAGAAATCCGGATGGATGGAGTGCTCGAATGCGGTGTCGAGCACGTTCCGCACTCAGAAGTCAGTTCCCTCCGTGCAGCTTCTCCCGGGGTTGATTGAGTCCGGGATTCCCATCCTCCTGTTCAGCGGAGACAAAGACCTTATCTGCAACCATGTCGGTACAGAAGAGCTCATCAACAACATGAAATGGAATGGTGGAACCGGCTTTGAGACTTCTCCGGGCGTGTGGGCGCCCCGGCACGATTGGACGTTCGAGGGCGAACCAGCGGGAATCTACCAGTACGCCAGGAACTTGACTTACGTGCTCTTCTACAACGCCAGCCATATGGTCCCGTATGACCTCCCGCGCCAGAGCCGGGATATGCTGGACCGATTCATGCAGGTCGATATTGCCAGCATTGGAGGCAGCCCCGCGGACTCCCGGATTGATGGGGAGAAGCTGCCCCAGACCTCGGTGGGAGGTCATCCGAACAGCACCGCTGCTGAAGAACAAGAGAAGAAAAAGATGAAGGAAGCGGAATGGAAGGCGTACGCCAAGTCCGGCGAGGCCGTTCTGGTCGTCGTCATCATCGGCGTGATCGTCTGGGGTTTCTTCATCTGGCGCAGCCGGCGGCACCACCGCGGGTATCGCAGTGTTTATAACAAGAACATGAGCGGAAGCTCGGTCCTCGAGCGATTCCACAGCAAGCGCTCTGGAGCGGACATGGAGGCGGGGGATTTCGATGAGGCTGAGCTGGACGATCTCCATTCTCCGGGGCTGGATCGGGAGCACTATGCGGTTGGGGATGATAGTGATGACGAGCAGCAGCACCAACGGCAGGGTTCTCGACCGGAAGGTGGCCAGTCATGAGTGGTTCCTTTTCTTATCTTTTGGTATCTTGTATCTGGTTTGACCGCGTTAGCATTTGCATGTAGTTGGGCGAATAGGATCAATAGACATGAGAGATTATGATCATTATCTGGTCTTCACTCGTAGTATGTGCCTCTATATTTTGTGCATACACATATCCAATCGACACAACTGTCTTCACCTCACAGTCCACACCTTGACACTCCCATCGTCCGCCGTGGTAATCAACACCTCTTCATCCTTGCCCTCCTCGCGGCCTCGATCCGCACGCTTGGCCCACGCAACGTGGTTGATCTCGTAGATGCCATGCGCGCCCTCCACGACGCCAACAGCCACCCACTCCGTAGACAGCGGCGCCGACGCAGGACCGTCAGTGTCCATGGCCTGCGCAGACCCATCCACAAACCGCTCCTCGTACAGCACAAGCCGTCCGTCAGCTCCCACCGACGCCAACAGACCCGTGCGCTTGCTCCACGCCACAGCATACACCGGCAGCTCATGCATTTTCGGCAGCACCGCCTCCTCCTCCCAGGTCTCGTCCGTGCCCGTCGGCCGGATGATGCTGGGGATACCGGTGCCCCCGAACGGCGTCCCCGCCTGCTGCTGCTGGAGCTGCTCCTTCGGCACGCGTCGCCAGATGCGCACCGTCCGGTCGTCCGAGCACGACGCCAGCCGCGGCCCAGACAGCGCGCGACTCTCCTTCCACTTCCCTTCCTCGCCTTGCAGACCTGCCGGCACATTCTCCACCCCCTCCCAATCCACAAACCACACCGTCCCCCCATGCCCCTTCAGACACGCCACCTGCCCCCAGTCATCCAGATCCTCGCGCCACAGCCGGATCGTATCGTCGTAGCTGCCGCTGGCCAGACACTCCTCGGCCGGATGCCACGCCACGCACTTGACATCGCCCTCGTGCTCCTGCATCACCGCCACCGTCTCGAAATTGTTGTCCCCGTCGTCGAGGTCCTCCCAGATCCAGATCGACTTGTCGCGCGCACATGTCGCCAGCAGCATCCCAGACGCAGACCACGACACGCTCTTCACCTCGCTGTCGTGTCCGTCCAGCAGCACCGCGAACCGCCACTCGTCCGAGTCCGAGTCGGCATCCTCGCTGGCGGCGGCGGCGGTCGTGTGATCAGAGGATAGCAGCCCGTAGCTGTCCCACCGCCGCCAGATGCCCACGGTGGCGTCGAAACTGCCCGTCGCGAGCACGCTCTCGCCCTGCACGTGCGGTTTCCAGGCGCACGTACGCACGCTGCGCTTGTGCCCGCCGGTGATTGTGGAGAGCAGCCGGAAGTTGCTCAGCGAGTACACGCGCACCGTCTTGTCGGAGCTGCAGGTCGCGACGATGGGGAGCGTGGGGTGCGGCGCCGTCAGCCAGGTGCGCTCCTGGGACGGCGGGGTGAGGTCTGAGAGGAGGGTGATGTGGGCGGTTGTTCGGGCCATGTTTGCGGCCGTGTTTTTCCCCCCGTAGTTTTTAATTGAGATGTTGTTTGGTGTTGAGGGTTGTCGGGGGTGCAGGTGTAGGAGTTTGGAGGGAGTTAATTATCTGGTGGGGTGAACTGATAGCGGCGGATGACGTGAACGGATCATTAATCTTTAATCCGCGGAAGCACGCTACAACTACAGCACCAGGTTTATCGTAGGTAGTAACAATGTATTCGTAAATCACAGTAAGCAAAATCTACAGAATTCATAGCAGTCACGCCCCCGGCGTGGGAGAACGGCTTTCTTCCAAGACTCGTTCGTAGATCGTCCCATGGCAGAGCCAGTCCACCTCGCGGACCTTCTCTAGTTCCTCCGTCAGTTGTCCGACTTCGCTCACAAATTCCGGCATACCCGCGCCCGCCAGGCTTTGACTTGCAGTGGTCGTTGCCCGCACGCGTTCGCTGGCACTCGCGGCGCTCATGCGAGAGAGAACGTGCGCACGCAGTCGGGAGAGGATGAGGCGCGCGACGGGGTCCGTGAAGCTGGTTGCACCGACGCCCGCGGCACTCGTTCCAGACGACGAAGGCTGTTCCTGCGCGGACAGCTCCGTCTGGATCTCCACAGAGGCCTGCATGGCCCGGACCGAGGACGCCGCAGCACATGCTGTCGCAACCGGCGCCAACACCCGCCGGATGGTCGCAGCCAGTTGGTTGCTCGCGCTGGGCGGCATCGGGTGTGTCGACTCGAGGATTGATTGCACACGATCGGGCTGGATGTCGTTGAAATCGAGCGACAAGATCCGGTCAGCTTCGGCTTTCCATTGCGACCGCACATCGCGCTTAAGCAGATTCTTGGCCGTCAGGAGAATGGACGCCGTGGCTACAATCTTGAACGCTTGTGCGTGCAGTCTTTCCAACCGCTCCCGGTCTAGCTCGAGAGTCTCCGGAATCAGTTCATCAGAGACTGCCGCATTACTCAGGATCAAATCCACAAGGCCTTGAGCATACACCTTGGACGTAGCCGGCTGAGGCTCTCCGTTGACATTCTCCGGGTCCCGCTTCCGCATCTCGTCCGCAATAATTTTGCGGTTCGTTCGCCAGAAGCGCCTGCTCTTTCCGAGGCTCATAGTCCCGTCCTGGAGGCCTCTCTCGAAAGACCGCTGCTCATAGCCCGGGGCTTCCTGGATCAGCTGCGGAGCCGCCACTTGGATCATGAAGTTCGTATGATCCAGTGACAGAAGGTCGATGATCCCCATCAGTCGAGCCAGGCGGTCAATCGCATCTCCGGATGTGTCTTCAGCAAATGCTTTGACCACGGGATCCCGGTAGGGCGCACAGAGTTTCGGGAGGATGTTGTTCATGAAGTTGAAGAAACTATCGTAGGAGAAGGCGCCGGCTTTGCATTGGCTTTCCACCAGCTTTGGGTCCAAAACCTCACTGATTAGCACATGGAGGGAATTTCCTGGACGCAACAACCGCAACAGCCGGTCCTGTATCACCGTAGCCATGGCTACAGTCCAACTCGTCCCCAGACCCGCATCCACATCCTTCCGCATCATGTCACACATGTGCTTCATGATCTGCCTTCGTGGCTCGGTGTATTGGGTTTCATCAATCTTGTACTCCTTATTGATAAGGAGTTCATGCACAAGCGCACGGTTTTCCGGGAGTGCAGTAAGGAGTTGCGCGAATCGCTCGTGTGGGGACACTCGCTGCTTGTCCAGCTCTCGGAGTACAGGGTTATCCACGTTGTTGAAAGTCTCGCTGATAGGAGACGCGACACTTTCCGTCAGCGTTTCGGTCGAGGCGGGCGCCACCTCCGCAGATCGCGGGATAGCTTGCTTTGAAGCCGTCCGCTTCTTCTCCCGCTTTGCCCTTTTCAAGGCATTCCGGACCATTTGCATTGCCCGGTCTGATCCTGCCAAACGCTTCAGTCTGGCTAGGAGGAGGATTTGGTTTTGCCTGATCCCCTGGCGATAGTCCTCAGCCACACCTCCAGCGCGGTCATCTTTGACCGTCTGCCAAATAAGTTCCAGCTCGATAAACTGGGCCAGCATGATTTCAATCAAAACGCTAGAGTCGTGTGTCTTCCATGCGTGGAATGCAGAAAAGAAGACATTGTATGCCTCACAGAGCGTCTGCAGATCCGATGAAACGGCCGCTGGTGCGCAGCACCCAGATGCAAGCAATGGGGTGACCTGTTCAAACGCTGCCAGCAACTCGCGGGCTTTAGCGATCAGGTCTTGCTCCTGTTCTCCGTCGCCGCTGAGGACCTCGGCGGGATGGGTCACAATGAGGTAGCTGCTCAAAAATGTACGCACAGCCCCCCTGCCACCCATAGTGCCGCTCTCCATATCCTGGAGCCCGCAGAGACGGAGGACCTTGGCCGTCGTGTCCAAGACGTTGTCATCCGAGAGGAGAGCGCCAACGTCTTCAAAAACCATATCCCGGACGCGGTCGACGTTCAGGTTCAAGGCTCGGAACTCTTGCATGACCATCTTGCAATGAAACGCCCTCCATACTCGTTGAATCTTCTTCGCAGCTGCATCCTGCGTAAGAGTCTTGGTCATGGCCGTAGACATTTTCTTCTCCTCTGTGGTAGGCAAACTGCTCGTGCGCGAACGTCGATGACTCTGCTGATAGAGAAGCCGCCGCTTCTCTGCTTCCGCAAACTTTTCCGCCATCTCTAATCGCAGACGCGCGTGCTCTGCCGCTTTCTTCTCGCGGTTGTCTTCAGCCTTCTTCTTCGCGCGACGGACTTCTTCCTCGCATTTGGCGGTAATCTCCGCGAGAAGCCGTTCGCGCGTCTGCTGGGCAGCCAACACTCGTTCCTCGTGCTGAAGGTTGCGACTGGCCGCTTTGGTCAGGGCGGCACGAAGTCGGACCTTTTCCGCATGCAAGGCGCGGTCCGCGAGCCTGGCCTTCCGGGTCTCGATAATGGACGTGCGCCGGAGATGTTGTGCGACGTGATCGGTGGGCGATGAGCCATGGGACGATACCCCCGAATGATGGGAGTGTAGCGATGAAACCGAGCTCCGGCGAGATGAAGCTGCCGAGGAGCGGCGGACCACACTGGGCTTTCGTGAGAAACGCGCGGCGAGATGGGCGGGCAACGTCAGAGGGAGGGCTGGCTCGTCCGATAGCATTTCCACATCGGGTTCTGGATTATTCAAAGGTTCGGAAGACACCGTTGGGCCCGCATCAGGGAGCTGAAGCTCAATGTCGGAGTTGCGGCGTAACATGGTATCTTTCGGAGATATGTGCTTGGGCGGGATGCGCCTCACGGAGGGGCGCAGTTATCGATAAATAGTGGGGGAACTTTGGGCGAGATGAAGGATTAACTGCGTCGGTGTAAGGATCGTGAGAGATGCAGAGGAGAGATGGATCCCTGTCAATATATACTCCTCTCCCGATCGCCACCGGGGGGTGTGAGATGTGAGAGAAAGAAGGGGAGGCGAAGCTGATGATTAGGAGGGTTTGCGGAGAGATCCGTGCTTCGTTTCAAGGAGCGTCGCGATAAGAAGGTCGCACCTGGTAAGGATAAAGATCGTAGGAGATGAAACGAGAGTCGCGGAACCCAGGACCTAAAAATAATCAACCGTCAACCGAACAGGCGCCATCCCACGTCGAAAGGCCTTCAACGCAAGCATCCGGTTGTCTAATATCGCTGCTGATGACGGAAGGCGGACGGAGTTGGAAAGTCATCGAACGCCGCAACCAGCGATTATGTCAGCATCGACTCTAACTATGTATGTATACAAGAACCATACTCTGTAGACTACAGACTGACGAATATATCAGAATGGAATGCTTGATCTCGCAAATGCTCGTCCTATGCCCTGCCCTCCCAGAGATCATACGCCAAAACTCCGTGTAAATACAGATGAGTGCATAGTATGTAGCTGGTCCAGCCATGGTTTCGTAGAGTCATCACCCAAAGCCTCCAAGGCTTATCGGTGCCCGAAGATATCGATGCTTTCGTTGTCATCGTCTTCTTCGTCCTCCTCCTCATCCGATCCGCTCCCTGACGCGTCGTCATCTTCCTTCTCGGACTCCGCACCATCAGCCGACTCCGTCTCACGACTGAGGAAGCCATATCGGTACTTGAACTTCGTGCCCCAGAAGCGAACCTCTCCATAGTCCTCATCTTCGTTATCTTTAGAGGTCCTCCCAAAAATGGATGCGGATTGTGAGCGTTCGGTCCCCCGGTCGGGCGGAATACCAAAATAGTTACTAATGACCGGAGACACGGCACGTCCACGTGTGAGGCTGTACGACGCAAACCGCCCATTTGGTTCCGCAGACGAGGGTGCATTGAGTCGAGGATCAGGATTCGGCCCTGGCACAGGGTTGGTATCCAATCTTAATGCCGCCAGGACCAATGCCGCGTCCTCGGTGCCCTGACTATGAGAAGATGATCTCATATGAGTGCGGAGACCTTCATCCTCTCCACTTTCTTCCACGCCATCGACAAAATCGCCTTGAAGCAGTCGGAGTTGAGCCGTATTGTATGATTCACACCTGCGGTCTGGTCAGCTCTATCACAAAAAGGTAGCGTGGCAAAACCCACATATCACACTTCAAGCCTAACCAATGGTACTTGACGACTGACTTGGCGCCACAGTCATTACAGTAGACCAGAGCTTTGGTGTCCTTGAATTCAGCTGGCATGGGTTGGCTCTCGATGGTGCGATCCAAGTTTCTGAACGTCGTTTCCATATTGGTGATGGTCTTGCTGCATATTGGACACCGGTACGAGGACTTGGAATACTCGTTCAGACATTTTTGATGGATGCTGTGACCGCATCGCATGAACACTACCGTCTCGGGCGAGGTGAACATGTATTCACCGCATATCGGGCAATCGCATTGTGTCGATCGCTCAATACACCGATGGGTGTTCTCAATCGAGATAGGTAGACAGACGCAACATGTCTGTGATTTCACAATTAGTCCGGTTGTTGTTTTCTATGACGGCTGCTGCTTACCTTGCAATGAAAGAAGTCTTTGCCCAAGCCCTGTCCAATACGGCAGATACCACAATCTGCGCAGTGGTAAATACTCTTTTTGCTGTCATTGTCCCAGAGTTTGCAGACATTGCAATAATACTGTGCAGCCTGTTCCCCGCAGCTTCGACAAGCCTGGGCGGCGGGCTGCGGATGTCCACATAGCATACATAGCATGTTCTCGGTCTTCGGTCGGTCGAGATGATGGTCTTCAACCTCATCGTGACAAAACCGGCAGGTGTACCACTTCTTGCAGGCATAGCACTGCAACTTCACGTTTCTCTTATAGTGCTGACATCCCAACTGAGCCTCCTCAACTTCCTCTGTATCTAGGTCTTCATCTCCAAGGGGCACATCGGGTTCGACTTTGGGGGCAAATGTTGGTTTGAGATCCTCAGCCGTCAAGTCGTACTGCACATGCCTTTGCACGCCAGGAATTGTGGATTCGGAAACCGCTGATGGTTCGTTGGATAATTTGCTCGTCTGCAAGACTGGAGTACCGGGAGCGCTAGAAACTAGTTGTGCGATCTTGCTAGAGGGATTGCCACGAGAGGCATTGTAGTTTTCCGTCATCAGTTCGTGAATCAACCGTGCCTTTTCAATGTTGCTGGACTGTTGATCTCTGATGGCGTGGATCTTTTTTCGCAAGATCCCCATGCCGTCATCTTCTGGCAAAAGGTCGCGACCGCCCAACTCTTCCATATCCGAGGAGTGATATCGACCAGCGTCTTCCATACTAGGATTCGTTGGAGGAATGGCGGTGGCAATATCGGAGTTCGAAGCCGTAAAAGGGCGATGATCAAAGGCGTTAATTGTTTGTTCGCTTGGGAACTGCGACATGATCAAGTTCGCATCCTGCCTTATCGGGTCCGACGGGCTCGAGTGCTCTGTCATATGGTGTTGGTCGTACCCGTCGATCGGTGATACCGTAGAGGGGTTGCCGCAAGGCTTTGTCAAATCGAAAGGCTGCCTTGTTCCTGGGCACTGTTCGTGTGCGGCGGCTGATATTATTCCACTGTTGTTACCATTGTTTGTGTTTGGAGGGGCCGGTTCTGCGGCGTCCGAGGTGGGCTCAGGTTGCTCATCGGCGGGAGGCAGCTGGGTGTCCCACTGCTGGGAGAGGCGGCGGGCCTGCCGAACGACGGGTTCGATCAGCAAAGAAGAGATAAGCCCGCTCATGGAGGGCCGGTACCGACATCTGATCGGGGAAGGGACATAGACTGAATTCGACAGTACCTGAGGATGAAGAGGTCCAGTTTGGAATAATACCTAATTCCAAGTTCTACTGCGCAGATGCCGGAACGGGCAAACTCGAAGCATGTGACATCCCAGCACCGATAGTGGACGTTGATTGGATATCAGTATTTCACGTGACTGTATTTGAATATGTGATCATAACAAGTATAGATATTACCAAACGGCACCAAGAACAAAAGTGAAAGATGTCTGCATTATTGAGCTATTGATTAACTGTGGGAGTTATCCGGGGACAGCCTGCATTCAAGCCAGCCACGCCAGAGTGACATCTGGGATCGTCCTGATGCAGGCACTATCAAAACGTCTTGCAGAAGATCCTATAACATGTTTTGTGAATATACATATCGTCTTCTCTGTGAATATTTTCCAGAGCCCAACTTATGTATTCCGTATTGAATATACAGTCCCACAAAACATCACCTCCTTTGTCAAGACCGTGTGGCCCGTGCCGCTATTGTTCCCTCATGGTGTCTTCTGAGCAAGTATGAAAAATCCCATCATGACGGTAGGAAATGCGGTGAAAATACTGTGGCCCTCAACAAAGTTCGTTATAGTTGTAATGCTAGTGCCAGCCAAATTTTCTCTCGTGGGGCCAAGACTTGGGGATTCCTTGCGTGATGCAAAGTATGATGGTACTCCGAGCCGTGCTTCGTAGGTATTGTCCCATCCCGAGAAAGGGCTTCCACGAATCACGGATGACCGCTGCAAAATAGGAAGCGGACTGATCAAGCTGTCCTTGAGGAGGTTGATATGCAATCATCTTAAGCATGTACCGAGGCTCTCATTGAGGAGCATCAATGTCAAGTTGAACTGCTCATTGGCATCTTTGCGGAGACTTGACTGCCTCTGGTTGACGCCTATGCCTTTTAGGCTTGAGTGAAGTCAGAAAGGACTGCGTTGCTTCTACCATTTCCTTCATTGAAGACTTACATTCTTAAGTCCTTCCTCAGATGAGGCTGTTCCCAATACCTGACCATCATCAGGTTCTTCACAATTTTATGTTCTATTCCCGCAACATCGGCTGCTCGGTGCAGGAACTGCAGAGTGTTGGAAATCTTCTGCTGATTGAAATCCAGAAAAGAAGAATCCCGGAAAGAAGACCTCAGCGTCCGACGCAGAACGTGTCGTGAAGGTGATGAGTAGTTGATCACTTTCAAACCAGCTCGGTATAGGTGACGATACGCATGTATAACAGCTTGTTTGTCGGCAAGAGGCAATTGAGCGGCTACAGCAGCCATGGTGAAAGCTTCATAGGTAGAATAAGGTCAGTTTGCTAGTGTGAATGATCCTCCTAGCCTGAGTGAATGTCCTCTGTACAATCAGGAGCTGTTTGTAGGGTTTGTCGATCCGACCCGAAAAGGCATGGAGGTTGGGAAGCTCCACGCTAGTCCTGATAAGGAAGGCAGCCGCGTTAGGCCGCAAGTGACCTTTTGCTGCCCACCTTCTTCCTACTCTCATCCTTCTTACTCCATACAACAATCTGTCTACTTGCTATTCTCGCCTTCCCCTTCTCTCGAGGGCTGTCCTCTTGCTCTTTTCTTAGGCTCCTCTACTGGCTAGAGAAGGGCTCTCGGATAGCAGAAAGTTGATCGACAGAGCTCAGCATCGCGCGGGACGCCATTCGGAGCTTTACTATCTCTCCGCTGCAACAGCGGCCAAGTCGTGCTTGTGTTTCCCCGCGTAGACATGGTTGACTGACCGATTTACCTCACTATGGCATACTTTTAATTAGTTCTTGACTGCATGCTTGCTGTTCGACCTCCACAGCTCTTTCTTCCTCGTTTTCAGAGGATCATCGATGCTCTTGCCATCAGACTACGTTATCAGGACTTGATACGTTGACATGAAGACCTACCCTTTGTCTGTAGTGGCCTGAGAAGACCCCGACTATCAAAATGGCTCGAGTCTCTCGGAGGCCCGTGTCGGCTTTTGCCAGACGTGCTTCAAGCCGCGCTGCCCATAAAACGGCGCGGCGGCACAAGGTGATCATGGAATCGATCACCCAGGAGAAGAAGAAGCTTCGAAGTGTCGTATGTCTCTTTGTCAGTGACATTTTATGGGACAATCTTGACGGCGGAAACAGATATCATTCGAGGCTAAAGCGCCCCCTGGATATACGTTCATCCCCGCGGGAAATCCACATCTCACAACAGCATGCAAGGAACTCTGTCGGAAAGATGGGCTGAAAATTTTTGCTGTTTCGGTAGGCTGACTATCATCTTCCTCGTGCACCTTACCATCGCCTCTCTTCCCTTTATCTAATGCGCCCTCAGACCACCCCCCACATGCACACCCACAATCTCTCCCAACATGTCCATCGCATTGGGTACCACTTCCCCAGTGCAGTTGTCGCGAACGCGTGCATGGAACTAGGTGTATATCTTACCGCTACAGGGAAGGCAGTGCCATTCCAAGAAATCAATAACGCACAGCCGCGGAAGCGCGCAGATTCCGAGATGTCCCAAATAACCATCAATACTGAAGCAAGGGACGTATTGAAGGACCTCTTTCCCAACATACCAGACAATGATTTGAATCAAATCATCAAGACAGCTTTCCAGAAGGTACGTCGATGCTTAAGAAAGTAACAAAAGAAGGAGAGAACAGGAGTTCGTTCTAAAAGAAAGTGAAGGGACAACGCAAAGTTGGGACGGCAGTTGAGCTTCCCCTAGCCCGGCGCGCACAGCTAGCCGTCGTGGCCCACATCCGACACGTCTATACCAACTATGACAAGCTTCTGAAGATGACTTCTTTCCATGAAGCCAGATCCCTTGTCGAAGAGCACACCTTGGCGAAACTAGTAGAATGGAGAGGAGATGATGAGAATGGAAAGACAGTCCTTGAAGACGTCTTCCGTGAGGTCATCGTCATATCTGACGATGACGACAGCGACGCAGAAGAGGATATCCCCAAGCCTTCAGATCGGGATTATAGTGTTGAGGTCATTTCGAGTCAACCGCGTGTTGAAGTCCTTCCAACCCAACCGGCAAATACGGCAAATTCTGGGCCCCAGGACTTCTCAGAAGATGATGTCCCTCCAGGTTTCCGGGTGATTCCACGCGACCCTAAGAGGAGCAAAGTTGACCGCCGTGGATTTAGCAGGTATCAAGCCTGGGATAGGGCCATTAATAGATACAGGAACGTCGCCATGGGAATCAGCCAGCAAGGATCGCATATGTCACCCAGGGATCCAAACCTCCCTTATGGCAGTGGCCAGTCGATACAAGCGCCTATCGAACTTGATCTGGAGCATTTTCCCCAACGGGTTTCCAGGCCTCGGCATGTCTCTGTTCCATCACATGGAGGTCCTAATAAGAGATCTAGTGGGCCAAGCAACGCTGGTTATAATTCTCCATTGGAACGTCATGTAAGACCGCTTTCTTGATCCGGCTTTTCGATGAAGAGGATTTGGCGGACAATGCATAGTTACTGACTTCCACTAAGCAACAGAAACTCTTCTCAGTGGCCGAATCCCCTTATGAACAACCATCTGCACGTCCATCTGATATTACATCTCAGGGCCAGTCCTCCCCGCATCATGGGAATAAAGCTTTGAATCGACGAGGTGATAGCCCCAATGCCCCTGTCTTTGTTAGTGGCCCCAAGGAGGTCTTCCAGAAGACTTTGGACTATCCTGGTCATTATTCTAGGACCAGTGGCCCCTCCTACAAGGAGCACACCTCCAAATTGCAGGACCATGTATTACCGTCTATTGAAGCCCCGCTACCTGTGGACAGACAACTTTCTGAAACTGGCCCAATGGACCATCTTGCCAAAAGAATGTCGGGAGGTTTTTCACTTCGTTCGATGACGCCACATGCCACTAACCAAGAATCCTTGCGCACCCCCTTGGAAATTGCCAGTACAGGAGAACAGGCTCCTAAAAGGCGGCGTATGGCTTACGCTCACCCAGCTCCTGTCGACGACCTTCGCTTCATTCCTGGACCTAGTACCACATTGGTGGAACCTTACGCGGGAGCCCGGTATGTCCCAGTTGGACGTTCTTTACCAGGAGAACCAGCCCAGGATGGAGCCCACGTCCGTAGGAGATACGCTGCGCCGGTTTTACCATCATCCTCAGTGGAACTTCCACCTAGGCCCCTTGTTGCGGATCCTCATTACAGGCCACGCTATGAATTTGACCCTCAGTTATTTTCTCTTCCACCACGTCCACCAGTCCCAGCAAATCTTCACCACCCGCACAGGGCGCCAGAGCGAGTTCTGGCCGCACCAATGACAAGATATCCAGTCTTGGTTGAAGAAAACTACGAACCCCTTGCCCCCGTGTCGACGTCTGGTTTGAGAGAGCCACTTGTCCATCACAGCATGAATCGGCCTAGCGTGGAAAAGCTCCCCTCTCTGCCAATGCACGGAGATTCGGAACGTACTAGAACTAATGGTGTTATTTTGCCCCGCGAGTCTCTGCCCAAGAGGCATTATGCCGACGATTTCGTCCGCACTGTGGACATCCGAGAGCCGATCTTGATAGGATCGCCTCCACGGACTCGTCCACAAGCAAGCCATGTTGCGGGAGCCCGTGGTCTGCCAGCTACGACCTCCCCTCGTGATCGCTACCAACATGAATTACCAAGTAAAGTGCCGTCGAGACTGCCTGAACGTCCCCATTCTGGCCGTGTCAGGTCTACTGCTTACGGACATACTGCGGCGGAGAACCTGAGCCCAAGATCCCATGTTCATACCCTCCCTGGCCCTCCGCCTTCCGCTCGTCCCTACGAGAGACGGCGTGATGATCCTTTTGACTCCACACGGTATGGATTTGACCAGAACACAGCATATCGACCTCATTTCTGTCACTGTCAACCTCAAGGTTGCGAAATGGACAACGCTAATCCTACTATAGGCCAATTTACGAGGTTCACCATCCCTCACCAACGGCACTGGAACCACCTCGGCCCGTGTACGTGAGAGCCCTGGATCGGCCCGCGTTGCAGAGTACCCTACCCGAAGAGAGGCCCGTCATCATTGTAGATTAGGGCATGTGGAGGACGACCTGAATGTTCTGAAGAAGCAGCTACCGTTTCTATTGTTGATGTTTGCACGAGCAATGTACATACACAGATGAGCGTTGGAGGAAAGATACCCGACTGCGTGTCAGCAGTTTGATGGTCTATATGATGTTTTTGCTTGTTATGAATAGACAGACCATCAGAAGTTGAGCGTTACACAAAGACCACTTATGCCGAGTTACAGTCACTCGAATGCATTATTCTATAAAAACTAGGGATTCGCTGCAGCAGAAACAAACATAATCCATTCGCTATGGTATCTTGCAAACAGTCCGGTCGCAAGAGACATGCCTCCTGACTCTCCCTTTCCCCGATCGAACAATACCATCCATCCACCCATCCGTACCTGACGGTATCCCAAGGTTATATAGCACTATATTCCAAATCAAACAGGCATTGTTTGACCGCCGGCCTCTCCACTGTTGACGGTCTTGCCGGTCTTCTTGATCTTCTCCAACACAGTCTCATACGACACGGACGGCTCGGTGACGACGGTCGCAGTTTGGTTTTCCAGGCTGACGTCGAACGACTTGACACCTGACGAGAATGGGTAAGCATGATACAGGAAGGTGAGGGAGAAAGAGAGGAAAAGGCGGACATAGCGGGGGATGAGGGGCACTTTTACCTTCCAGCTTCTTCAGGACGCGTTCCACGGCTCCTGAACAGCCACCACAGCTCATGGAAACATTGAATCTGTACGTTTGCTCCGACATCCTGGAGGGGAACGGCACTCGGTCGTTTTGTCGGTTGGGTCGAGGGGGTTTGTGATCAAAGAGACGGAGTTTCGTGGTCGGAAGGCGGAGGGATCGATGTACTCCGTAGGTCCTTAGAATAACACGGAGGAGCGCCGGAGAGATGGTGGAGCCTGCTTCAGACACGCCAGATGTATCAGATAGTAATTTATTACCTGGGAGATGAGATGGTTCGTTTCCTTTATATTCGAATTCAAGGAGGCAATGTAACCCCGTCTGACTTGGACGGAGAATAAACTCTTTGTCTGACAAATCCATCACCCTACGCTTTAATCGCGCAATCGCTACATACAAACCACATCTTACATCGCCAAACTGTGTAGGGTTCATTATATAGGTAGGCCGAACACAAATTATATACTCTAGACAGCATCCTCACGTCAAAACCCAGCAGCTCTTCTCTTCTTCCTGGCCTTGGCCGCGTTCTTCCGCGCGGCATCGCGACCGCCAAAGGTCCCACGCTCAACTTGCGTCATGGGAAGATCTTCGTCAAACACCTGGCTGCTCGGTGGTGGCCGGGACGTGAACCGTTCGTTCCGATCCGGCTGGCTGCCCCAGTCCCGGACGACGGGCGTCGCGGAAGACACCAAAGGCGGTGCCGAGGAATCCACATTGGTCGTCTGAGAGGTCTTTTTGCGTAGTCTGCGCTTCGGGGTCGTGGGCTGGGAAACCAGGCCATCGTCTGTTTCGGACGGTTGGCCTATTCTTTGCCATGTGTATCTGCTGGGGTCTGTCCCTGGCTGCCACTGCTGTAGCATGTTCGCTACGTTGCGAGCTAAGGGTCGATCGGTGTTGAAGCTTGTGAAAGACGCTAGACTGGAGAACAGAGGGACAGTATCGTCCTGCATGTCGGAGAGGCCTTCGTCACCCCGTCCGGTGTCGTTTCGAACCGTCGCACTGCTCTTGGGGACATCCGTCCGGTGTCTTGGAGTACTCGGAGGCAAGGGTAACTGGCTGTCCTGTGTTCCATACAGGATGTCATCTTCGTCAATGTTGCTTTCATTGGTGCTTATTTCTGGTGTCTTTTCCGACGGCTCGCCTAATCTGCGTGTCGTAGGTCGCAAGACGGTAACTTGCGACAGTACGATATCGGCTGCAATGGTCCGGATTACCTTCTCCTTCATGATCCGGGTCCGCCCAGGTATGTAGTGAGGCAGGCTAGCGAGCCAGTCGTTGGCCAGCCTGTCGTAGAGATCAATCAAATTTACCCCCGTAGTGGAGGGAGTTCCAATAAGAGGCGCAGCGCCAGAACTCGCAGGCAACTGGACAAAAAATTGTTGCAGGTGGCTATCTGCCATGATCTCCGAGAGGTATTCCGAGAGTTCTTGGGCGTTCTGGTCAATGTCATCCAGAACGGGGCTACTTCCAAGGTATTCAAGCCTGTCCGAGATTAGTACCGCCCGGTTAAAGAAGATTATGCAGGAGACTTACATCGTCCGACCAACTGGTTGATCACTCAGGTCTAAGCTGGAAACTTTGTCTCGTAACTCTTGGATGGATTCTCGCAGACTTTTGTCGACAGCTGGCGCTTCTTGACCCTCGGAAGATGCAACTATCATCCGACCAGTAGCAACCGCATAGACTTGCGTAAAGTCCATCGTCCACTGGGGGATCGCCAAGGGTGTTATACTTGACATCCCAGTGTTGGCCACAGCGAACGCACCGGCTCCGACGACAGAGTCATCCCAGTCATCAACAACAAACTCATCCTTGGGCCGCACATACTGTTCTTTATGCACGCCTGTCTGCCGTTTCTTCGGCCGAAGGATATGATCCCCAAGATCCCTCTCGTCTTCAGTGCCACCATACGCAGGGCCTGAAAATATGTACTCGCGAACACGAAGTTGCGTATCAACGGCAAAAAGCTTCACCAACTTCTGGTCAGGATTATAGTAATCCCTGCTCACAAATGTTGGGAGATGGCTGATTTCTTTGAACACAAGAGATGAGAATTGCGCGCTATCGGAACCTGCTTGGGGCTCGATATCATCATCGGATATTGAAGGTATGTCCAAGATAAAAGGATCCGGAATTGACTCAATATCCCCAGAAGTGGTGGAACAGTGGAATGACAGCACAATTTTGTTGAGTCGTGAGTACAGCACAAGATAGAAGTCGGTGTGCACAATCAGCGGCGTTAGCTTCAACGTGGTATCCTCGGGGTCCCTGAAGTGACGCCACGACAAGCGGGGATATAAGGAAGGATTCGAGCCTTTGTCTGCAGCTGGTAGGGATTCAGGACTGACGTCTAGCCAGAAAATCCGGGAGGTTGTCAAAATAAACACATGAGACACGTTGCAGGGGCTCCTTTTCACGTCCAAGATCCACTCAGACTTCCGACCGAGGTCAAGTTCTATTGGGTACGAATATGTATCGTCGTCCTCTGTTCGATAGAGTATGAGACAACGTCGGTCCGAAACGATAAGGGTCTTGAAGTCGCCAACCCATTCGATCGCCGCCCATCCATCATGTCGAGGATGTCCTTCTATATCTTGACCGTCACCAAGATCGAGCCATGGTAGTGAACCGGACTTGACGCAGGCCGCAGACAAATTGCTCTTATGACGCCTTTGCCTCCCAGAGATTTCCCAGATACTCCAGTTACCACGCTCGTCAACGAGAGCAAACTGCCTCTGATACCACGGGTTGAAGGTCACGTCAGCATGAGCAAAACCCCCCGTTTGTAGGTGCGATATTTCGACCAAAGGATTGGCATTGAGCCGGGAGTTAGAGTGACGGTTTGGTGAGACACGTTCGCCCTGTCGGTAAACATGTACCGGAACAGGGGACCTGTGGTACATCGGCCGAAATATGGACGTGGAACGATGGAAGCGAACCGCCAGCCAAGTTGGCTTTTCCTCTACCGGCTGTGCGAAACAGATTTGTCGAACAGGAGCTCCACCGGCACACCATTCGACCCATTCCGAGTTTCCAACCGATGGTACACGCATTCCGACAGTATTTTCCTGCCTCACCTCCACGATGTCCTCTTCAATCATGCGAAACGAGACCGAATTGCCGCACTCCCCCGACGCAACCACCGCGATTGGAACAACACGACTGCGCCACTCATCGGTCTCCAGATCAACAGCATATCCAAAGTCGAGGAGGGAGGACACTAAAGGGTCACAGCGTTCGCTCGTCGTTGCGATCACATGGGAGAGAGTTTCGTTTCTGAGTAGGTGCCAGCCAGCGGCAAGTTCAGGGTAAGCTCTTCTTAAGGCGTTTTTGTTCTCGACAAGCGACGATTGCGGAGCTGTAAGCGGCGATGGAACGGTGGTCTTCGTCACGCCCGCGTAGGAGATATGAGGAGCTAATCCATGTCAGCGTATAGTTCTGCTTAGATCTTGTTCCAGAAAACATACGCGGAGACAATCTCCGAGCGAAACCCCATGTCTGTGTCTCGGGATAATAGATCGCTCTTCCCAGGTGCCCATATTGCAGAGCACTTGTCGGGTGCTCATCCATCGGAATTCTCTTTGCGCCTGAGAGTATGCGCAAGCCCTTGTCTCATAAGCATATCGAGGGCTGGGCAGTTAGTTTGTATTCTGTTCTCAGCCACGGAAACTGGGTAGGCAGATATGATATATATGGAATCCAACCATCAAGGCGCAGGTGCTCTTGACAGCTGTCAAACAGCGATCCATGCGCAAGGGTTGTTAAGCAGGATGCAGGATATACTACATTTTCTTTTGAGAGAAGCTAAAAGTCGATCCTCAATTTTGCCGTGTCTCACCGCCAGGGTCCCACATACATGCCCCAGAGCGATAGTCACTTGCGAGACTTCGATTGCTTTCTTCCAAACATCGCTCTTCCTAGAATCCAAAATCGCTATCTTCTTCTGCATTTGAACATCTTACAGCTGCGCTTAACAAGACTATCAAAAACCCCTGAAAAGCTCACCTTATCGGTTCCTCTCCTCGGTGCCAAGCTTTGTTTACCGTTGCGGCGCAACACAAACAGACGGCCCGACTGTTGTCACCAACGTCTCTTCCTCGTCCGTGGACCTACCTAGCTGAGCCAAAGCCTTAAGGACGTTAGTTTTAAATCAAGTTACCATGTCTTCATCATTTGAGCCCTCACTCTCAACGAGTGGCATGCGCCCACCACTCGCGTCCGCCGACGCGCCCTCCATGGCCGACTCACTTCCAAGCATTAATTTCGGGTTCGAGGATTTGCGCAGTCGGATGGCCCAGTTCACTGCGCGATTCGATGCGTTTATCGAGCGCGGGAGGAAACAAGTTCTCGAAGAACGGAATCAGTTCAAAATCGGTCTCGCTGAACTCCAAGGTGAGTCTGGTTCAAGATTGAAAGAACCACCCAGCGCGGCTAATCAGCCCTTCAGAGGACCAACGTATGAAGCAACGCGACATCGAAATCCTCAACCTGAAGACACAAACCCACGAACAAACCCTCCAGAAGGAAGCCGCCGAAGCCGCCGAAATGCATGCCGCCATCTCATCCGTGACGATGGAACGCGACGCCCGCCTCGCCAAACGTGACCGTCTCAAGCAGCAAATCGACGAAACACAAAAGGCCATCAACCAGAAGCTCGAAGCTCAGAAAGCGCATGCTCGACACTTGGACGCACAGTCTCGTCTCAACTTCCCGGAACTGGAGTTTTGGCAAGACTACCTGTGTCTGCGGATTGAGGGGGCGGGAAGAGAGGACCGCTTGAAGTTTGTGTACAGTCATCTGTTGGAGAAGGACTGGGAGGCTGAGGCATGGTTTGAACTGGGGACGTCTAGTCGCGACTACGATGTCTTTCATACCAAGCCCAAGGTTGATAGGGGTGCTCTGGAGCGAGAGCTAGATGCTTTGAACGAGGACAGGGATTTCGGCGCATTCCTCAAAAGGATGCGCAGGTTGTTCGTGGAGACTATGAAATGATTTGGTATTCTGGAGCTAGGTGAAGGATTACGACTGGTTATGGTATAATGACGGTGGAGTTAGGGACATAATTTATGATGATCTTTGCACTTGGTAAATCGGATGACTCGTGTTTTAAGAATTCATGTTATCAGGTCAGTCATTCATGCTGCCCATGATTGATCGTTGAGGTGATATTTCGAGGGTTGAAGACAATGCGCAAAGGTTCAGCCGCCAGTGGCCTCCCGGTAGAAGGATATGCTCCGGTTTGCACCTGCTGTCGCAAATCCAGATGATCTCCCAATCTTCTGTAGCCATTTCACGCACCAGACGGCTTTTTCCGTTTCGGAGTGGGTGGCAACGCATGACCGGGTGTCGATTGACCAGACCTTGACTTTTCCGTCGAATGATCTTGAAGACGTCAGTTTGCAACAGACAGAGTAATATCGTAGGACTGCTCACCCGCTTAGGAGATATTCCCCTGTGTGGCTCCAGGAAAGAGATAAAATCCAGGCGGAATGCCCAGGGAAGTTGGCGACTTGCTCCCCGGACGAAGTATCGTACAGCACAATCACCTTGGAGTCTCCGGCAGCGGCGAGGAATTTTCCACCAGGCGAGAACGCAACCGTCCGCACCGGCTTTACTAGGCCTGCGGACGTCAATCCATTGACCCTAGAAAGCTCATAGATCGTTCACGTACCTGATAGACTGAAAGGCATGCGGCCGGACTCTGTGCTGAAGATGTATACACTACCGTTCTCATGACCGCTGGCTATGAAGCGACCATCGGCAGACTGCGGGTACAAAGTGAGTGGTGTCCTGACGAACGAGTAGATTGTGTAAACTCAGGACCTACCAGATCTATGCATGTGCCGAAACTTCCTTTGGTCTCATGGTCACGGATTTGTTCGCCATTGGCGTCCAAATCCCATACTTTAATACGCCCATCTTGGCTCACGCCAGCCAGGTACTGACCATCCTCAGATAGTGCAACAGCCCAGATATTAGCAGATTCTGCGCCTTGTGCTACGCCAAGATTAGCTGGGATTCCCCAGGGTAGTAGACAGGTGGACAGTCAACTTACCCGAGGCATTTTTATCTTCCGCCCAGGTCCCTTCGTGACAAGACCAGATCTTGATCTCACCCGCAAAACCCACACTCACGGCCCTGGTGCCTTTGCCGTTTGTCACGACATGGTGACAGCCGACTTTATGGGCTCCATCAATGGATTGCACCAGAGGGAAGTCGGGGTCTGTGGTGGAGTGAACCTTCAAGGCGGAGGCGCCCGACGCTGACAAGATCTGCTTGTCGGTCACGGCAAGGGAGAAAATGTCAATGGGATGGGCTATGTCTTATTTAGCCAGAGAATAGGAAATAGCTCGAGGGAGTTTATACATACCATTGTCTGCGGAGCCGCAAGAGAGATATTGTTTCGACTAGTAGCGCGTGTTAGAGCCGGACAGAACCAAGCGAATGGATGATTCGGTATTGTAGGCCTCACCATTCTCAGACCGTTGCACTCTGTCCGACCATGGATTGTCTGGACGATCTATGCGCGGACAAATGGGTGTGTCTACTGGGGTGGACGGAGACGGGGAATGACTAGTGGGACAAAATCACGGACCAAAACCGCCGGACGTTGTCGGTGAGATCATCAACCTGCCCAACTTGGCGGGACGGTCTCGGTCTCATCCCACGCAACACATTCACCACGGAGTCGTAAGTAGCACATGCATTACATTCGCAAAGACGCGACGGAGAATGTTGGATTCGTTTGAATTGGACAAATATACACAGGCTGGAGGCAGTAAACATCAAAAAATTCCCAAGTAAATAGCCGGACGCCGAATGCCATGCAGCATATCCTACACATAAAAGTACAGCCCTCAAAAGCACCACAGCAACACCAGTCTCTATAGTCCTTGAAAAGTCAGCTCGCTCGTCCACCTCGATCGCTCTGTATTGTGCGTTCTTTTTATGCGGTTTGGGTCTTCCACTGTTTCTTGATATCTGTAGACTCCCTGTCAGAAACGAACGCCATCCATCGTAGTCAGTCAACTCACTCTCCACACAGTGAGGGCACAGAACATGTGCGCGCTTAACCTGACCACATCCCGAGCATGTGTTGAGGTTCTTGACATCCTTCAGAGCCTTGCCGGCCATCTGCCGATGGCGCTTCTTCATGTGGGAGGTCTTCTTCTTGGGTACTGCCTTGAGGACGGAGTCCCAAATATCCGACAGAACTCCAGGGATGCTCAATGAAAACGCGGCCGGCCGTGCGAGAGTGTAGGGGAGGACGGAGGCATTCTGGAAAAGCTGGGACCACCGTCCGCCAGCGGAGACGGACAGGGCGCTGGAGGGCCGGATAACGTGCGACAGCATTGGGAGGGTTGAGCGGGACGCGATGCGATTCGTCTGGGGGAAGGAAGTAGGAAGTCGACTGGCAGAGTCGGAGTCGCAGACGGGGTGGAAGACGGCAATCGGACCTGTGCGGTGTTCCTCCAAGTGAAGCTTTTTTCGAAGTTGCGGATTGCCAGATTTGGATCTGGAGGGGCGCTAGACCCGATTGGGATTAGAGGCCCCCTGAGCCAGTCGCGACAACAATTAAAGGGGTCTGGAAGGTGAACTGCATCGCATCTCTCCTTCTCCAGACCGTCTGGTGGTGAACAGCAGCTTTCTCCACGGCTCCATCGTTTTGACCTCGTCTCCGACCTTTGCTCTTTTTCGTCTCCGTCAATTGGCTCAATTCCGACTCCCATCAGTTTCTCCTCCATCAACTTAGATACCACCTATCGATCCGTTCGTTCGCTTTCTCACCCCCCTCTTGATATACAACCTCCACCATGGCAGCTGCTCCCGCGACATCCGCCTCTCCGGCCACCGTTTTCCCTCGCAGCCATGTCGGTTTCGACTCTATCACCTCCCAGATTGAGCGGAAGCTGTTGAAGCGTGGCTTCCAGTTTAATGTTATGGTTGTGGGTGAGTGATGCCATCCTATGATCTGGCTTTGGCTGGTATCCAAGAATCTAACTCACGGGTGCAAATAGGCCAGACCGGTCTCGGAAAATCGACTCTGATCAATACCATCTTTGCTTCGCATCTGATCGACTCCAAGGGTCGTCTGACTCCCGACGAACCTGTCCGCTCCACCACCGAAATCCAAGCGGTTTCCCATAGTACGTTGTGCAACATTGGTCAGACCGGAGGACTCTGTATTAACCATGACCAGTCATTGAGGAGAACGGCGTCCGTCTTCGGCTCAACATCGTTGACACCCCGGGATACGGTGACCAAGTCAACAATGACAGATGGTAAGACCAGCAACTGCGAAGCTGTTGGGGTCAGCACGCTAACGCACCACCAGCTGGGACCCAATTGTGAAGTACATCAAGGATCAGCACTCTGCGTACCTCCGGAAGGAGCTTACCGCTCAGCGTGATCGCTATATCCAAGATACCCGCATTCACTGCTGCTTGTTCTTCATTCAGCCGTCTGGCCATGCGTGAGTTTCCTCCTCGACCGTTCCGACCCAACTCAAACTGATCGCGTATTCTGTCAAACAGCCTTAAGCCCATTGACATCGTTGTCCTGAAGAAGCTGTCTGATGTTGTCAATGTTGTTCCTGTCATCGCCAAGTCCGATTCGCTTACGCTCGAGGAGCGCCTGGCTTTCAAGGAGAGAATCAAGGAGGAGTTTGCTTTCCACAACCTGAAGATGTACCCCTACGACAACGACGAGCTGGACGACGAGGAGCGCGCTGTCAACGTTCAGATCAAGGTATGGGCCTTCCCCCGCCAATGGGTCTCTTGGGTGCCTAATATTTTCACAGGATATCATTCCTTTTGCCGTTGTCGGCAGCGAGAGAACGATCGTCGTCAACGGCCAGCAAGTCCGCGGCCGTCAGAACCGGTGGGGCGTGATCAACGTGGAGGACGAGAACCACTGTGAATTTGTCTATCTCCGAAACTTCCTCACTCGCACCCACCTCCAGGACCTCATCGAAACCACCAGCCAGATCCACTACGAGACATTCCGTGCCAAGCAGCTCCTTGCTCTGAAGGAGAGCAGTGCGGCCGGCAGCCACACCGGAGGTAGCCGACCCATCAGCCCTTCGGCGGACCGGGAGCTCAGCCGTAACTCTCAACGCATGACGATGAATGGCTATTAATCGCCGTGGAAGCTGTTACGGATGCATTGCGATGTTTAAGTGGAACCAACGTTCGGTACAAGCCGTAGCCGTATGTGGGCAGGCAACCTCAAGGCAGTCTCGAATTTCTCTTTCCCTTTTTACTCAATAGCGCCAACTTCATACCACCAGGTTCTTGCGGATATCCTTGTTTTGCCTTCGAGTCCTTAATTTCACGCTACTTTTCTACCCCCTCCACTTTGAGAGGTAACTGGGCTTCTTGTATTTCCTAAGATTTCGTTATTCCGACCAAAAGGCAGCAGTAACGCTGGTGCTGCTGTCACTTGCTGTTTATGTATTTAGGTTTCTTAATTATCCACAGGGAATATATCGTCTAAATATGATACGAAGGCTTTAGATCTAGAGCCGCTTCACTCGTAGGCAGATAGTCGCGTCGTGACTCGTTTCGGGGAAGTGGACCTGGGGCGATGTTCACTGCTGGGTGCCGAACCGGCCGCCATCAACAATCCAATCCCTCAGCTCCTGATACGCCTTGTCGAGGTCGTCGTTGACAATGATCTTGTCGTGCGCACCGGGCTCCTTGGAGTACTCCAGTTCGTTTTTCGCCTGCGCCAAGCGCTTTTGCCTGTATCAAGGATGAGCCATACCTCTCGCGATCTCCAGCGCCATGGTGCACTTACAGGCTATCCTCGGTCTCGGTACCCCGACCCCGCAGTCTCTTCTCCAACTCCTCAAGCGACGGCGGCGCAAGAAAGACGAAGCGCGCATTGAGATCCGTCCGCTTCACTTGCTTCACGCCCTGCGAATTCCAATCAGCCCCGCTCACCCCTTCCCTTGTTCGTAGCCGACTGCCTTACCTCCATCTCAATATCCAATATGCAGATGCGGTCCTTGTCCGCAACCTCTTTGACCGCCATCACCGACGTGCCGTAGTGGTTCGACCCGAACACCGCATGCTCGATGAAGCCGCCCTGGGCCACCAGCGCGAGGAAGTCCTCCTTGTTCGTGAAGTAGTACTCGCGGCCGTGTTCTTCGCCGGGGCGGGGCGCGCGCG